TAAAATGAATAATTGAAAAACATAAAAACCTATAATACCAATAAATATTCCTGAAATTATCACTATGACAAAAACAAATATCGACAAAAATATACAAAATTTGTTTATTTTTGAATCAAACTCATGCTTAGGGACGAAAAGAATCATATTTCAATTAAAAGCCCAGAACAGATGAAAGTATAAAATTTTTTATTTTATAAAAATAAAATACTGAAAAAATTAAAGTTTTAATTGGATGTTTATTAAAATAAAAAGGAAATACTTAATTTTAAATTGTACAAGATTCCGAAAAAAAAAACAAATCAACAATATAATATAATACTATTTTAAACTATTGTAATGCGATTAGGTGAACTAATATACATAACGTATCATGTAAAATAATGTGAATTAAAATATTGTGAGATAATGAATATTAAAATGGCCTTTATAATTTTTATGTAGGTAGTAGGTAATAGGATCGTACAGTGTTATATGGGTAATTTAATAAAAGCCCTTTAACCTGAATATCGATAAAATGGAAAACTTGATTATCAAACTTTAGCACGCACCACTTCGTCAGTTACGGATCGCGTTATCGTGATTTTAGTGAGTTAAATTTAGATTTTATCCGTGGAACATCAATCCAATATCCATGGAATATCATAAAATTATATTGTTCCTTATCGCCGATAAGTTATCGGTTGCCGATTTAAACTTTATTCGGCGTCGTTGTCGTTCAATTTATGGCCACGAATTAAGATATACAGGTACCGAACGAAAGTGTGATAAGTCAAGCTCGAACCTTTCCACTTTTGGCAAGGCCACTAACACCATCTAGTGCACTCTTTACAAACTATGTCAATATTTAATATAGAATAGTCAAAGGTCGTGGTAGAATAGATAACATGCAATTTATTAGACACGCTACTCCTCCTGTCTAAACTTTAAACTGGTTTTAGTTGATTTTTATACAAATTTTGTCTTAAAGCACTAGCTGTTTCTAATTCGCTAGCAGTGAGAACCGGGCAAACTCGGATAAACATTGATGAGATCTTTTCGTTCGGTATCCTATAAATCTTACTTTGTGTTTATGGCAATAACCCATATGGAATCTACAGCTACAGTCTAGTGTATGGTAAGTATCACATATTTTACTTGGGTGAAAAATTTCTAATAAAATGTTATTAAGTAAATGTGGGAAGCGAAAGAAAAAAAAACATAAATAAGAAAATATTTCAAAGTTTCCCAAAATAAGTGGTTTTTATATAAAAACGAAAAAAAACGACTGTACCTGCAAAGATTCATCTTTCACTGCTTTCATAGTTTTAAAATATTTACTCCAACATATTCATATTAATTTTTATTTTATTTTATCAAAATGTTTAGAAAAAGCTCCTTGTCTACTTTCTAATCTGAAACAAAAAAAATGTGGGTAATTATTAAAAAATCGAAAGTTGATGCGCGATTATGGTAGGTACCTTTATATGGAACAAGTACGAAATTTGGAGAATATCGTAAATAAAATCATTAATGGTCACAGTTTTATAATGCCTGAAAAAAACCGAAATCAAATTTACTTGCTCAAAATCGTAAATAGGTAATCGCTGGATGGTTAGGATTATGAAAAAAATATACTAGGGCACGATGACGTACTATTCCTTTTTATTTATTATAACATTATGTATTGTCTATCGTGCATTGTTGTTTTACACGAATTATTAATATTGGAAATTCCGTCACAGTTCCCACCGCCACCCAGACCCCTGAATATGGATATTATATATAATATATTATAATAACGCAATAAAAAGATTGATACACTTATAGCACCGATTAAGAATTAAACGATTATATAATTTGCACACAGAGAGATAGGGTGACAGGGTAACGAACAGTTTTATAAGTTACGAATTAACAGTACGTACTTATACACCCCGGGGGCTCCGACTTTAAAATCTGTTATTCAAGCGTATTTTAAAGGTACGCGGATAGAACTTGAAACATGTTATTATAATAGCCGTGTCAGTTTGTTCACACCGCCGCGCCGTGTAGTATTTTAACAACGCCTGTCGATAACAGCCCCCGGCCTTTCACCGCCGCCGACATATTTGTGCCGCGAAATGAACCTAACTGAACCTAACCGCTATATAGTAATCGACCAGCGCGAAAACAAATGGTAACACGTACCTATCGGCCGACTTGCAGTCCGCCGAGGTCGAAGTAGATAGATTGCACCGACACACACATAACTTAAATTCCTCTTAGTTATTTATATTATAAGCCCATCCCAAAATTAGTTTTTGAACACTCCTTAAAAAAAATAGTAGAATACATTTCCAAAAAAAAAAAAATGGTTTTATTGAATAAATAACAACAATCACACAATCTTTATGAAAAATCTAGATGCGTACCAAATCTGATAAACTTTCACTACGTTTAGCACTTTGTTCTATGATTGGCAATAAACAAAACTATCTTTTTTTAATTTAATCTAGATAAATGACCCTGATTATTTTTATTTATCTAAAAATTATCTCTTATCTTTATATTTTAAAATGTATGTTTATACAACACTGCTGTTACTTTTACAACTTGAATTATTTGATACCAAACTGTTTATGTAACCTTTTTACTACCTTAATATCGGTTTTACGGGAAATACGACATTTCATCATACTATATCTATGAATGTATGAAAATGGATGTCATCTGTACAAGATTAACAGACTCAAAAACTACCGGACTTATTTGTACGCGAATGTTTACAAAATGTTCTGCGTTATCTGAAGAAGGTTTATAGCTATTGAAATTCACACCCTATTGAATACCATGCCTTAAAATTCGGTTTTTAGATATGTTTAATACATAAATGTAATTATTCTTGTTGATTTATGGGTTACCCGTGGAACAACCCGTGGAAAAAATTCTATAATTAATTATTGAAGTGCGATCTCTGGACTGTGCGGGTAACTATGGTAATAAGTGAAAACACATAAAACGTCATCGACGTATATTGGACAAGACAATAATACATAATGATCTGGTAACAGCAATATCTAATAACAGCAAAGCTGACCGGGTCAGCTAATATTGTATACATAGTAATAAATAAATAAACCTAAGCAAAATTTTTCCAAAATAATACGAAAATCAGTTGCCTGCATGTAAAATAAAATTAAATTGAATTGCGTTTCAAAAATCTAAAACTATGCGTGATCCTCTTCCGCTACACACGATAAAGACATATTTTCTAATCATCTTGGTACCTACGATACCAATCGCGTTCAAGTATAATGTGCACTACAGACTATACAGTATAACAAAAACAACCTACCTATTTGAAAAGATATCAATTATGTGAAAAAATCATATAAATATATATTCTTCTCGTAGGTAGTTTAAAAATAAATTTGCCGACAGATGATACGGTACCGAGTGCGTTGGTACGTGTACGATGACGACTCTTCCAATCACTCCGGATAACGAATCTAAGGGGAAATAATTTCCGAGAAAGAAAACTTAAACGAGTTGAGAGAAACTTCTAAAATAACACGAACATCACGTTGTTCAACCCATCGCCTACTAAACAACAAATATAGACACGTGCAACAAAAATACCCTCTGCCAGGGCCTTTGGAGTTGCACGTATACGGAATATACAAAATTATAATTTTATCGCTAGCCAAGCGATAGATTTGAAAGTATAAATAATTTTTCGAGTTCATCTTTTAATTTAACACTTTGAGTCATTAACACAGCTCTTTTTTTTTCTTTTTTTTTTTTGGTTGTGATATTGTGTTATATGGTGTCGGAATAATAGCATTATGAATATTTCATTAGTCATTATCAGAGCCATGGTAAAGAGGAGAGGGGGCATTAGCCCAGCGTGGGAGCACCAAGCCGTTTTAAAACTAGGGGGCGCCCGGCTCAATATGGAACTCGAAACAAAATTAACAATATCACTATTACTGTGTCATTTGTTATTTAATTTATTTTCAATTTTTTTACTTAAGGTAATAATAAATATTGTTTAGTAATTAGAAAAACGTAAGTTTAACCAATTAATCTTAAAGTTTTATGTTTACCTAAAAAATAAAATTCGTTAATATGAAAGAATCTTATTTGTTGAAAGAAAATATTGACATTTTAATATTAATTTAATTGTAAAAAAACGACAAATTTAAGGAAGATAACCCAGATAATCTCTAAAATCAAGACCTTAAGAGGGGAGTCTTCGAAAATTGATATTACTGGGCGCAATGAACTAAGAAAAAATTTAGCAGTATACTAATGTCTTATTTAGGTACTTAAAAAGGATATCCTATCAATTTAGAAAAATTTGAAATTGATAAATCTGTTGCTGAAGCTTTTCAGGAGTTTATCAAGAAGTCTCCATTTTAAACTAAAACAACGGTGGTTAACCGTTATTATTTTATTTACTACCCATATAATGGACTATTATCATTTATGTGGGTAAATAAATAGGTATCTAATAAAATAATTGATTTATTTAACGCAATTGAAATATTACGGACACAGTTATAAATTTAGAACAATTATGTTAGTTCTCGTGATGTCAAAATTAGTTTAATATAGATAACTACTTACCTACCTACTTGTATTGACACTGACTCCTGGTGATTTAATAATTGATGATGTTTTCGATCACATAATATGGAATTTTAATTTGATAAAAAAACTTTGATTTTTTACCTACTACTCTTGTAGTGGTAATAAAATATTAGCAAGATAATGGAGAGTGTTGGGGGCAAAGGTCCCCATGGATTCGTAAATCATGGGAAACGTTTCTACCAAATGCCGCTTATATGAAAAAACGGATGAAAAAAATATAATAACAACGTATATTATACATAACAAAATTATTAAAATGGTTAATGCTCGTGAATAAATATAGTAAATAAATATACAAATAAAAAATGTACCTATATAAAAAAATAAATGTATATAATATTGTTCAATCTATTATGTTATCGAATATCGCGATGTCTACAGAACACAGTTAAATCCTCAGTCCTTTTGATTCTGTTTGAATATGCCCGAATATTTCAGTAGTTATGCCAAACAATTTTATCCACATAAAACCAATTTGAAAACTGAAAAAAGGCTTAAAAATTGTTTAAACAATTCGCAAATGTCAGATCTTGACAATTATTTTAACCAAATTACAACAAAACAACAAAATCGGAAATAATGAAACTATTAATGTCATCAACTTTTCCAACGTTGCAGTTGTTTTGAAAGTAATGCAACTTTTACCGTCTTAAATTTGTCGATTTTCTCAATTATATTATGAAAACTACCAAGAAAATCAAAAAATTCACCTCTTCGAGGTACAAAATGATAAAATAAAAAGTCTCGTCATTTTTTGATTAGAACAAGGATTACTGGTATAGAAGCTGTTTACACAATAAAAAAAATTCGCGCACATGATAGTAAATTAATTACACCAACTCGTTCCTCGCCGTGCTCATAATCTAATAAAAACGCAAAAAAAATAAAAATAAAATTGATTGTCTCGCAAAAAAACGCTAAAAAAACAACGGTGATTTAGCGAGCCGCAATAGCGTATCTTGTTTCAAAGTATTTCCAAGATCCAGAATCATCTTTATAACATTTGGAACCAGTTGCATTTGTACTTATTTGTACTTATTAATTATGTATATTTTGTACAAGAAAAAAGAACATCACACTGCTTAAGGGGGGGGCGGGGCGAGATTGCCCCCTCAGGGACGTGTCTGATCGTACCTATTCTTGTATTAGAGTACATAGGTATTTTAATTTTAAATAATTACTGTTATAAATCGAATACCTTCAAATTATCAACATAACAGAATCGTATTATTAATTAACCGTATAGTTATTTTTATTGTTACGTATAATACTATAGTATTATCGTATTAAACCAGCAAATTTGAAAACCGGTACGACACCCAACATGCCAACCCCGTGATTAGAATGTTGTACTTATACGGTATAATACCTACCTGTTTTCCAATGTTTTATGAATTTTTGTCCTAAACGAACATTTTTATGAATTCTAAATTCACATAAAATTGATTCGGACAAAAAATGACAAAAATCTTTAATATAGTATATTATTATACTTTGTAATTATTCATGATTCATAGGTCTATATAAGCCTATTAGCTCTCAATAATTACAAATTCAACGTGTTGTTTATTTACTGATACCGTCAACACCGAAGGAATTATGTTGTTATCAATTGTCGGTTTAATTGATAGTTTACGGGTTTATCTAAAATTCCTTGAATTATTTGGTTTTATTTAATCTAAATACACATTAGTATATTTAATTATACACATTACATCAGAGTAGAGTTAAAACACCTTGAAATTCACCGTTACTTATCTGTCTATTTGTTAAAACAAACTAACTAATTCAATAAATGGTTAATTATAGTTTGATCGAGCACATTTAATTCTTCCATTTTTAAATTCAGTGCTATAAATCTACTACACAAAAAAATCTAAAAGAAATTTTAAATATGAAATACACAGTAAAGGTAAGTAAAAATTGTACATGTAATAGGTAGTTAACCCAATACAATTTTTATTGACAAATGTATTCAGATAGGTATCATTGGTGGATCAGGACTAGACGATCCAAACATTTTTAAAGATTCGACTGAACAAAAAATAATAACTCCTTATGGCGATCCATCAGACTCACTTATCTGTGGCAAGCTCAACGGTGTTGACTGTGTTCTACTAGCCAGGTTACTGTTCATAATTATTAGTTATACAATGGTTATACACATATTTCTCCGACTTAAACTATACTATTTACTGTAACTTATAGACATGGACGCAAGCATTCAATTAGCCCAACTAATATAAATTATCGTGCCAATATTTGGGCTTTAAAACATCTGGGATGTACACATATTATTGCATCATCAGCAACCGGTTCTCTAAAAGAAGAAATCAAGCCTGGCGATTTGGTCATTTTGGACTCTTTCATTGATATGTAAGTCACTTAAATATTTTTATTTAAAATATGTAACATGTAAGTATTTGATGAATACAATTTTCTTAGGACTAAAAATCGAAAATTAACAATGTTTGATAAGGATGATAAAGTTGTTCACTTACCTATTGAGCCACCGTTTAGTCCAGAACTTAGATCTATTATTATTGAGACTGCCCAAAGTCTCGGCATTCATGTGCATCATACAGGTACAGCTGTAGTTATTGAAGGACCTAGATTTTCAACAAAAGCTGAAAGTAATCTGTATCGATTATGGAATGCTGATTTAGTCAACATGACACTTATTCCAGAAGTAATGCATATGATCAAAACTTCTATTATTTGTACCACATTAATACAATTTAAATTCTAGGTTGTATTGGCTAAAGAGGCGGGCTTATTATATGCCACAGTAGCTATGGCCACAGACTTTGACTGTTGGAGAGAAGCCACAGAGAAAGTTAATGTTGCCAACGTTATCAAAGTTTTTAAAGAAAACGTCAAAAAAATTACACAACTATTTATCGAAGTTATTCCAAAAATTGCTGAAAAGCATTGGGATATTGAAATCGATGAACTAAATGTAAGGAAACAATTAACTTTTGATTATCCTTATATATAACTATCACTATCCAATATAAAAAGAAACATAAATAGTAACATTTTTAGTACATGCTATAAATTCTTTGATTACTTTTGGAGTTATTACGTCTTTATTATAATATTAAAAAGTAACAAACTAAAATATCCAAGGATGAACTTTATAGTAATAAAAGTAGAGAAAACCAATGATGCTTTTGCCATCAAAATGTACGTACATTAACCTTAAACCCCAACTTCAGCAAAACATATTACATTGAATAAAATAAATAATATATTTATTTTGAAGCATTGATTGACATACTGTATTAAAACAATTTCAGTAAAAAATCAAATTTATATTTAATCACTGTATCCTAATTTTATTTGTAATATATTAACACAGTCAAACATTTTTCAAATTTATCTCAGAATAGTAACCTTCAAAAAATAACCATTAGTTTATTTTATTTTTTTTCTACTTAACACTATCTAAAATTCCATAGTAGAGTTAGTGACACTAGTATTTGCAAATTACTTTTGAAAATAAGTATTAAACGATTATTAGAAAAGTAGTAGAATCAAACCTAAATACTATTTATCATTTAAGGAATCTAAATCCCAAATTTTTATTTTGCATACTTTAGTTTTCGCTTTTTTTGAGCATATTTTAACAATATTTTATTTTATAGTATTGTAATAAGGTGAATAATGGGATACAAAGCAACTGAATGTATGACTAATGTTAAACTAACCTACAACAGTAGGAAACAATTAATATAAAATATAAACTATGAATGGTAACAATAATATAGGTATACTTACCTATCCTGAATGGAGTATCATGTTGATTTTGAATACAGGTATAATTATGTTTATTCATTGTGTTGATGAGAATAGGAAGTAGGAATGATAAAATAAACACTTGATTTAGTTAAAAATGATGATGCCGGAAAGTTAGAAGCCGGAACAACACGCACTCGCAGGAAGATGAAAAAGATAACGAGTCACCAAGACAGGATCCGGTGGCCGAATGAATCGAGGAGTCTTTTATGAGAAAGAAAGGGAAAAAAAGTAGAGTGGTGTTGTCCAGTTTTCATTATTGTGTTGAAATATTTAATTGTTATACATACTATTTTGTATTAATCTAAATTAACTTATTAAGTGGTGTCCACTATAATAAAATGTAGTGTAAATAATATTATATTATGATATATACCATATTGTATATATCATTATAGTATGCCACATATTATGCATGCATTTTTTTTGGTTTACATTTTTATTAATTTATATACATTAATGTTCCATAGCAAAATCAAATAAACTATTATAAAACAGTTTGGTACCAATAACTCAAATTATTTAACACAAACATTTTTAACAATGGAAAAAATATTTAGTGCATATTTGGTTGGTTTTTAAAGCAAGAAGTCCCTTAGTCTAGTTATTAGTATTATAAATATTATGTATACCAATGTATTAATTTTTTTTTTTTTTTACTGATTTTAGTGTCTCATTCAAGAAAGCGTGCAGAGTAATTGAACTCGACATTTTATATTTAATCAAATGTAGCAGCAATAATTTTTTTTAACTACAATATTTTAAATACAACAATGCTCAATGTCAAAATTTGTTTTAATATTTTGTGTACAATTTTAAATACTTATTCATTTAAACAATAAATCTTACTCAAAAAATAATCCAAGGATTTTGTTCAACTATCATAAGCAATTTTTTTTTTTAAATATTTTTATTATACACAATTCAACAAAAATCACTAACCATATTTTAAAAAATATCATGTTACTAGACTACTAAATTCTAGTAATTTCATTAATGAGATACAACTCAAAGGAATGTTTTTTTTATTATGCATCTATAGTTTAATGAACCCACATTAAATAATAAAAACAATCACTTATGATCAATAATGATAGAGCCAAGAGGGATTCAGAAGCAATAACAGTTATTATTATATTTAATCTAATACAAAATTTATATTAATGGTGCATATAGAGTATGATTCGAACATGAATGAATGAATGTGAACGAACCAATGTAAATGGTCTGTGTAAACACAAATTTGTTCAGTTCTGTTCACTCAAAGAGCGTAAAACTCATAAACCAGTGGTCCTCAATCTTTATTAATTCATGTCACTCTTATCGACAATAATCCAACACTGAGTTGCCCTACCAATCCATTGAAATTATAGGATATTCAAGAAGCTGTACTATTGTTAAAAAGTGAGTGATGAAAAGGGAATGTTACGTTGTTTGGATGGTGTTAGTGGTTACATGACAACGATGGAAATAACACAATTTTATTCTAAACATTAAAAGTTTTCTTTTTTTTTTCCTTTTCCCCAATGATTTTCATATCACCCTAGTTGAGAACCACTGTCATAAAGTCAAATAAACTTTCCATTCAGTATACATAAGCCACAAGTGGACATAACAATATGAACAATGTAAACACAGTACAACCATATTTTCATTTAAAATTTGTTCCTGTTAGTAACTTAGTCTAAACACACCTCAAAAAGAAACATTCATGTTATTTTTAAAGATAAATTGTTCATGTGTAAAACTATTATTTGCCATAATACATAAATAGATATTTGTTTTTACAAATTAAAAGAAGTAAAAATTGTAAATTGTTAACTTATTATTATTAAATTGTGTTTATATATTATAGATAATATAATGAGTACAGTTAAATTTTGAAAAATGCACAATTTAACCTAAATATTAATAAAATAGTAAATTGAACATTAAAAAAACTACCAAGTTTACTTGAATAATCAAAATTAATTATATTATTTAAATGTATAAGAAAAATGAAAGCAAATAAGACATTTTATTTTATACCTATAAACTTAGTTGTATTGACACTCGGTCAATTTTAAAATAACATGTAAATGAACCAATGAAAAAAAACATATAAAATAATTTTAATACTGTGTACATAAAACATACACTTCATTTTTATTCTATAAATTTCTTTCAATGATTAATACAAACAAATTGTATGGTCTTGTTTAACACATCTAGGCAAAACAAATTTATACAACTCAAATGGTCAACTATGCCTCTGAAGCCCTCAATTTATCTTATTCTAAATATAATTTTAAGTTACAAAGAGTGTACAGTCTCCAAATAAATTCAGAGTAATCTCTATGACAGTACTACTAAAGGATAATAAATGGGATATTTACAATACAATTCCAAATTACAATAATTTGTATGGTATAATAATTAAAATATTTAAGTTCTATCAACCTATTTACTTATTAAAATAAATAATATTTTTTTTTTTTAAAATTCAATAAAATAAAATATTATTTTCCAACAACTCAAAAACAACAAATAACGTAACGGTATTAAAACATGTTTAGAAAATATTGCTTTCAAAAATAATAATTAAAAGATTAATAGCATGGTAAAGGAATGTATAGATAAGCTAAATATATATAATGAAATCGAATGGATGGAAAATATTGTAATAATATGATTACAAGTCTTCCGACAGCAAAATGATTCAATTATGGTTATTTCAATTTTGTGCAAATTAAAAATATATATATAATATATACATATATATTTTATATTTTAAAACATTAAACGATGGGGTGATTTTGATTCAACACTAAATCTTACGCTTTGGTATCAACCATATCAATATTGATTTTGTAATAAACATATGGGAAATATTCAGCTTGACCAAAACCAAGTCCAGGTATATCAACACTCTAAAATCCATAAAAAAGTATTAATGGATCATTAACATTATACTGACATATATTATAAATACATACATCGTGTGCACCGGTTGCGCCACCTTGTTGAGCACTACTGTCCAAATGTCCATATAATTGATGCAAAACATCTCTAAGCCGTTTAGTATTTTTTTTATTTGGATGCAACAACATAGCTTGAAAATTAACAGGCAGGCCATATCTAACAGTAGAAAAATAATAAATGTTCATCATGTTATGATGATATTTAACTAAACCTTACCTTAATACAGACTCAACAAATACACGGAGAGCTTTCACATGTATCCAAGCACAAAAACATTCACTGAAATTGACTTTCAACCATCGTACTAATGGGCCCTGTGCAAAGTAGTAATAAATAAGATTTAGTGAATGTTCAAAAAGTTGATTTAAGTACTTACAAATTGCTTTTTCTTGTCGGTTACTAGTTTCGAAATTTCATTTTTACCAGCAGCAAGTTCAACCTCATTATAAGTGAACTCACGCACGATAAACCTAAAAAAACCACTTGATATTATAAATCAATACATAGTTTAGTTTAACATATACTCAAAAATTCAACTATTAATTATTTAAATTAAAACATTTAAAACAACATATCATATATAAGACATAAATAACTCAAAGAGAAATAATACTACACACATTTAGCACAGAAATATTACAACTAAATACAATTAGAATTTAATTCTACATTGTGAATATTAAAAAAAAAAATTTATGAGTTTTTACTATTTCTTATTTTAATCAAAATTTAATATTCTTATGATTTTACAAACTATTTTATTTTTAAATTTTAAATAAAACTGAAATAGCTTGATAAATTAAATTTTATTTAGTTTAGATGTTGTTGACTACTATTGTTAAACTTTTTTTTCATTATTTTTGTTTAAATTTATGTACATTGCAAAAGTGCCAACCAGTTATACAATTATTATTAAAAAATAACATACTTTTTTTCCCTAGCATGATGTTTAAATTCTTCAGCCACTTTCTTGAACAATGTGACTGTAAATAATCCATAATCATTATCTTGGCTAACTAATTGGCTAGAACGAGGTACAATCATATCGGTCAATTTCTCATAATTTGTATTCCAATCAGTAAATCCTGATCTGGTAAAAGAAAAACATGTGTAAATTTACAATTGATAAGGATTAAATTACATTTTGTTTTATTTACTTAGGCACTACAACAAGCAATGTGGTAAGATAATCAGAATCCTGAATAAAATGTTCCTTGCGCACAAGATCAGCCAAATTTCTTGTTAATAAACTACCAGTTTGTTTTTTTTCCATGTTTTGTAAGCTGCTCTTAAGATTATTGTACACCGATGACTTCGTTTTAAGATCTGCATCGATTTGGCCTACCTGTTTACTGATTATGTCAGCTATATTACGCAACGATTGTTTAATTGGATATTTAGCCATGTCCCACTGGAAATGAGTTAAGTAAACGGCGAGGTCTCCTAAAACAATGATAATTTGTACTCAACTGTAAGTGATATTCACTACATGTTATTTTTTCAACATAATCAACTGATGCAGAGCATGAAACAGACACAAATCGTAACAATGAAAAAAAAAAAATTAAAATAATGTAGCGTATTTAAACATTTCTTATTTTTGTTGTTTAATAATGCCAATGCCAAATCAATTTGACAATACCTAAGAAACAATTAAACATATATTTTTATTTTATATATGTACATATTGAATAATAAACATCAACTTTCATTTTAATTTACATACAAAATTAATAAAACTATATAACACATGGTGATCAATCATTGTTTATATTAAAAAAAAGTACCGTACTCAATGTCTAACTTATATTTCATGTAAAGTCATACTTTCCCATTTTAATAAATAAAAGAAAATGTCCAGTAATTAGAAGTATAAAATATGAGTTTTTTAATTTTACATTTAAAGAAAATAAGATCAAAAATAGTATATATTGAACAGTAAATAAACAATAAATAAAAAAAAATAAAAACTGTTCCATGCCCTGATTCAGATACACCAAAGTGTTACAATAATTTTTTATTTTTATTTTATACAGTATTTATTTGTAAATTTAAAATTAATTTTTAGAAGAAAAGTTTATCACATTTATTTGTAAAAAATTACTACAACTCTCAAAGAACTGGCATAATATTTCCAATCAATAAAATAAATAAAATATAATAATAAAATGTTTATGAATACTAGCAGTAGATATTAACTGTTATATTGAATAGGAATTCTAATACTCATAAAATACATTTTTGTTCAATATTACCATTAAAAATAAAATTAAAAACTATGTTTACATAAAATAAAATCAAGGCAAAAAAAAAATCACGTGTCAAACAATGTATATTAAAAAAACAAAACCTTTGTGAAATACAAATGATTATGTGCAAAAGCCTATTGTGCATATTAAAATATGATGTAGGTACCTACTAATAAATTGTAGCAATAAAGCTGCTTTATTTAAAAATATAACTTGAACATTAATTTTAATTTAATAATAAATTAATTCAAAAACACGTTATTACATTTTATTTAAAGAGTAAAGAAAAAAATGTATTTCATATACCAATTTATACCAAAGTATGTTCCATAGTCTCATATAAACATAACTTGGTGTAAATTCTCAAGATATAAAAATAAAGGTATGTATTGCTTTAAAATTAGTTTTAAAATATATTAATCTATTTACAAATTTATAATTAACAATATTTGTAATTATGGATGTTTATGGTAAGTTATAAACCTGGCTCTATTTTAAGATTTATGTACTAAAGCTGGGTCCACACCTGAGCATACATTGCATTCTATTTCGAATAAATGCTCATGTATGTTTCAATTCATCTACGAGTCCAGTGTGTCGTACATTTAATTCCTTTTATTTTTATAGGAGACCAACTTCTGACGGACACAAAATAATGAGTTGAATATTGATCACAGTCCACAATTTCCATACAACCAATCTGGTACACAAAATTGTGATTTTAATTACAATGCACTCGCACATATGCTTAGGTGTGGACCCAGTTAAAGATACATAGGTTATTTAAATAATTAAAATGATAAACTGTTTTTCTTCAAAATTATTTAGTAAAACTATGAAATCACAGACAGTGTTTTCTATAAATTATATAACACATTAATACTTAGCTGCTAAATAATTTAAGCATTATTGTTGAGAAAAAAAAGATTGCAAATTTAATTAATTTAACTAACCACATTAAAAATAAAAACAATCAATTTAAATTAGCATTTATTAACACAACAAATTAAAACTTATGTTAAATGGAAACAAAATTAAAATATATGATTATATTTATGTTGTAAAATATATTTTTAATTTATATACTACTTATTAAGAAAAAAATGTTGCAATATTTATATTTATATTTATTTTGAATTAATTTATTGCCTTTCTTGCATTAAAAGTATTAGATACTTATTTAGATGTGTCTACAGTTGCGTCAGAACGAAAATTAATTTCGATAGATCAACAAAGTAAAGAAATAATTTTATCAATATTCTTCTTTGGTTTTTTTTTTATCCATAAAGAAATTAAAATAACATAAATTATTTATGGGCACTATTTACTTTTTTGGCAAATAGTTGTATTCAAAAATTAAAAAAAATATATATATATTATAATGTAATCATAATCTTTAAACATAGATAACTATAAAACAAATTTAAACAAAAGTTACAAATACTGTAACATAATTATATTGCAAACATTACACTAATTATAATGTATGTGATTTAAAAAGTTTTAATTATTTTGTATACTCAATAGTATAATCAATTTTCAGTTGTATAAATAAAATAAGCATTACTTTTTAAAACATTTTTATAAAGTCAAAAAAAAAAAAATTATAGCATTTTATAAAAATAATTACATATTTTTATTGTTAAATTTAGTACATAAACATAGATTACAATTCATACTGTAACTAATATACTATTAGGTAGTTAAAACTAATATATTATAAATCTTGTGAAATTAAAATGAAATCTGTTATTTATTCTGTAATACAATTAATGTACAAACTTAAAATATTATAAATTATTATTATTATTGGTTTTTCTGTTATCTGTTAAGAATTTAAAATTACATTTCTACAATATATTTTGCACATTAAAGCACTGTTCATTAAATAAAAATATTCTATGACAGTACAGATATAATCAGTGGTTGAATGTAGTGTGCTGCCACTATCACTTCATTTTTTTTTAAGATGCTCCCTACAATCATTGCTATTTTTTTTAAAGTGGTGCACTACTTTTTTTAGATTTATATAAGAAAACTTTTTTTATTTAATCTACAATTTTTATCTATCTTATAAAATTTAGTACCCTAAGTATTAATTCTTACAATATAATATAATAAAAATTTATTTAAATTTAAAGTCTCCAATAAAAGAAAAATAAACTAGTTATATATTTTATTTTACTATAAATTAAAATAAAACCATAATATAACAACAAATTCACAATTTTATTTTGGTAAAAATTAGTGTTAAAATAGTGAATTTTGCAGTTTTCCTATGAAAAATGTAACAATATCACGCTTTATGTTACTTCTCAAAAAAAAAAAAATTGTACACCACCAGTATTACAAGAAAAAGATAGCGCACTATTTCCAATCACTGGTTATAATTAATAAAAACAAGTGAATACAAAGAAAAACCAAATAATGTATTAAAATTAAATCATTAATTTTATAAAAAAAACATTTTATTTTTATTCATAAATATCTACTAATTTATATATTATTTTTTTATTAATTTTATTTAAATCAATTTATATTTGTTATAACAGTTAATAATTATTGTGTCTGAGGTGTATGTTATATTAATTATTTGTACATAATTATGTACCATTACCAAAAAATATCAATTTAACTGAGTTTTTCAATTAAGTTAATGTAAAAGTGTATTTTTATTGAACACAAGTATCAAATACATAAAATGTAACAATGCTAACTTCAGAAGAAAACATTCAAAAATAATAAGGAAACTACAATTTGAAAAATGAAACCACAAGCCAACACTGCATGAAGCATCCTACTAAAAGCAGCCGCTTACCTTGGGACGTTAGACACACGCCTGTCGGCCATCTGGACTTTGAATAGCTCAAGACGGGCTCTTCCCAGCACACGGCCCACGACTCTCAAGACAATGCTGTGTCCAACGCCACACACAACAAACCCATAACAAAGCTTTTACTTTTTGCAATCGCCAACAGAAAAAAAGTCATAGGCCTATCTCACTAACTTAATATGGCTACATGGCACTATGTGTAGACCAATCATAATATAAATGGGCCTTTCTCTAAATTTCTATCTAGATTTACTCACTAGAGTTTATGAAATACATGATATATATTTTAAAGTAGAAAATTAAGAAGTTATTGTTTAGGTTTCTAAACTAAGCAACATTTATATCCGAAATTTTAGTTTGAGTAAAATATTTATGGCATTTAAATTGAAAATTTTAATTACTATTAGTTGTTAATAATATTTACTATTTAATTTAATTAAGTAATCTAAATGTTTTAATAGCCGTGCTCAGTAATATCAATGAATATTATTTATAAAAAGTACTTTTTTCATATCTATCAAATTGAATATAGCTAGATGGTTAATTATTAATTTTGCAGATCATAAAATATATAGAAAAGGGTTGCTTGAAAAATTAATGTGTAACAAATTGTTTAATATATAAATATGCTTCCACTTTTTAATAGGACATTATAATTTAAAATCAAAATATACCTAATTAATTTAAAATATAAATATACGTTTGTATCTTGGTCCACCAAAAGAAGAACTACCAATTACATACACTACATAACAGAAAAATAAAAATAATATATGGAACCAATACATTTAACAATGTTAATTTTAAAAAAATGTGATATTAACACTATTAAAATTATAGGAACTATGTAGTAACTGTTAGAAATAAGAAGTAAAAACAACATGTTATAATTGATGAAAATATAATACAAGTATTGAGGTTCCCAAAAAATTTTAAATTAATAAAATACTATAAAAAACTTTGATAAAATTGATAGAATATCGAGTATTATATTTTAGAATTTGTGCTCTAAAAATTTACATCTATAATATTATTATCACAATATAGGAAAAATAAACTGTGAACACTCACACACGCAGACGCAACCATCTATAAAATGCATTAATTAGTTCTTCATTTTGGCTTGCCATTAAAAAATAAAGTAGGTATACTTAAGTCACATTGTCAATGCATATGACTTATAATAATAGAACCAAATATAATAAAATATAGTGCATTTTTATTTTATTATTTTTTTAAATATATATATATATATATATATTTTTTTATTTTTTTTCTTTGGCCTTTTTAGCTTATAATGTTTTTCCATTATGAATGACAGATAAATTAGAATACAAATTAAATATATATTTATATTGACACATGGATGCAAGGGTAAAGGAAAAACTTAACTAAAATGACCAAATAAAAATCCAGGAAATAAATAATAATGTTTCAAAAAGTAAATAGGACAGGTAGGTACACTACAGAGACAAGTCACTTGAGCTACATTGGGTTTTTATCATTGTTATTCAATGGATTAAAAAAAAACCATTCTAGATGATACATACCATTATTAGCCATCAAGTTCTCCTGCAACTTGTCTCGCTGATCTTCCAATACCTCACCCAAGTAGGATGCCACTTTATGGGTCACCTGATCAACAAAACTGTCCAATTTTCCCAAATCATCAGACAATCCAACTAGCTGATCCAATGTGCCCACTTTCAGGTCCGGTATATGAAATTTGTAATTGATGGACAGACTATTTTGCTTGCTAGTAACATTGTTGAGGGTTTCCCATGTCTGTTGGCAAGTCTTGTCTCCAGGAGCTGATATCAGCCAGTATTCCGACATATTACTGAGTTGTATGAAAATTAAGAATGCATACGGTTTTTAAAAATAATTGCACATATACATTAATAAAATTGATCAGAAAAAAAGGGCAGGGTCTATATAGAAAATATCAGATAAAATAATCCATAATTTGTGTACCTACAAATGATTGGGTAAAACGTATCGGGTAAAGAAGAATAAAATAATAGATTAATACTTACTTTTAGGTAGAAAAATTAACTTTGAAGTGAATAATTCTATTAATTAAAATAGACAGTTTGAGGACTGGAACACGCCTTAACCGAAAGAGACCTTGTTACTTATATTTTGTTAACAGTATGATCATTTGTTTTCGATAACATCTGAACTGATATGAGACGGACACACCCAAAATTTAATATTTGAAAGTTGTAGAAGTTGTAAATATTTACACTTAAAAATAATTCATTCAAATAATAATCGGCCTTACTTCTTTTCAAAAACAATTCAAATACAATTCGGATCAATAACGTTTGAATGTATGTTTTGTATCCATAAATAAAACTAATATAAATGAGAAAATGAGAAATAAAATCAATGGGCGAATATTACCAACATGGCGATAGAGATTAATTTTCAAGAAAGGGAAATTCCATTTTTTGACAACACGTCAATATGATTGATAACACGATTGATTACCGGATGATGAGATATTATCATATTTTCGAAATCGAAGTGTTCATTTTTTTTTTATTAATTTAATGTAGCCACTACATTAAATTAATAATATCCACGAATTCGGATTTAAAAGTAACTACTAAGTAGTAATTGTTGTAAAGCCCAACCACAAAATATATCTCACATTCCTCACATTTAGTTAAATTTTTTTCGTAACCAATTCTTAAATATTATATTTATTTCATTCATAATGGTCGTCAATGCTTCTGAAGAATCCATTAATCGCATAGGTATTGTGTTGGCAGACACAACCTTACCCATGAAAGAACGGTTCCGAGCACTCTTTACTTTAAAAAATATGGGTGGTAATTTGGCCATTGAAAATATCGCCAAATGTTTCATTGACGATTCATGTTTGCTAAAGCACGAATTGGCCTACTGTCTTGGACAAATGAGAGATGAATATGCTATTCCATATTTGGTTCAAGTACTTAAGGATGAAAAACAAGAGCCTATGGTTCGACATGAAGCAGGTATGATTATTGAATTTAATATAATGGCATTGGTTTTTTTTTAAATATTTATATAGACATTATATGATAAATGTTTTGCATTAATATTATATGTGATTTAAAAATACAAATAGGTATTTAATCATATAATATATATAGTATCGTATGTCCTTACAGTAGATTCAAATATAGTAAAAGTTAAAATTAAAATTAGATTAAGGTTAAAATAAAAGTGGTAATGTTTTGGTTGTTCTCCATCTTAGCCATCATAAGTCAATTTCCAGTTTGTTCAGCCATTGGATAGCTTCATTTGATGATTGTATAATAATTCCATTGTTTGAAAACATTAAAAGTTTTCATATTTATGCATATTAAGTGTTTATTCTTAGCAACAGGAACTAATATGATTTTAATAAACGGGCAATTAAATATTTATCTACATGTATTATGTAACTACATAGTTTTTATTTTTACTTTTAGCTGAGGCACTTGGAGCAATTGGTAAAGAAGATGTAATACCAATTTTAGAAGAATATAAAAATGACCCGGTTATTGAGCTAGCAGAGACCTGCCAGTTAGCCTTAGGACGACTAGTATTACCTAAAAGTGAAGCTAATGTTGAAAATATATATGGATCTGTAGATCCAGCTCCTCCTTCACAAATTAAAAGTCTTGAAGAACTTGAAAAAATTCTTAATGATGAAAATGAAACTCTATTTAATAGATATAAAGCAATGTTTTCACTACGGGATATTGCATCACCCGAAAGTATTATTATACTTTCTAAAGGTAAATAATATACTATACATTGTTATAAACAAACAAATAATTAATAATAATAACTATGCTTTGTTTTAGCACTGTCACGCGGAAGCGCTTTGTTTAAACATGAAATAGCATTTGTTTTGGGACAATTACAATCACCACTTAGTGTACAATATTTAAAAGAATCATTAATAGATGAAACTCAAAATGATATGGTTAGACATGAATGTGCTGAAGCATTAGGTGCAATTGCCACAGTTGAATGTTATGATATATTAAAACAGTACTTAAGTGACCAAAAAGTAGTAGTCAAAGAAAGTTGTGAAGTAGCACTAGACATGTGTGAATACGAAAACTGTCCAGATTTCCAATATGCTGATACATTGGAAAAAATTACTTCTTAAGTTAATAATTAATACATGTTTTGTAATTTATACTTAATCTGTTAAGTTCTAATACAAATAATTTATTAAATACAAGTATTTCTTCGACAAATTTAAAATTGTTCTATTTTAAAAACTGATGATTTATTTTGAATGTTATTATTATCCATTATAATCTAATTTCACTTGTAATTTAAATTGCATTATTTTTTCATGGCTAATAATTATTTTCATTTGATAATTAATTTTTAAATTATATTGCATTTTTTCTATGGAGAAATGTATATGTAAATTCAAAAGAATATGTTTTATCATTGGTAATGAAGAATATTTTGCCATTTAAGGATATATTTATAGATTAATTACATTACAATAAATTATTTGTCTATGGTAAAATATAATAAACAATATATGTTCAAAGTCAGGTTTTGAAAATAGTTATTCATAATTTTACTGTAATGTTAGACATGCTAACTTTTTTACTTAAGGACTGCATTTACTTAGCTTTTATTGTTACACTATCTACTTTTTCACCATATATTAGTTTAGATGTTGTATGAGGGAGTATTAGAAAGTAGGATATATAGAGTAATTTAATTTATACATTGTGTGCAATGCTGAATCATTGCGAACGACTCTGACCAGAGTTTGATTAAACACATTTTCATAAATCAAAAATAAAAATTGTGTTACTATGTAACTAAAAAATAAATAACAAATGTTATCATACATTTTAATACAATGCTTTAAAAATAAATTAAGTTCAACTTATATCTTTTACTATCTAGTACACCTTGTGATAAATCTTATATCAAATTGTTGAGCACATTTGTCAAGCCAAAATAGATTTCTTCATATAAATGGAAAATAAACTAAAAGTAGTTTGTTAAAATTATGATTTTTAAATATTTCATCAAAATTTGAATTTAAAAAACTCTAAATTTTGATGCATAATTTATATATAAATCATAAACAAAACTTGCAAATTCAAAAATTTAGTAGTAAGCAAGCAATTTTTTCAACAATTTAAATTCTGGCACCAACTTAAATATCAATTATTATAAATGATTTTAGGCCTTCAAACGTCTTCTTTGTTCCAAATGTGGCACCTTTTTCAAATTTATGTCTTAATAGGATAAATTATTCAAAAATATAAATAAATATTAACTAAGAATTAAGAATGTTTTTAAAAATGAAAAATATTACATTTAAAGGTGATCTATAATTATAAATCATCTACAAAACTTATGTAAATTGATACGGAATTATTTTTGAAGTTCTTATTTATAACTGATATAAAAACAAAATGTTTTCATAGAACTGTTCATTCATGACAATAAAATCATTTTGAGATTGTAAATTCTTACAGTAAACTGTAGATTGTAAGCCTAGGTTATTAAAATAGACGGTAATTTTTCGGATAATGCACAATCAGTGCATTTGAAATAGAGTCTGTCAAGTGTTTGGATTCAACTGGATCAAATTTAGCTTTCACAGTCCACAGCAAACAGCTTTCAACTTCTTTAATGTTCTTATCATCCAACATTTTTAAAAGGATTTTCATCATACGACCATAATGATCATGAACAACTGCATACCAAATATTGAAATAATTGAAATTCTAATAAAAAATAACAAATTTAGAACCAAATTAAAAATTCTGCACTAATATTAAAATATTTTGACAAACCTTTAAATCAGAATCTGGAGAGATATAAAATGTAATTTTTACCCATATTTCATCAATAGATTTAAGAGCTTTACTATCTTCATCTTCTTCTTTGTTGATTATATGATGAAAATAGTATAATTGACACAACGCAGCACCTTTGCGACAAAGTGCTTCAATCACATTGGCCTTTAATCGGTCATTAACTCTGAAATATTCCAATAAATTCATATAATTTTATTTTAACAAATTTTTAAATTATTACGTCTTTAGTTTAGCTGCTTCAGGTCTTTGATCAGATCTAATTCCATAAAATGCAAGGAGATCTTTTTGATCAATCATGGACAAAACACAATCAGCAGCAACAACTAAACATTTTAATTTTTCTATGTCTAAGTCTTGCAAAATTAAAACATTTGGAAATTTTTTTTTATCTTCAGGTTCAATACACTGTATCCATGATATATGAACGGAAGAGTTTTTATTCCCAAATTCTTCACATAATTCATCATACAGTTTTTTAGAATCAGCACCATACTCTAAACAATTTTAAATTTAAAATAATTTAATTTAATTTAATTATTTATTATAATATGTTAAATGACCCATACTCCATAGTATTGTCATATACATTCTACACATTATAGTTGAACATAACATATTGTATTCAAAAATGAGTATTAGTAGGTAATTACCTAATTTTGTCAACCAATTTGATTTGGTTTCACACATCACTTCATTGAATTCGTCCAATTTTGTCTTATTTTCATCTACTAATTTTGGTACATTTTTTGATTGATTTTTTGATGCATCTGTTATAAAATACTTGAAATCATAGGTATCCTAAATATACAATACATATTTGTTTGAAATAGTATTTAATACAAAATTATAATAAATAACTATAGTATACTAATGGTACATACAACTTTCTTTCCATTTTCATCTTTGGCAAATACTATATTACCAGACAAACATTGTCCAGCTGTTAATTTTAAAGAAGTAATTCTAAGAAAAAAATTAGTTTATTATTAAGACAATATGTAAGATTATCAATAGGGCTCGGAAGTTGTTACATTTGCACCTTTTTTCTATTGTTTGAATTTATTGCTAAGTAAGTTTTAAATTTGTTCTATGCAAGTACAAATTAAAATCTAAAGAATTTTAGTTCAACTTTTTACATTTTTTTTGATCTGATTGCAATTTTGTTGATTTTCCTCACTTATAATATAATTTTTGATACTTTTAAATATTGATTTAATTTTTTTTTTACATTAGAAATAAAATAACGACAGGGGCCTTGTCATATATTAATATGTCAGAATAATATAATAATTAATGGTTGTTTCTGGCTTTGTCAATTGTGATAGCAGTGGTGGAAATATTATTTGATAAAACGATGCACGAGTAATAATTTCCCCAAAACATGGAATATTTTTATATTTTTGATAAATAAAATAATTTATTGCAATTTTGGGTATTTTTGAATAATACAATTATTTTAATGCTTTTTTAGTGTAATAACTTCCGAGTCTTAATTATTAAAAATATTTTCAAATTGGCACACGCACTTATCATTAGAAATTGATCCAACAAACAAATGAACCAAATCACTATTAGGTGTTAAGAGAAAATTTGGCAATTTTTTTCCATAAATCGTAGCTTGATAATGACTTGTGTACACATCTACACTTAAATGGTTTTGCAATTTTTGTACCAATTGTATTGGCAGATCTATAATTTTCTCTAATAGTTCTCGCCGGTCATGTCGTACGTGCATTTTAATAGTATAGTCTCCTTTGTCTAATTTATATACATGCTATAAGATAAGTAATAATAATAATTTTAAAAATGCATTCAACTATTTTGTAATTTATAGTAAATAATAAAACTAAAATTTATACTCTGCTTGAATATGCATCACCGGCCGTAATGTACTGTTTATTGTTATCAAATAACATCCATAATTGGGATTCATATTCACATTCGTACAAAAGTTCACCAAATAATCCACAAGTCGCGTATGCTTCAGTTGATTTCAACAAGGAGAATGTATAAGTTAAAGTAAGTGAATAGATTGGTATTTGAGGCGGTAAAGTTTCCGACAAAGCTACAACTTTTGAATCAGTCGGTCTAAAATATATATTATATTAAGATGTAATAAACGTTTGTTAAACAAAACAAGGAAAGTATTAGTTTTAATATGATATGTGTGATTTTATTTTTACTATCATACTTAAGAACAGTAATTAGATGTTTTAAGGAAACTGCAGGAGAGATTTCTTCATTCTTTATGCCCGGTTTCAAGGTTAGTGACTGTAAGCCCATACCGTGATACATTGCTAGACTTTTAGTTGAAGGCAAATTTCCATTGAATTGTAGTTTGTATGACAGTTTTGTGTTTGCTGCACTAGACCAATACTTTGCCAACGCACACTCCATTACCACATTTTCCTGTTAAAATAAATAATATGTAAATTTAAGGACTTTTAAATGTAAAAGTATTGACTAATAAGTATAGGTTTAACTAGATAGATAATTATATCAAATAATAAATATGCAACCTAATGTTCTATACAATTTTTCATTTTTTCAACATTGAAATATCGTGGTTAACCTTTTGAGACTGGGAAAAAATGTTAAAATACCTAATCTAACCTAATTAGTAAGAGGTGGTGAGATTTTTGATCATGTAGGTATCCGATTTTCAAACCTATTCATCTAAAAATTAATCCAAAATTGGTAGTTAATTACATAATAGGTACCCAAACAAATTATGTTTTCTTTTTTTTTTGCACAAAGTAAAACCCAAAGGCCATACTTCAACCCAATATCAGAATTAAATAAATTTAATAATAATTTAGTTTTTGAAAAAGCCTAGCCCATAATTACCACATTACAATTATATACATTACTATTGTTTTAGATAAATTTAATTTTTTTTTTATATAATATATTCTGGACCACAGATCAATACCTCATAAATTTATTTGTACTAACAATAAAATCAAAATGATTTTTTTTTTTCTATATTTGGTGTCTTACGAAGATATATCCATTGTAATATCACTGAAAATAATCATGATAATCAAATTCTGTTTTCTTTATATATTACTTATAGAATACGGACTACAAATATTTATATTGCAATTATTTATTTATCTTTTGAAAAATAACTTTTGATTTTATTGTTTTTGTAATATTTTTTATAGAGTTATTCTTCTGAAAATGTTAACGTATCAACTCTTAAAGTTCACAGAAATACCTATTGTACCTATAATTATGCAGAAAACTGTAATGAAATTAAATAATTGATTATGACTATTACTAATTGACTATAATTTTTTTCATGGACTTTAAAAAGTTACTACAAATCATGAATTTAATAAAAATAAACCGTTGATACGTCAACATTTTCAGAAGAATAATTGTATGTAATGGTTATCTTCAGATTTTACAAAAGTAATAAAATAAAGTTATTTTTTGAATTTTTACCAAAACATACAAAATTAATTGAAGTATAAATATTTGTACTCCTTATCCCAGTGAGTAATATAAAAACCAAACAGAATTTTAATATCTCCGGCAGGGGCGTCACACACAGAAGGTGAGGTGCAGGGTGTAGGGTACTATGGTTTGGTGTTTAATGGAAGGGGTAAATGCCCCCATCGCCACTCTCTGAATCTGACACTGAACACTTATTAATTATTATAAATTGTTTTTGATGTAAATCACTTTAGAATTGGAGTAATAAGTAGTATAATCATAATTCATGGCGTTCTCTATAGATTCCTATACGAAAAATATGGTATTTTGTTATTACTTATTTTTCCATGAAAAATAGGGTTTAAGCAAACATCAATTTAATAGAATTTGTGATTGGATAATTTGATAACGATACTCAGTACTTGCTCAAAATGTTCATAACATTTGTCGGTACCTATTTGATATTTTTCCAGTGAAAGCCTAAATAATAGTCTCGTGGTTATCAGTTATCAGCTGTTCTTCGAATATTTTGAAAAATATATTAGGTAACAACAAAAAGTTCGGAGAATTATACATTTGTACGACTTTAATGAGTACGGAGTACTTAGATAGGTACCTATCAAACGGAATTTCATTTTACCGGTCATATTGATACAATTCGCAATAACTATAATATTATTAGGTACCTGGTACCTACTATCAAATTGCATTATCTGTCATAACAATAACTAATCTAAAGTCTGATTACTTATTATGTATCGAGTAACACAAAAATTGAAAAATATGTATTATCTATTCTCAACTAAAAGTTTAATATATAATTTTTTAACTTATGCTGTGCGTTTTTAACCCTTTAGATTTCGTAAAAAATTATCAAAGAAATATGGAGGGGATTATTTATTTCATTATAAAAAGCCCAGAGAAACTTATTATAGAGGAATAATTTTTAAAAATAACACCGTTCAAACGTTGCAATCGAGACGATCACGCCCAAGCGTCGTCGTCTGCTGACAATATTACCACAAAAGAAACGGTTTGTTCATGGGTGTTAAAAATATTACATTTTTAATTAAATTCAGTTTGTATTCGCTATCAAGACTCTCTAGTGTTCCCTATACAGGATGAATCACTAAGCGTACTCACTCCATTTTTTTGGTTAAATTTTGCATATATTTAAATTCTAATTTTTGGAATTTTTAAGTGCAGTTAAATTCCATATTTTTGAATATTTAGATTTCTCACAATATTTAAGGGGAACCTATCCCGTGGCGATACCAACTTTGGTTTTTCAAATGCGAATCTTTACTAAAAATTCCATAAATAGACGGAGTATTACTTTAAATAAATGTTGGTATCATAATATTTAATTTCCGTTAACTCTTTAACGAGATCTTCCACTTTTAAGTTTAGGTAGGGGAAGAGTAGAGGAGTATGATTTGTGTGATGGCACGGCGCGCGGCGTTTTATTAGTAGTTCACTACTCTCCCCCTACCTAAACTTAAAAGTTAAATATCTCGACAATGGATTGACGGAAATCAAACATTTTAATACCAAAATGTATTAAAGTAATCCTCCGTCTATTTATGGAATTTTTAATATAGGTTCGCATTTGAAAAACCAAAATGAAACAATGAAACGGGTAATGCCCGTTTCAACTATAATTTTTTTTCGGGTTTTTCCCAATTATTTTGAAAACTCCTTGGAAAACCAAAAAAATAATCTGTCTAAAACACCTACTACAGAAAATCGAGTTCCATCGTCTGTATATGTGACAAACTATTTTAACGAATCACGTTACTAATCGACTGTCCCACTGGGGTGTCGTTAAGGATCGTGAAAAACAAGCGGCGTCAAGCCGAAGACTAAATTTGCTGTGGGAAGATTTTTTTTTTTCTTTCGTATTACAGATAAACGAGAATTTTTCGGTCCGATCAATAAGCGTTTATAATGTTTGTAAAAATAAATTACAAAAAACGCGTCTTAACCATTAACGTGGATGTGATTAGTTAAAGGGTTAACATACCTCGACAGGAAAATGCGCTTGAAAATGGTTAGCTTTCATGCTAAACATCTTACAATATTCCATGTGTTTACACGATTTTTGGGGCAGAAGTTGAACAGTGTGTAAACAAAAATTGGCGTTCACGTCGGCATCGAGATGTTTTATATGGATAGCTTGAAATCAAAAAACAACACAAACATAGTTTTATAAACGAAACATATGCAGTTTTATTTCTTTAGTTTTGAAACCAAATTATAAGTGTCACTCACATGCCCACGTGACCTTGCTGGGCACTAATATAAAATGCCTTTTTATAAACGAGTTCGTGTTGAATTCGATATCATCGAAAGTCAACCAACTAGAATTATTCCTCACTTTTAGCGGCCGAACAATAGTGACTTCAAACGTGAACACGGGTCCTTTCTCAGTGTTTTTCGAATCGTAAGCCCGTACACTGTACAAATGCAAGTAGGTCGTAAGATAGGTATAACAGTATTAGTTCGTTGGCCGGCAAAGCACCTTACAAATATTGCCAAACGTGGTTTTAAAAGACTTACGTGGAAGTGTGCACACCCGTGTCTAATCCACTGGGATCGACTTTCACGTTAAAATTGCGCGGCATGTACATCAGTTCCAAATGCTTAGGTACACTAACCCAGTAGACGTCACTGATTAAGCACAAGCTCAATTGAAATTCGATTTTTTTCTCAGCAACTGCAACAATATTAATTCAATATATAATAATTAACGTTAATGAAATTTGAAAGACTGTAAACCGCGAGATTCACTATGACGGATTCGCAGGGACTCGAGGTTGCCAATTTATTATGTATTCATTGCAATGTTTTCCAAACATGTTTCTGATATTTATTTTTTTATAACGTTTTGTTCAATTTTCAAAACGGATATTAAAAACCAATAGAAAACCCGGATAAATATCGTGATTTAAAAAAAAATATCGAATGTACAATCAACCGTAGACGAGATATTTATTTAAGCATATTTTAATCATTTCAACACCAAATTAACTAACTCCGACCCGTGCAGTTGGCGGCTCATAGGCTACCTACGAATAAATAATAAAAATCGAATGTATGTTTAAGTACGCAAAATCTTAGTTGATTAAATCGTAGACAGAAAGCTATAGGATCATAAACATCTTGTTCTGTACAATTATTAGTGATTTTTGTAAAAAAGCGAAGTAGGTACTTAGTGGCTAGTGTTTTTTTTTTTCAAAATAAAAATATACACCGAAATCACAACGGAAACATTTAATATTGAACAATTTGTTTTGCCAATTAGTAAATAGGTAACGCTCAAAATTGGGTTACTTTGATGACCATCGGGACGTAAAAAAATTCTTCGGTAAGACAATTTAGAAATTATAATAATAAATACTTAACAATAGAACTGTTCTATAAAAGACAAACAGAATTTTGTCCAAAATAACATTTCAAATGAATGTAGGTATAATATAAAACTATATTGTATGTATGTAATAATTGTAATAAATATTGTAATAATAAAATGAAAACAAACCCCGTGTGTAATGCAAAACTAATAATTACTGAGGGACGATTTCTGAAATAGGGTAATTTTAGGCAGCTAGTGGGATGCTATATTTTCCAATATAGATTATAAATTATTGAAATTACACTGGAATAAAAATATTGTAAACTTTATTTTGTGAAAACAGCTAGACGTTAAAAAACAAACATTTTAAAATATTTGTGTGTGACAGGTTGAACATTTAAAATCGACCGATGAGACGTGATAATAATATTATATTATATTTTTGCATCAATCGTGTTAAACATGATCGACACTGCACCGGCGGCAGCCGTTAAAATCGGAAATACAATATTTAATTAACAACAATAAGAAACCTCTATGTTTAAAATATACGAACCGGTCATTTAGTTCCGTTCAGTAATAAAATGTAGGTACCTATAGATATAATCTATTTTCATTTCATAAATTGAAATACAACAATGAAAAGTAATATGTTATTTTTAAAATTCATTATATCGTAGAAACTAATTTCGAAGTATATTTAGTCAAAGACCTTGAAATAATAATCATGGGAATAGAGAAACGAAACGAAAATCGTAGACACTTTATTTATTAGCCCCTTAATTGGTCCATTGATAACAAACGGTAACAACAATATTAAACCGCGTATGCCATCAAATATTGACATAAAAATGTGTCAATAATAAATATTTTAAACATTATTATTTAAAACCGTATGAAGTCGTAAATATTATCAGTTATCTAATATGAAAAATTTATTAATATCGATAATATAATCAATATTGTTATTTTCGTTACAATATTATAAATTCACAAATAAGTAAATGTTGTCAAGGTACAATAAATGCGTAGGTATTTGTGAATGTATATTGTGAATGTTAGGTATTCAACTGATGTTAAATCATTGCAAACGAAAAAACAATTCTGAGTGTGACACCAAGTAATACATTTAAAAATTGTAAAACTTTCAAATTTGCCGGTGCCCCACAGTAACCCGCTAAACTCCCGAATCGAGTTAACTATATTCAGAATTAATTGTTCGATGTTTCAATTATGGCAAAAGGGTGAGCTTCTGGGAATTTCGAAAAATCTTTCAAATAAAGTACCACGGGGTAGAAAATCTGTCAGACAAATCTGAGCATTTTAAAAAAAATCAAAAGAATGTTTTCCGAAAGAAAAAAAACCAACACATTTTCGTAAAACGTAAATGTTCTTCATAACAGGGGAAGGGTGTTATGGGTGTCTAGACACCCTCCTTCTGTAAGTAATATAAATTTATTAAAACGTGTTTTCTTTTTGATACGTAGACATACGAAACCCCTCCCCCCTCTCTTCAAAAAAATCTTGGTTTCGCCACTGTCTAAAATAAATATATCAATACAATAAAAGTTATTAAATATACAGGACGATAAATCTACTGTAAAATACTTATTATCTTGGAAAGTGTTAACTTTTTCAGAATTTGTTTTATAGAACATTATTCAATTTTGGTAATGAAATTTTTGATTTCCGTCAATCCGTAGACGAGATATTCCGCTTTTAAGTTTAGGTCGGGGCCCGGGGAAAAAAATACCAAAATCTATTTTAATTAATACTCCATTTTGGATTTTATTTTTATTTACGTGGTCATTTGAAAATCCAAAGTAGATAGTGGTTTTACCTCCAAAAACAAAGTTGACAAAAAATAACATTGTACATTTGTAAAATATTTTACATACGTAAAATTGTAAAGCTGATTGTTTCTTAAATTTTCTATAAATAAAAAATCCGAAAAAAGTTAATACTTTCCGAGATGAGATAATGAGTGTCTTACGATAGAATATAATTAGGTATACTAATTAGTACATTTCAAATATTTTTTTTTTTTTTGGTATTTATTTACTACAACCACCTGGTTAGGTAACCATCGAATAGAATAAAAACAACTTAAAAAGGTTTTTATTTTTAAATTACCAAATATTATAAAATATGATTAAAAAATACGAGTATTATTGTTGTCCATGATATATGTTCTTATATAACACCTGGACACAGTTGCCGTTACGCGAGTATTTTCAAACGCTCCGACAACGGCGACGACGACTCGAAAAATAATTTATTTTTTATTTTTTTTTTTAAACAAAGTCGTTGTTTGTTCGATGCGAGTTTTCATCGCGATAACGGCGATAGATATTCGCGAAGGCGACGATTAATTATAATAATAATTTATCAATATTTATAATGTTAAAATTCAGCCGTCGCATAAACCTAGACATTTATCTGTAAAAAAATTAAAAAGAAAAAACAATTTTGTTTTATCGTCCGTGTTATATTATTGTCGAATAATACACGAACAAAAAAATACGTTAAAACCCTATTAAAATAATTATCGCACGGGCGAAATTAAATTATTATAAAAAGAGTTCGGAACTGTAATAATTTAAACGCGCAAAAAAAAAAAAAATAATAATAAAGAACATAAAGCAGATAATAAAGAACATAAAATGTCAATAGAGAAAAAACCCCGGAATGAATTCTACCAGCCGAGAATAATATCATAATAAATGCACGATAACCACGTGTATTGTTTTTTTCCTTTCTGTTTTTAGATTCCCGGCGTTAGTTTTATTGCGACAGCCAGGACGCACGCGCTCTTGTGTTTCGTTCTGCGCGAACAAGTTTTCGACCAAACTCCACGTTCCGACTATCAACATCATGGATGGTTTCAGCGGTTACAGGTAGGCGAACGCGTAGTTTTTGATTATCCGGTTTTTTTTTTTTTATTTGGATTTTTACGGATAAAACATTCGAAAATTCTATTACACGAGGTACCAAGGTCCGGGGTGTTATGGGGTCCGGGCATTACATTTCAAAACGGGACAGGGCGTTATCTTATAACAAACAGTAGAACCGTGGTCTTTTACCTATTGACTCACTGGCCAAAGTGTACTACACTCACACAAGCCACACACCAAAGTCCTAAGTGTTGTGTACAATGCAATAACACGTAAAGTGTACAGCTCGAAATTTCAGCGCAGTGGCGGTATTGAAGGGGAAGATATATCTCCTCCCCCTCTCGACATTTTTTTAGTAGCTATTATCTATAAGAATACTTATTTTTCAAATTCTAATTTTTAGTCGGAAAAATCAAAAATATGTTAATACTAAATTAATAAATAAAAAAAAAACCTTATCTGAATTATTTATAAAGAAGATTCTTTTTCTCCTTATTCTTAGAATAATACAACTAAACTAATAATATAAATAATAACTACCTATAATATTTCAATGTTAGAGCAGTATGAATTATAAAATACCTTACGAAAAATGTATACATTTAAAATTAGGTCTTTTTTGTTACAGCCTGGGTAAACATATAATCCATGTAACAAAATGTCTAAAAATTCAATATCTCCCTCCTTGTTGAAATCTTAACTAATCACAGTGTGTTCCAGTACGTTGTGGGCGCAAAAAAAAAAAAAATAAATAAATAAGGGGATTTGCTTAAGAATACAGTGCTCCACTAGAAATGTAAATACGTCTCTGTCCTCGACACAATACGCAGTCGTTTGTTTCGCGCCAATATAATTCGAGTCGTCGATTATTCATTTGATTTATATTCCGACGAGAGCAATAATTTAAACCAAAGACGACCTTTATGGAATTTTTGAACAACTCGGATTCTCCGATCGTAATAATATTTTATTACATTATTTGTTTTTTTTTTTTTTTTTTTTTGATACGTGGTAATATCAAACGACGAACGCATATGGATCGACCAATGACGATATTGTATTATTATTTATTAATTATTATCATTTATCGAAATATTGTTGTTTTGAGGCGTTCTCGCGAAATCGTCAACAACCCCTCTCTCTGCCACCGGCCCAGGTGCGCCGACGACGTTTTTGTTTTTCTCCGAAAACGTACGTCCCGGTTTAGCGGAAAAACTGTCAAGTGTGGAAAACCGCACGCAACAGCCGCGGCCTATAGGTGGACGCGGCTAATTATAGACGGGGAGGGGTTGGGGAAAGAAGAGATACGATAATGCACAACAACAACGAATGCCCAGGACCGTAATATCGGCTCTCCTCTTCGAAATTTTAATATTATTATTCCTGGAAAGCGATACCGGTCGAGAACCGCCGATCGAAAAACGCAATACCGACTACCAAGGATCACGGGGCGGGGGTGGCGCGGAGTGGGGTTCCCCGGTCCCGTACGGCGCGAACAACAAACATCATGTCCGTCTTGTCGCTCGTCACTCCGCTCCGGTCCGTTTGAGTGGCTCCATCGTCTCTGTCGTCGCCATTCCGTTTCGTCGAGTATATTGTAATATTAAATATACATTCGATTTTTGTCCGCCGTGAACGTCTCGTAATATTGTATTCTCATTGTTCGTACACGAGGAGAAACCACGAGCGCGCACACGACGGCTTTGTACTTTGCCGACCGTATTCCGTTATTATTAATTGTACAACAACGGCGAGTAAACCGTGATTTTTCGTGTACCCATTGTAAAGGTGAGTTTAAATTTTTTTTTTTTAAATTTTTCATTGAAAATACAATCCGAAATTTAGCCACCCCGCCGTCCTAGTAGTGATCTACAGTTTTCTTGATATTACCTACGTGGAAACTCGATAATTTAGTATGAAAAAAAAAGTCTTAATATACCTATGCATTTTTAAATCAATAACAAAACTGTGTACTTTGCGTATAAAAGATATTCTACAATTTGTTTTCCGAAATTTAATTTTCGAATCTCCCCAGTCGTGTAAAATCTTCCATAAAATTGTAGGTACCTAGTGGGCGCTACTTAATATTTTATATCTGTCGCGAATTGTAACAAAATTAATTTTACCCTCTACATAATTAGGTACTAAGAATAATTTTTAAAAATAACTACACTGCTTAATTCGATATGAGAAACTATACAAATTGGCTACAATATGTTTTACATTGATAGAATTCTCACGTGTTCTAAATTTGGTCTGATATCGTATTATAAAAAACCGCGATAAGCTATCATCCGAAATACATAGATAATTATTATTTAAACTTATATCTGTGTCTTGTTTATAAACTCTAATGACGAAAACTCTTATTTGTTGCTATAATTGGAACAGGATATAATAATAATTTTTTTTGTTATTTTTAAAATTAATATCCACCGAAAAGGAATAATCAAATCTAATCGGAATTAGCGCCTGGCGCACATATCCATTTAAACTGCATTTGGTTACGTACAATTTTAAATAAGTTCCAATATTTATGTTTATATCCATATAAATTTTACCACGATATTTTGCCATGATTATCGTTATAGCTAACTTAAAAAGTGAGCATGATAAACATCGATTCCACTTATTGGTTCAGGTCTTACTTAATATAATTTTCTAATTTAGAAATCGTTATTCCTGTAAACATTTATTTTAAAGTAAATTGGATTATTTTTGTTTTTCTCTGTTTAGAAATACCGCCGACCTGATATGTGGTTTATTCTGGAATAAAATTGCAAATCTTTTATTTTTCTTTAATATACTAGACTGTCTAATAATAAACTGTTATTTATTAAGAAACCTGTATTGTTATTTAAAATTAAAATAAACGATACTAATATATGACTGAACGGAGGTAAAATAGCGATGTGCGTTATTTCCGTCCGTTTACACAAAAACGGAAATTATTTATTATTAGTATTGTTTATTACAAATAAAATACCAACTAAGTAATAGATTAAATAACTAATTATAGTCGGTTTTATTATTCGTGTACTATTAGTACTATTATCCCCACCTATAATATTACAAAATTAAAAAGGACCGCTACACCAGCATTTACCTGTCTCAGTCTTACAAACCTACTACATAACAAATTTTCGTTTTAAATCGAATGACCTATTAGAAATCTTAAAGTAAACAATTTTTTTGTGACCCAGTTGAAGTTTTTTCCGTATTTAAATGTTTAAGTTTGATGAAGTTTTTGAATTGTGATATTTTCAAATACTCATATTTCGGTTTGGTAAGAGGAAAATTCACCTATTATTAAAACTAATGGCCCAAAATTTGTCCTATTGAAAACAAATTTTGTTGTCGCACATTTGTAATACTGAGCACTACATATATTTTAAAGGCCGGTAATATTTACGATTTTCTTCAAAATTTGATATTAAAAAAAAACTTACTACAATAACTCAACTTTTTATTGTTGATTATGAAGTACAACTAACCATGAATCCCCTGTTAAATGTTCTTCAAATATTGATCTAACAATTTTATCCACAGAGTACCTATTAAATAAAAATGTTTAAAAAACCCTCAAAATTATAATGTTTATATAATTTGCTCAAAAATGACTCAAATGTTTGAAAGTTTAACCATATCTAGGATAGGAAAGTTTCCTGTCCAAATTTCAAGTCTATGAACTTTTTGAATTACAACAAACTGAATTGCAACAAAAAAACAAAATTGAAAACATTAAAGGGCATTAATATTTTAAAAATGATATGTAAATTTTCCCAATTATTATAAAAAATGCCCTCCCTAAATTATTAACCAGACAAAATTCCCTTTCAGAGAAGGTGCTAATCGGAACAAGATTTCTGATAGAATTTTTGTACACGGTACAAATCATTAAATCATATTAAAAACATTATCACTGTTAAGATAATTTTAAAACCAATACATTCCTTGCTTTACTCCTAATTAAAAAAGTAAAATTTAAATTTACTGAGAAAAACCACAGTAAATGATCCAGTAGTATGGTTTGATTAAAAACTTTCTTTTAATGAACATAATATTTATTTTATTAGAAATATAGCATTAATGAAATTAGGATTTTTTTTAAATGCACTTGTGCACCCTTTAGGGATGACTTAAATTAACAACTCGGATCAGTCGATTTTTTGTTCTCATTTCGATCATGTACTCTTTATCTGGCAACCATATTCAAAAATCTATTTACAAAATTTGGAAAAATTCAAAATTGTATTGAACTCTTATGTTTTTGTCTATAGAACCCACATTTAGGCTTCAAAGTAATGGGAAACATTTTAAATTTATTAATGCTTGAAAGTTTTTTTTTTCAAATAGAATTAAAATATTTGTATGAGTTAAAAAATAATATAATTAAAGCCCTGAAAAACTTATTTTATATAACAAAAAAAGTCTAAACATCGTACATTGTTAATTCATAATCAAATGTTGTTTGGTTATGTAGAAAATTTTAATTTTTTTTTTTTTTTTAATACATCTTTAACAGAGTTTAACAGTTATTTGAGTAATTTAGATGTTATTAAGAGAAAAGAAATATATATACATTTTGTAAATTGTTGTATTTTTTGATTCAATTTTGTTTTGAACTCTGGCTTTTGAGTAATTGGAAACAATTTTAAAAACATCTTATATTAGAGTACTCTTGGAAACAATACGCGATTTGATTTTTTAATTTTCTGTCAAATTTTAACTGAGGTATTGAAAAAAAAAAATTTCAAAAGTAAATAGTGTGATGCTGCAGAATTTGTGATAATCGGTCAGAAAATCTTCTGATTTTAAACAATTTATGTGATAATCGACCAACGTTATCAGTTATCTCATAAACTCCATTTAAAAGTTACAATAAATGTTTTTGAGAATACATCCTTTATAAATTATTTGTTTTTATGTTGCAGGTCAAATTTTTTTTTTCTAGAAATTGTTATATTTTCTTAATAACAATGTATTGTGCATTTCCAAACAATGCTTTATTATTTAATGATTATTATACGGTTTGTATATTTTGAATTTATTAGTCATACTAATTATTTCAATGCCTAACATTTAATAAAAGTTAATTTATACATTTTAGTCAACCCCTCGTTATTGTGCTTCATCTCCATTTTCTCAATCATCATACATGTCTAGTGCATCAAGTTACTCACAATCTTCATTTTCGCCAATATCATCAGAATCTTATGGAAATGATAATGTGTTTAAATTTCCTCCAATAATGAAAGACCAATATATTGTAAGTATTACAAATACAGATTTCTTTTGTTTATAATAAATTTATTTTATTTTTCTATTAAAAATGTAGCCATATACACCAACATCATCACAGACTTCAGAATCCTATGGAAATGATAATGTGTTCAAATATCCTCCAATAATGAAAGACCAATACATTGTAAGTACTGTAATATAAATTGTTGACTATAAATATATGTTTTTTATCTGTTAAAAATATAGCCTACACGTACAGACTTGATAAGTGCTACTATTGCTAGAGCTAAAAACATTGTTGAAATAGAAGAAATTGGTCAACGTTTAATTTCAGTTGATAAAAGACACGTTATTCAAAATAATGGTCAAAAAACTTTATTGTCTATTGTGAAACAAGAACCAAAACGTGGCAGTGAATTATATGTAGCATTGCCAAAAGGTTGTTTGGAAGGATTTCTTTATGCTGTTTTTTCCCAGGTGATTTAAGCTTTTAGTACATACAGAGCGATTCAATATATAAGTTACAGTTATGTAAATATTCAAAATTGAGAAAAATGTATAATACAAAAGTTTATGGTTTATAAAATCTAAAATAATCTGTTTTTGGAAGGTTTTAGGAGATAAAATAAACTTAAGCATTTTTCAAATAACTTGTATTCTAAATACTATAAATAAATTTTTATTTCCGTCAGCTTGTTTGTTAGGTCTATTTTTTAGTTTGAGTAGAATTAATGGAACACTATTTCTAACTGCGTGTGCTGTGCCACCACAAATGCATAGTGTCCCACTACTGTTTCCTACCTACTTTAACTAAAAATTGAAATAGGTATCCCTTAAAAAATTTACACAAATTTATTTTAACTCCATTTATTTATGGAATTTTTAAATATAGGTTCCATTTTAATTTTAAAAGTTATTCCCAAAAGACATAAAAATAAAGATAAATTATTTTCGATTTTTTAAAATCGATTTCATAAATTTGCTGTAATTATATATTGTTAATTTATTTCAGTTTGGAACTGTTCACCAAATTCGATTGATGATGCATTTTTCTGGTTCAAATCGAGGATATGGCTATGTAATGATGAGTAACCCTATGGAAGCTGAGTTAGCACTAACCAAATTAAACCAATTTACTATTCCGGGTCTTAGAGGTCACTTATCAGTGAATATGTCAACTGACAATAGGACATTATTTGCTAGGAATATTCCTAAAGATTTAACAGAAGAAGAGTTACTAATTGAATTTGATAAACGTGTTGAAGGCGTAAAAAAAGTTAGAGTTTTTAATAATTCGGATGATCCAAGCAAAAACAGAGAATTTTGTTTTATAATATTTAAAGATCATAAAAATGCTGCATTAGCTCGCCGTTCAATGGCGGAAAGTCCATTTTTCATCAATGGAGTATCTATACATATTCAATGGGCAGAATCTGAACCAGTATTTAGACATTCAGTTTTATTAAGAGTGAGTATATAAAATCATAATATGTTTATATATTTGTTTCTAAATTGAGGTCTTTGAGGTTTTTTTTATTTTCAAGATAAAACAACTGCACATTAGAAATATGAATGCACAAACGTCAGAAGAAGATATATGGAATCTTGTATCCCAATATGTGTCTCCCAATAAAATTGTTTTTATAAAGAAAAATAATACATGTGCCAGAATTAAATTTGTCCATCATGAGTATGCAGATCTTGTACGAAAAAATCTTGATGGTGAGTTTGTTTTTATTTTTAGTCATTTATGGATTCAAACATTTAATATTAATACACATTGGATACTATCACCAATGCAGACTGTTAGAAATAAATTATTATAGTAGATTGTTATTGATGAACAAAAGTAGAATACAAATTTATACTCTTAAATTGAGGCTGTTTACCACTATAATAACATTTGATACCCTAACCTAACCTTTTATAATAACATATTTTGTTACCATTATAATATTATGTATTTGTAAATGGTAAAAATTTAAAGTGTTAAACCATTGTGGTTACTATTAAAGTTATTGTTATAACTAGAGACCAGATTTAAATGCTTTTAAAATCCACAAAAACTCTCTTAAAAATCTAAAATACCCTGGAAAAAATGTTTAAGTGCAAGAAAAAAAAAATGTAAGAATTTTAAAAGTCCCACTTTTTAATGGATTTGACTTATAATATTTTCTACAAAATGTATTTTTTTTTTTATAATTACAATTTTATTTAGAAGAAATTATTTTGTAGTATTAGGAAATTTAAGTTAATTTTAATGCAAGTTATAGCCATTTGTGGATGGACTTTTGAACTTTATTATTTTTGTTTTTATAAATTTTTCCTGTATTTTTTAGTTTTAAAACTCCTTTTTGTGGATTATAAGCGAATATGAATCCGGTCTCTAGTTTTATATAAGGATATTACGAGTGAGGATGAGGATGAGGCACTGAAATTTTAATTTTTGTGTACTAAATATAGGTAAACAATTTCATGGAATCAATTGGATAGTCACTTGGGATAAAATTGAAGGAACAAAGTATGAAGGATATTTCAAACAAAATTTTTGATACGTATGTAATTATTATCTTTGACTATTTATACTTCTATACACCTGTAATTAATTCTGTGTATATACATTATATACAATATATATACATTTTTTTTTGTAATTCCATTTTAAATTATTTAATTAATTTGCATTATATTAATAAGGATAAATGTCCAATTTTCTTAATTAGAATTGTAAGTATTAAATTGATGTATGAACTTACCAATATCTATATCTTGTAAAAAAACAGGTTCCACTGTTACTGAATAATCCAATGTCTTGTTTTCCCATGCATTTCTAACATGGATTCCCTTTTTTCCTTCAATACCACAAGATATATTAAATTTTATATATGATTCAAATTCTCTAAAATAATTAGTCATATAATTAAATGCTTTTTCAACCTGTAAAATAAAACAACTAATTAATCAATATTTTGAACACCTATTTAAGTGTAAGTGTATAATGAATAAAATGTAAATAAAATATCAAGTTGTAATATAATTTAATGTTGAAAAAAAATAACTCATAAAAAATGTGTATATTAGTTTCCAAAACAATAAATATTCTTAGTTTATGTTGAATAATTTTTACTTGTAATAATCCATGTCCTTGAGAAAAATGATCTATTTTATCTTGATAAAGAGCAGTATTTTCCATTGATCTTTTGATTAAATATGGACTAGGATCTATTTTTTTTGCTTTAAGCCCTGATATTAATATAGCTAGAAAAATGAATACATTTTATTAAGCATAATCATGAACAAAATAATTTCTCAACCAACCTGCTGCTCCAGCTACATGAGGTGCAGACATACTCGTGCCATTCATTAATTGAGTTCCTCTCAACATATACCCAGGTACTGAAGCTATTGCACCACCTGGTGCACATACACTTACTCCTCTTCCTCCATCTATAGTTGGACCTCTTGAAGACCATGTGTATGTAGTTCCAGGAAGTTTTTTTAGCATGGAGTATTCTGCTGTCATCATGTCAGGTGATACATAGGCTCCAACCCCTTCATTATAAAATATTCATAATATAGTTAAAAAATTTAAGAATATTAAAATGTATATTATTTTTATAATACCTATAATTGCTGTTTTGGAGATGTCTGGTGGGGCACCGATAGTACATAAGGCGGGTCCATGATTTCCAGCGGATGCAACCCATGTCACTCTATGCTTGTCTACAACATCATTCATAATGTCACCAATTCTCCTGATAGTTAAAAAAATATAATAAATAATATTTTGAATCTAATTAAGACATATTGAAAATTACCCGGCATGAGACCAATTTGAATGTTCACCATAACTCATGTTAATAACGTCAATGTTCAAATTTTTACACAATTGCATAACTTTAATCATTGCTCTCACTATAGAAGTCCCAGTCTCCATAGTTTCTAAACGACTGTCACCAATTGTTAGGGATATGATTTGTGCTCCAGGAGCTACACCATTTTTTTCTGGTTCCCCTGGAAAATAGCCAGCAGCAATAGCCGATACGTGTGTCCCATGAGATGCTGTATACAAATTGGTAATTAATATTACAAATTTAAAGATTTGTATTCTTGTGATACTTTAAATTATATAATTCAAATTCAATTAGTGTTCAATAAAAAATGTATTGTATTTAACTTACACCCAAGAGATACAATTTCCAATAAATTCCCATCGTCTCGTATATTAAACGAATAAGTCATATGGTCTGTAGCAGTAATGTAATCGAAATTATTCATTGGATCATCACTATAATTTCCCATAAGTTTACATGAAGACAGATCTCCTGTTTCAGATGTATCCATGCAAGCACTAAAAACAGTTACATCCAATTTGAATTAATTCATTATTTAATACATAAATGTAAAAACCTATAAGATCATTTTAGTCCTAAAAAGTTGATAAAATATTGCACATTTTTATTTAAATTACTAATATGTCTTATGTAAATCTTCATTATTATATGCATCTTTGAAATTATAAAATACAATTTTAAACCTTTTGTTAACAAATTGAATATATTTGCTTAAAATAAAGAATATAACAATATCATAAACTTGGGGAATATTTTGCTTTTAAAATAGTTTTAAATATCAAATTTAAGATTAAACAAATAGTTATAATCATTTCTACTTACTACCATTGAATTCCATCGTTAAAAACAATACAATCATAAACGGGCGAAATAGATTTGTATTTTTTATCCATGTTCTGTAAAGCTTCAACGGTATTTTCATTGTCTTCCTTTTTTAATTTTTGATTTGTTAATAGTGGTACTTTTATAAGATCAAACTCCTGAATTTAAATATAGAATTGTAATGCATATATGTATATTATTCAAATTAAATTATACTTATAAATTACATTGCTTAGTGTTTGTTGTTCTATAATAGATTTAGATATTAAAGATTTATGACATGGATCCCATAACTTTTCTTTTCTCTCTTCTTCAATGCGCTTTTGAACATTTTTTGTGTATAACTCGAATGCATTCTTTATACCAATGTGAAATTTACCAGAAGGGTTTTTCCATGTAGCTGGAATCTATGTAATGACCGATAAATTTAGAAATGATTTGCTAGAAATGCTTAGTTGAATATATTTACCACAAGACTACGTCCACTTAACCCTCTAACTACATTTCCTTCCCCTGCATAAACTATTGTTGATGTATCTACATCACCAGCTCCACTGCAATCATATCGACCAATAATTTTAGGTTTTCCTTCAGTCGTTACCTGAAATATTTATTACAATTTATATTTATTTGACATGGGTTAATAAGAAATTCTCACCTGAAGACCTGGTGCTCCAGGATCAACACCAGAATCAAAAATGGCTATTGTCACACCACGACCATCATAATATGGATATTTATCCAGGAAATTTGTGACTCCAGTTTCTTTTTTTGGCACCAATGCCCATATTGGAAACTCATCAGTTTGCAAACATGTACTCATGTTAAAAATGCAATTATACAGCTTACAAATATTATATTGATTTAGTGTTTAAGGGAAAGTAATGTTGCGATAATTTATAAATAACAACTTTGTTCTAAATGATTCTGCAATTATATACGATTTATATTTTGATAATTCATCAATAAATAATCGAATCATGTTTATATTGATAAGAAACGAGTATACATAATTATATACAAAGAGTATATAAATGTATTTACGATAACATCACATTTTACCTTTTGAAAAATATAGTTTATTTATTACTATTTTTCTTTTAACTTACCATAAACCTACTTTTGAGATCTATGTTACTTACTAAAGCCAAAATAATTTTTAAAAAACTACCAAGAGGGGGGAGCTGAAGGGCAAATTAATAAATCGTTTTATTAATTTATAACGTTCAATTATTGTTATAAATAACAAAGTTTTAAAATTTACTTTTTCAATGTGAATTCTTGTAATAATCTCGACATCTCCACATATATCCATCAATGCTATTAACTTTCAAACATGAGAGAATGACATGAATGCATTTTAATTTGTTATGTTTGGCAATTAGCGTCCTCAGGACTAATTTTTCAATTACTGCCAAAGAAACAGCACCTAAGGCATTTTCGCGGGAATAGCTCATAAATATCCAAAAAATATTATTTCTGATTTTACCAAAAACTTTGTTATTACACATCAAATGAAAAAAAAGTCTAAAATTCAATTTTGAGTCACTTTAATATGCAAATGATTGAAATAACATAATTAGATTTATTAACAATAACATAAAAAAAAGGTACTGTAGGTAAATTCTAATTTCAACTAAGTGTTAGACATATAATTATTACAATTTTTAAAAATATACATTTTTGGTATTTTAAACTATTAACATTTTAAAGTTTTTTGACCGTAACTTCCATATGAATTTGAGCAATTTTTTAAAAAAAATACCTACCATCAAATTAAGCATGCAAAAACACACATTTTGGAAAATAAAAATTCCAAAAAATCGCTTGGGAGCTAAACTGCATTTATGCCGTAAGGCATTATTTAGGTGCCTATCTTTAAGTGCTCAAGTATGTCCCACTTGGTTATGATTTATAACTAACTTATTAGGTTTATGTTATATAACAGAACTTTGATCAATCCATAGATTATTAGGATATGGCTAAGCTACCGTACCTTTCAGTGTTACCTTTCATTGAGGCAATTTATGTATATAGTGATGAATAATAAATCACCTCAGTTTACCGCCCCTCCGGGAACATCGCCTCACTTTCAATTGTTATAACAGGCCTATCAATTTCTTTTGTATCTATGGTTCATTCAGGTTAATAGATAATAAAGGCATGAATAGAGTATATAGTAAATAGAGCATGCCTACATAACGGTCGTTTATAAGAAAAGCGTATATTGTTAGACAACCCTATGGAGATTCTGTTCTTCGATTAGCTCTAATCCCAACGAGATAACAATTTAATAATCAGTTTGTAAAAAGTATTTTGTTTTATTTGTATTATTTTATTGCATTAGCCTTTTTTTTTGTAGGACACTAAGAATTGAATTTTTAATTCATATTTGTATTTTGTTAGCTATACGATAACCATTTTAATTGTTCATAACAGATTAGTAACACTAAATTAAATGGTGTTATTAATATAAGCTATTATTTTAAACAATTTATAGACATTTTAATTTTGAGAGTTGTGTACGTAATTTTTATTCGGTAGATACTCTGTGGATAAAATTGTTAGACCAAACAGAAATGCTTGAAAATTAAACACTAAGTTTATTAAAAAAAAATGTTGAGCAGAGGCTAACTGGCTAATCAGTTTTAAATATACATCGAAATGAAAACATTAATATAAGAAATATTGTTGATCAAAACGCTGCTTAAAATAAAAGTATTTAGGACATGGTCATCTAATTTTTATTAATTATTACTAGTATTATTTTTGTTATTCATATTATTATTTATTTAATGTGAAAAAAAAATAACTTAAATTATACTGTTTTATTGCATTTGTACAATACATATATCTACAGTCTTTTAAGTCAATATAAATTGAAATGATATCAGACATAAAGGTTTTAAGTTTTTGTATACTTAAGCCATAGTATTCAAGACTAAAAATTGTTCATAAGATTTATTATCATTCCCGCCGTTACTATCTGGAACCATGTTATAATTATATCATGTCTATTGTCTGAAACTATCCTTTTTGATTTATGCTTAAAACATATATTTCAATGTTTATGAATAAGTTATTTTTTTAAACAACTATAATTAAAATATAACTATAAAAACCAGCACTTATACCTGCAGTTGTACCATAGACAAATAGACATAATATTAATATGTCTATGAGTTGTACACGCAGTTGAATATCGCGATTCAAAGCGAAAATGTTCTTACCTAGTGGAATTTATTAGAACTGCTCTAACGGGGAAGAACTAAATTTGATTACATTATATCAAATACTGACTTTTGAGTTTCTTTGTAATAATTATAAATATAGCTTTATTTGTTGACATTATGAATGACTATAATTATTATCCTTAGCTAAATGAATAATAAAAATGCATAAATTAAATACAAACTTGCGTTGAACTTAAGTACATACATCTTCATATATAATATACAATATAATCTTTAAAATATATTTACTTCATGAGGTTGCTCTGATATTTAAGTATAGCACCTCTTCTAATAGAAATTTTACTAGGGAGATACTTTAAAGAGGTCATTTTTCGATTATTCTAAGAATTTTCTCTTTTTCCGCCGAGATACAACCGGTTTAGAGGTGCGCGTTCGCGGAATTTGAAAAATTGTATTGTTCATAGAAGCTGTCTGGATCTCAAGGTTATAGCTAAACTTAAAAAAAAAACGGGAAAATTCCATAGTAGTTTCCTATTAGTATAGTGCCGTAAAAAAATGCCAAACAGTCAGAATTTCGATATTCAATTGTTTTAACCCTTTTTAATGGCATAGAGTAGGTAACGAATAAAAGTATTAAAATCTCGTATATATTATATGGAAAATGGAAATTCTAACTAAAGAATGTTGATTAAGTAAAAAAGGGGAATGGAAAATATATGGATGGTTTTTCAATACTTTGACATTTTTGTTTACCCCGAGGGACAGATATCCAGAGATCAAAGTTTTTGTAAGAACGCAAACGCGCACTTTTAAACTTGTCATATCACTTGTCTATCCAAAATCTAAATGGAAAAATTGAAAATTTAACCGTAGAACATTGACAAGACGGGAAGCATGGAATTATTTATATTTAGCTTTTTGATTTTTTTTCCTCAAAAGCCAGACTCTCACTGAATTAATTTTTCCTTGATTATCTATGGGTATTGAGCACCGGCCATGTAGAAAAAAAATTAAAATAGAACCTTCCCCCTATACACCAACTAAACAATATTATAGGTATACCAGACACTAGTACATCAGTTCTGAAGCAAGATTATTGGTAAAAAAGTACTGCTGATGAATGTGTCTACAACTAACAAGCTTCCACACCTATTTTACCTCACGTAGTGTCCAAAGCAATACTCATAAACCAAACTTCATGCAAGAGTGAAAATTGTTAAAATATACATTTGTTTTAAAACGGGAAATTGCGTTGAAGGTAAGAAATATAAATAGAGTTATTAAATTTATATTCTGTACGCAGCAATAAATTATTTTTAATGAAAAATGATTTGTAAAGCCCATGCATTTTTCATATTCATGAAGATAATTTTTTTCAATCCTGAGACTTGTATTAAGTAAAAAGTTAGGTTAAATCTTAATGTAAAATGAACAATAAGTACAACTAGAATAAATATCAGAATATATAAAATTGTTTAATTATTGTAATTTCCATATGAAAGTACATTTACTTTTTAAAGGTATGTTTATTGTTATGGTTAGTGAAACAGTCTATATAAATAGTTCATCACTCGATAATATGGCATGTTATTGACTTACATAATATGTATACATTTTAGTGTTCAGTTGTTTTAATTTTTACGATTTTAAGACAATTTTTTGATATATCAGTATTAAAGCAATTAATGAATAAAATTAAAATGAAACAAAAAAATGAATTATTGGAGAATAGTTTTGCCGGTTCCTTCAACTTTGAGTTAACTAAGTTTGAACTTTATACCAACCATTACTGAATATAACATTAAGTTGTTTTTGTATATGTTTTTTAATATTTTAAAATATACAATAAGAACTTGAACATTCTTATAATGCTTCATGACTTCTAAACTTAAATGATATAATAAATTTGAACATATTGATTTTTGCTTTATACATTTTTTATTAAAAAATAATAATCAAAATTAACTTATTTGTGAAAATATAAAAGTAAAATTAAAAAAAAAAAAAAATCAGATGGATCCTGATAAATAATTTTACACAAAATATGTGGTTTGTATTTTATTTGGATACATTTAAAAATAAAAATATTTCAGTCTATTATCCATGTAAATAATTTAATAAATCTTAAATTTAGGAAATTTTTAAAATGTACATAAATAGATAATTAAAACGAAACATATCATTATAAATATGTTGAATCGCTTTAGAGCCAAACGGGTTTTAGTTTGATATTGTAAAATTATAATTTTTAAGTGTATTTAAAATAATTGTTATTGTTTACAATGGTTATACATTAAAAAAATAACAAGCTAAACATATTTTTATTAAGTTATATAATTTATAGGTATATTATTATTATTATTATTATTATTATTATTAGGTATATTTGTTTCGTTTAATGAAAAAAAAAAAAAACAAAACAAAAAAAAAACATTAATATGTTAACAACCATAGTTAATGTGTACAACTTTTACTTCAGAGAAAAATAATCATAGCATTAATACGAAAAAAATTATGTAAAAAATTAGCGAAACCATATTTGATAAAAACAAAATATATATATAAAAAAAAAGTTAAAAATAGTTAGCTTGAGATAAATATCAAATTAACTCGATTGTGCAATAAACCGCATAGCTGGAGAGCTCAATAAGGAACTTGTTGTGATTTTTCCCATTTTAGCACTTTGGTATTTTTTGTGAACAGCCTTGAAACAAAAATGATAACATTAAAATAAAAGTATGAAATATTATAGTAAAAAAGTAATAATAATAATAATAATAATAATAATAATAAAAACAATAATTATTAAATAAGCAGTTAAAAATAAAATGACAACAGTGAGTTAATTTTTTTTTTTTTTTTTTTAAATTATTATTTTATTAATCGATATGTCATTCAATTAAAATTTTACAGTCAGATTTTAATTTTTGTTATAAAATATCATAAAATGTTGAACTAATGGATAAATTTAATGAATAATTCCATTTGAATATAAAATATAATATATTTTTGCTCATGTTAAGATGCTCAAGCACTACTCACCATATTCAGCAGTGGCATTGCAATTTATTCATATTTTGAAGTTATTTATTAAAAAAAAAAAAAAAAAAAAAATTATAAATACCAAAGGTAGCAGTGGTTAAGAATCAGTTCCCATAAAAATACACAGGTTCTATTATAAACCACCATTGTTAAAGAGGTGGTTCAATTAATCTTAATTTTATATTAATATAACATTCTTTTTAATATACTTTTAATTTCCCTTCAGGTGCATTCAATGCTAAAGCACCAAGCATTTGAACAGTTGATATCAAATCATTAATTTTGTAAGTAGAATGTTTATGCAAAACATCCGTCCAATAAGATGACAATAATGTTTTGACATTTTCAGGGTTATCCTCCAATTCAGGGTCATTAGTTATTACAATTGCCAACAAAAGCCCAGATGCTGCAATTTTGGATGGATTTATGTGTACCATATTATAGTCAACTAATGACAATTCCAAAAAGTATTTAGCTAATGAATGTTGCGATGATCGGGCCTATAAAAATATACATCAAAATAAAACTTCTAATAATCTTAGAATTAATACTACACCCATAAGTACCTTATGGTCATAATACTAAAATAACACAGATAAACAAATTATACATTTATTTTATTAATAACGCTCAGTTTTGATAATATATAGTATTTATATTATTTTTAAAGCATAATACACTATGGACAGAATTCAAAAATGTAATTGAAATTAAGGTCTTATTTATTTATTAACATACCAAATTTTTTGGAAGTTAAAAATATAGATTAGGTAAATTGTGAGGTGTAGATTTTCATTTAAATTAAATGATTTAAGAAAACCACAAAATAAATCAAATTGCATGTATTAAATATGTTTGAGTGTGAAAATAAATGCATAATGAAATATTAACTATACAATTTAATATTAAGAATTCCTGAATTCATAAAACTACTATTTTAATCTGTATTCTACAATTATAAAAAATGTACTTAATATAAAACGTACACCATAATTTGGAATATCTAAAAAATACAATTACACTATCTATATTCTATACTTAATGATAGTATTCTACAAAGACGAATAATATATTATAACTTACACCTGCAACTTTACTAAACCTTCGTAAAAAAGTTAAAGAAAATGGTCTGGATAGTGAATAATCAATTGTTCGGAACACATCCACTAAACTTGATTTCACTTCATCTTTGGTAAAAGCATTGTCTGATAAATAGACAAAGTCATTAATCTCGGGTACATATATTTCTTCATATTTGCAACCAAGTAGCAGACTTGTAGCTCCAATTAATTGAAGCTTATTTCTAGCCATATTTGCATTGGTCTAAATTTAATAAAATACATTGTCAGAATAGGTATATTATTATTGTTTTTATTTATATCTTATTTATTCAGATGAAAATTAATAAAAGTAAACAAAAATGTAGTTATATTTTGAATAGCCAAAAGGGATAGGAGAGGATAAGAAAAATATTCCATCATTGCTTTTTTTCTAATCTAAGAAGCACTGATAAAATTATTAGAAAGTTTGGACTTATTTTGACCTGAATCCTTTAAAACAAAACAATAACCACATAAATATAATGTGTAATACTATTACCAATCAAATTAATATTAATATATTCAAATTAAATTACTTGTAAATATCTATCAAAAATTCCAACAGCTGTATAAAGAGATTCTTGCATAATTTGGAATTCTTGTTGTACTTCAACTAGCCAGTCAACAACAACACTACGGTTAGATGGTGTAATTTCTTTATGGTTGGCTAAATAATTTGGTTTTATGGTATACTTATTCTAAAAATATTTATAAAAATAAATTAATATTTTAGTAGGTATAACTAAAAAGTCCATACTTCCAAGGTCATCATGTATTCAAAAATTGATTTGGAGTAAGCTCCAACAAGAAAAGGATCATATTCATCACTTTTATCAACAGTATCTACTTTACAAGCAGTAATCCATTCTCGTTCTTTTATTTGTAATTCTGTTAATGCAACCTAGAAAATAATTTAAATTAATATTTTACATATATATACATATATTGAGAGAAAGAGAATAATTATTCACCGATTTGCTCCGAAGTGATAAACTCCTTGTCAACGTTCCTCTATATGGCTTAGCAAGAGCCTTGGGTCTAGTAATAGCTTTTGGAATATTGGACGCATTTTCATTCACACCAGTATTAACTTTAACTATTTTAGATGTATTTAATGATGGTTTCACTTTTGCAGTAGCAGAAATAGTTGTCCGGTTTAAACTGCAAAACAATTTTATAAGATAATAAATTACTTTATTCACTAAAAAAATGTAACAAATAATAGTTAGAAATAACACACATACTTGGATGTAGCAATTTTAGTAGTTGGTTTTGTGATGGTTATACTTGGTTTAATTATTGTGGTTTTTCCTTTTTGATTAGCATTTTGGTTAGTCTGTAAGTTACTGCTTATGTCATTCAATACAGGTCTTTTAGGACCTATTATACCATTATTTTTTAAATCTTTGACTCCTCTAGGAACATTATTTTCAGAAAGTACTTTGTCTTGTCTCTATAAAAAAAAAAAAAACTAAAGCTAGAAGATACATGAAAATTTGCAAAATGATTTAATTAAATATACTATATCTTAAATAACATTTTTAAAAATATAAGTTATGAATTAAATGATTACAAAAAAAAAAAAAAACTTTACAATGGCATATATCTAAAATATTAACAGAACTGATTAAAAACATTAATTTTTTATTAACTAAATACCCATAAATACTTCACATTTTCAAGTGGAATTACAAGTTTTAATGTTATATTTATCATAAAAGGTATTAATAAAAATAAGTTTCATAGTTTGTTTTGTGCGTTGAACAAGATGATTCCGGCTTATCTCTATTAATTGTATTTTTGATATTTTACAAATAAAATAGGAATTTATTAGGAATTTTTTTTCTATAGGGTTTTGGTTTTCTTATTCTTATTCTTTACTTAGATTCATTTTTTATGTATATTGTATACTCATTCACCACCAATACCTAGGCGAATGGTTTCAAGTTCTCAATGAACTGCTGCATATTTATGCAGTAACATGCTGTTTGCAAGTAAAATCAATATTTTTTTTTTAAAAATTATATTGTTTCTACTATAATCAGAAATATTTCTTATTAAAGACAAATTTGATATCTATCAACATGGTTTGTTAAAAAAAACATGTGCTTATGTCTCAACTAAATCTTACTTCAGTTACTGTAAATAAACTAGGTACACAAAAACAATTTCAACATAAAAAAAAATTCAAGGGAGATAGTACATAGATATTTTCTAACAGGAATGAACGTGCAGTCAACTACTCATACAAAGGACAATATCTATATACCATCCGCGTAACGTAACTTAGATGTACCAAAATAAATAATTTTTTAATTTAAAACAATATCACCCAATAGTTACTAAATAATTGATTAATAATAAATAAAAAAAAACTATTAATAAAACCATTGATTATACAATTAATATTATTCGGGTTCTATTAATTAACAGTGGTAAATTTTCCGTGCATGCTTAAAAATGAAAATAAAAATTATCCTATCAAGAATATTAGGGATACGTACACATTTTAAAACAATAATGTGTGAAAAATAATCTCATTTATATTAGTTATACTATCTATATTCAATGTGATTTTATGAATACCTTTTCCGGCAGAGCATACAAAAACGTTAGGCACAATTAGTTTTATGTTCATTATTGCAGTGAAATACAGGCTGTGTAAAGAGCTCATTCCACTAGAAGCCAAAATACTAATAATTTGGGAAATGCTTAATATGTTGCGCCTAAGATGATGAATTGTATTATTAATATTAGACTATAGGTACCGTACATGAAAATTGTTTTTTTTATTACTTACTATATAACTAGCACCATCTTCTTCTAATTAAAGGATCCAGTGTAATAACAAGTATACAAATAAATAAATAAAGTGAAATTATAGGCTATGTCCACTTTTGACAAATTTTTAGGTAAGAAAAAATTGTCCAGACATACCATGATTTTGAACTGAAATATAAAACCAGGCAAGTCCATTATGATAATAACACCATTTAAAATAATCGGATAACAGTGTGTTGTACTGAAATATGCAGAATGTTTTCCTTATTCTGAAACCACAATAAAACAATTTTTTTCGAAAATTTGGACATAGCTAATTATTGCACTGGAACCTTTAATTATTACAAACTATAGGTAGTTTATTTTAATATACAATAACTTTATTTCCTGTTCAATAATAATAATAAATGTACATGTTTAGGGGTCAGCATTTATAATTCATATTTACCGAGCATCAAAATGTTTAAAATTTTTGTAAAATTTAATTAAATATCTACTTTTTTATCTAATACACTAAAATTAAAACTAAATAAAATGTTCACAGTTAGATATCTAAAATTAATAGAAATTCAGATAATGTTACTTCAATTATTGTTTCATAATTTAATGATAATCATTCCCTACACTTAATTCAAAAAATTTCTCCTAAAATATCATAGTGGCCAACCACCTAACTATATTGGGTTGATGGATAAATTATGGGACCATGGCAAATTGGTTTTGACAACTTTTGTTAGTATCTCGGTACAGATTTTCTATAAACGAATTATTAATCAATAGATTGATCATTTAGGAGAGTATCATTAAAATAAAGTGAGAAAATTTAGTTACAATGAAAAAATTTATAAAATCTGTCCAACTAACGTTTATAAAAAGACGTATTTTGAAAACTAATTATATATAAATCTTACCAAGGTGATATCCCGTCTAATACCGGTCGCCATTTTTCTATAGACGATAACAATGACAAATGAATGAAGAAAAATCTGGGGCCGTCCGTTTCACAAAGTAATCTTTGTTGGAGAAAATAATTTTAAGACTTCGGTATTATGAAATTATAAATTTATACTTTAATATTTAAACTAAAATAATTCTGGAAAACCTAGAGATGATGATTTTATAAATAGAAAAAAAATAAACGTTACACAGTAAATGTAGAATATGACATGAGAATGCAAAATCAGAAAAAACGAACAAACAACAAACGAACATATTAAAACGAATATTCTTAAAATTATATAATTTAACGGTTTTTCCCCCTCTATAAGCTCTACCATGTTGAAATGTCACAAAACTTAAGAGTGACCAACATAATTGTATATTTTTGTCTAATCAAATATTTAATATACAATTTGTCACTGTTTAATTTTTAAGAAAAAAATATTGTAACTATTAATTTTCAGAATAAAATCATTTTAAATAAAATAAAAAAATTTATTTTTATTGTTTCATTTAAAAAAATGTTTTTTACATGATAACAAAATATTTGTTTGATAAGATTGTTTTCATTTGGTAAACCGTTAAAATTTAATATTTTATCTATTTGAGATTTTTGTGATATTTTGTGTTCGGCTGTTTGACGTATATTTTTCGACTTTTGACAATTTATTTATAACTAACTACTAATGTAGGTAGTCATTTATTTTAACTACACCTAAATTCAATATGTCTTTATTACACTCCAGGTAATTAATACATTTTATTAAACTTATATTTACTTAGGTAGTTAGTAGATATACCTAAGCTGGTAATAATTGTTATTAATGGTATTCGGTTTTACTTAAAATACCATTTTATTATTGTTCAATTTATAATATTAGACATTTAAACGCGGATAATCTATTTTACTTGAGGATATAGGATTTGTTGTTAAAATATTAAATAATATAATAATAATTGTATAATTGTTAAATATTTGGTATTTTTAGGGGCTGGACACTCATTATTAAGAAACAATGGGTAGTCTCCAATTATTTTTGGTCTATTATAATATTATTATGGATTTAAAATATTGGATGATTAAAAATGTTCAGTTTTATACAATTTTAGTTTTAATTGTTTGGTTGTTTGAAATGCAAATTTTTAAAAACATAATATTTAATTGTTCAAATATTACTACTAAACTGATTAACTGATTTATTGTTTATAATTTGTATGTTTTTTTTAGTTCCAAACCTAATGAGACCTTAAATAATGGGCTAATTGAAGTGGACATTATAAGACAAGACAATTTGGCTTATGAATATTTATGTCATTTAGAAGAAACTAAAGTGTAAGTTTTTGATAATTGTATATGTTGTAACAATATTAAAATCAGTTATACTTAGATTTTTATAAAGACATGTATAATCATTTATTTTTTTTATTATTTAGTGTTGACGATTACTTATAAGTAGTATATTAATTAATATTCTACTTTTATCCGTTTTAGATGGTTAGAATCTTGTTTAAAAACTACTTTACCACCTGTTACGGAACTAGAAGATAGTTTAAGAAATGGAGTTTTACTAGCAAAACTAGGGAATTTTATAGCACCTTCAACTGTACCATTATCTTGTATTTATGATCGTGATGAAAGACGTTTCAAGACAGCCGGTCTACAGTATCGACACACAGACAACATAAATTATTGGTTAAAATCTTTAAATGTTGTTAATCTACCAAAAGTAATTATTTTAAAGTTTTGTTATGAAATTAAAAATATTGAAACAATCATGTATGGTTTTTAGATATTTCATCCTGAAACCACTGATGTATATGATAAAAAAAATATACCAAAAGTGATTTATTGTCTGCATGCTCTTAGTACACATTTATTCAAACGAGGCCAAGCACCTTTAATTCAAGATTTATATGGGAAAGTTGATTTTTCAGGTAGAAGATATTTTAATTATAATTATCACACAATATTTCATGCTTTTTTATTTTAGTTGAAACGATAACTGCTACAAGAAAAGAATTGGCAGAAAATGGTATAGAACTTCCTAAGTTTCAAAAAATTGCAGGATTATTGTCAGAAGATGTAAAGGGTGATACATTAACATTGCATGAAGCAATTTTGGAAATAAATAATGCTATTGTTTCAAAGGTTGTCAAAAACCATTTAAAGTTAATATTAATTTTATAATAATACATTTTGTTATGTTTAAGGATATGAATTATTTCACCAAAAGTCTATGCAAAAAAGTGGCAAAGTTACAATTTATTAATTTGAATTATGTAGAACACTATTTAGAAATCTTACGTGATGCAAAACATGCAAAAGAAGAATCAACCATGAATAAAGTATTATATTCGAATCAAATAATATTTGAATAATTACCCTATTAAATTTAAATAAATAAATAATTTGTTTTCTTCCTTTTTTACTTCAACCTATTTTATTTACTCCTTCCACATCTATTATAAAATAAATCTTATTAATAAATATAATTGTTTTATAGTCATTAAGTGAAAGTTTTGAACCAGATATTTATGATGACATTTTAACACAAAATGAAATACAAGGATATATTTCATCAACAAATAGTGAGTTCATTTTAATATATTTTTAATAATTGATAAAATAATTTTTTTTTTTTTCTAAGTTGACCTAATTTGGAATGAAATGAGAAGAGCAAAATGTGAAGATGAAGTGATTAACATATTGAAATCAAAATATATTCCACTTACAGTAATTCTATTGTATTTTTATGTTAAATTCATTCTATATGTTATTCATTTTCCCTAGGATGTTCGCAAACAAAATGGTATGTACTATAAAACCGAGTTTGAAAATCTTTCAAAGACTATAAATTATAATAATTTAAATACAATTGATAAAAAATGTTTTCTTCAACGTATTGTTAATACTGGAAATCAATCTGCATTAAACTATCAAAAAAGTAAGATTTTTATTTATCAATTAAGTTAATAAATATTTTTAACTTACAAATATTATATTTTGTAGAGGAAACTTCAATAAAAAAATTAAATGATAAATTAATTATTGATGACATAGATGGTTTTGCACAAATTCTTAAAGATCCTATACTTAACTTGAATCATCTTATTAATGAATTTGCAATTCCTTTGTATTTTGAAGAACTGAAGGTGGATCGATATGATTTAAATGTAAGATTATAATTTCAGTACTTATGATTTTATTTATAACTACCCTTGCATTATATGCGTACTTGTTTAAATGACCTGGTTATTTCATTTGTACACATAACTCATAAAATGTTTTAACTGTAACTTTTAAATGCCTGGTTACATGATGTGTAGTACTTGTAACTCGCACTAGTACTTGTCACTCGCAATTGGACTACACGATCACATACAACACAATTTATTAGGCAATGCCAGTAGTAGATATTAACAAGGTAGTTTTAATACTTATTGTTATAATAACAGTTTTATTATAACTACCTTGGGTAGTAATAATAAATGATAATTTAATTGATAATAAATTAATATATAGAAGTTATGATGATTTATGATGCACCTGTGTAGCCATAATTAGAGTATAATTGTAGAGGTAGCTTTACTTGTTAGTAAATACTAAATAGAATTCTGTTCTATTAATTCGCACTCGTGATGTTTTCATGGAAGGTATTAGTGTGAATGACAATTGCTATGAATTGTATTAACCAGACAATAGTCAAAACTAGTCATACTTCACCGCAATGTTGTCTATAAGAAAACAGGTGCAATATTAAACAAATATTAAAGAAAATATAAAAATATATTTACCATAATATGATATATATATATTGTTGACAAAGCAACACTATTTACCGAACTCTGCTCGGAATTGTTTTTCATTAGCAATGGTTTATTTCTGTGAATGGATGTACATTAAATTAAGGTCTATATCCTACCTTCCCAATTGCCCAACTACACCAGTGACTGCACTCATTCCCATTACTCTAGACAGATTTTTTTTTTATATAAAACTAACTGTATGTATAATATTTAAATTGAAAATGTAACCATAACAAATAATGTAATAAAAGTTTTTAAATATTAAAATTAAGTACCTAGTCAAAATAATTGTGTATAATCATGTAATAAAATATGGCACGTGTAATGCAGGGCTTAACAATTCTTTTGTAAATTTGTGTACACATTACTGTGAACTGTTATACGTTGATGATTTGACTTAAAAAAAAAGCTATTCTAGGATAATGGGGACAACTACAGCAACTGTTGGACTGAGATTTTGGGAAGGTAGTAGAGGGAAAGTTTAATGTATATCTGTAAATAACGATAAACCATTGTTAATGAAAAAACAATTTCTTGAATATTGTACTAATTTTTACGTTTTTCTTAAGTTTTTCCCATTTTTTATTGGAAAAATCAAAAAATAACCTCTAAATTAATTCCTCAGGCAGATTTCCTTTTAGAAAAAGTATTATTGTAAATCTGAGCAAAATTACTGATAAAAATTGTCCATAAAAAAAAAAAAATTGTAAAATCAATACATTTCTTATTCTATTCAGAATCTAAAAATAAAATTAAAAGCACTTACAGTTGCATGATTTGTGATTAATTTGGCATAAATGTTGAAACCAAAATATTCTAAAAACAATTTTTAGTAAAACATGCATTTAAAAACGTTTAAAAATATTTATTCTTTTTTACAATTTTTGTGTGATCAAAATTAATATTTACCTACTTTCTTTTACTTAAAATTTCTGAGTAAAAAAAATGTATTGATATAACTTATTATAATAAGAATCAAAAATTAAAGGGCTCAGGGCAATAAGACAAATCTACTTTTTGAAATTGTTTAAATATAAGAAAATTATAATATACCTATAGAACTTATCTTCTTTTTGATCAGAATTTCATTTAACTAACAAGACAAGTTTGGAATATCCTTTTTGTACCATTGATGATTTATTCATTCCCGTAACAGGCTAATTTTCAAGATGATGCATGTCACCATGGGCACTGATTATTGGGGTACCGTTGTGCTCAAGCACCCTATGAAATAATAATAAAAAATGTAATTTGTAATTTATTTTTGATATTTGTTATGTAATATTTATATTATTGTTGATAAACTTTTTTTTTCTTTTAAAACGATTAATGTTTTTTTTTTTTTTTTTTGAAAGCTTTGCTTGTCTTTAATTTTCATGCACATGTATATATTTTGTTCTCTACTCTAGGCCACTGTTTGTTCTGTTATATTAATTCAAAATATATTCTTATTATTTATATTTTATAGAAAAGTTTAAGCTATAGTGATATTGTACAAAGTTTACAAGTATTGAATCTAATCGCTGATGTTACTAAGGCAGTTGTTTCTGAAAATGTTGATTTAACTTGGGATCATCTGGCAAAATTAAAGAAGTTTTTCCCAGTAAACTTTATTTATATTAAGTATGAATTAAAATATTCATATATATAAATATTTATTTATTTTATAGAATCAAGAACTTGATGCAGGGTTAAAATTACAATACTGGAGCGCACTTGATGCTTGTAGACGTTTTAAAATTATAAATAAATGTAGCTTTGGAATATTGACTTTTATGAATATTAAGGAATGTGTAGACATAGTTCATAATCAATTAGAACAAAACAAAGGAGGTAGTTATAAAATTTGAAAATGTATTGTAATTTATTAACAAAAATGTTCTATAGTTATAAATGTTCTGCAACAACTTAATAATGCAATAAAATGGAAAGACTTAAATGCAGTGAAACAATGCATCACAAATCCTATATTGCAATTAGAATATCAGGTCAAATCCAAAGATTTTCCATATGCTTATGAATTATTATTGGTATGTTCAATTGTATAATCTATGTTAATACAAATTACAATGAATTTGTCAACTTAAGACGAAATTGTCTCATGTCAAATATAATGATACTGCTTTTTTTTACAAACTTATTATATTTTAAAGCTTTAGTATCTTAACTCATTGACTTAATTCACAAAAAATGCTGGTCTTTATATTGAAACAATATTAAAATTTAATTATTAATACTAATATATGACATAATTTATATTTTTAGAATCGCCAAAATGACTCAGAAGATGGAGTTGAAATATGGAAAGACGATGTTGAAGATGTTTTAAAAAGAGTATGCGATGAAGTTGAAAGTATTCATAGAAGTAACGTCTTCAATAAATTGTTAAATAAATTGTATCTAAGAGAATATAATTTTGTATAGGTGCTGAATGGCTTTTGTCAGTGAATTTGTTATTAGTTAAAAATGATAGATCAATGTTAGCTCAAGAAATACTTAAACTTGTTCCAATGACCGAAATAGAACAACAAGAAACATTTATTGTTTTATTACATTTACTGAAGTCAAAGGTAAGATATAGTTTTAGAATTTATATTTACAAATATTAAATATATTGTAAAATCTCTATTCGTTTTTTTTATCCCCAATATAACCAATATAAATAAAAATGCTTTATTTCATCTTTAAGGTGAAATATAAAGGTCCCTGGGTTATACATCAAACACCTTATGGCCGATGTGTTTATTTAAACCTCGAAACATTGGACTACTCGTGGGAAAAGCTCAATTTTCTTCCTACAGCAAAGTATTTAAATATGGAAGAAATACAGGTAAATTGAAAATATATTTTTACTATATAAACTGATCATTTAAATTTCTAATATTTTTACTTCAGACTACTATAATGAATATAAAAAAAAAATACCAACATCTAAAGAATTCTAAACAAATTAATGAAATTATTACTCAACTTCAAGCACATATTCGTGGATATTTAGTTAGACAAGAAATGAAAAATAAAATGAAGTGTTATAACAAACAAGAAATATATGCTTTAAAAATACAAGTTAGTAATCATTTTTTTCTTTTTCAATATGAATTTATTCAAATATGATTTCAGAAATGGTGGCGATGTATGTTATTTCAAAGAAAATGGTCAGCTTTAATAAAGGAAGTTAGAAATCAATTAAAACCTTTTCAACGTATCTATACTGGAAATGATGTTAGTAATAATAAAAATGTATTATTAAATTGAATAAGTTGATTAACAGTATATGTTCTAGATAAAAAATATAGTAAAATTACAAGCTATTTGGAGAGGTAAAATGGTTCGCAAACATTTTTATCTATTATTTCGTACAGAAAATCCATCTTATAAGATTGTTAAGCATTTTTCTCGCTTACTTAATTTTAATTTGGAAGATTATTATCGTGAACTAGAATTACAAGTGAGTTTTTTTTTTATATATAATTAAAGCACCTTTATTATTTATATATATATTTATTTATTTTAGAATCTGCGTAGTCAAATTACTCAACTCATACGTCAAAGTAATAAAATGTCACATGAAGCTGATGATTTGGATATAAAAATTGGTTTACTTATTCAAAATAGAATATCTTTACAGGTAATAATAATAATCTTAATATTGTAATAGGATGAAATAATAATTGTATACAATATAAATGTGTTATTTAGGATTTTTTTAGTCATAATTTGAAAACCAATGAAAATGTTAATAATAAATTACAACAACCAAATAATACACAACATTCAATTAGTTTAATGTCTTTAAATAAAAATAGCAAACATCTTTTAGAATGTTATCAAAATTTATTTTATATGCTTCAAACAAAACCATATTATTTAACCAAACTTATATTCTGTTTGCCATATTCAGTTCGTCACATTTCTAAGTAATTATTTATTTATTTATTTTATTATAGTTTTAATATTAATTTCAATCAATTTCAGATTTTTAGAACAAATTCTTATGTCGGTTTTTAATGCTGGAAGTAATAGCCGTGATGCTTATTTTATGTTGAAACTATTAACATCGGCATTAAAAGAAGAAATCAAAATAAATTGTACTACAGCAGCCGAAATAAAAACATCAAATTTATATATATTGAAGGCAATTGTTGATCAAGCAAGATGTTTTGATAATCAAAAACGTTTAAATACAATCTTTAGAACAGTAGTAGAAAAAGTATATAATTTAAAACAAATAATGGTTTTTAAGGTTGTTATGAAAATTTGAGAAACTTATAATTGTATTATTTTTATTCAGCTGATACATCATAGAAATAATTTATTTATTGATACAAACCCAGTAACGATTTACAGAACGTGGCGTAATGAATTAGAAACTAATACTGGAGAAATTTCGTAAGGATCATTAATTTTGTTATTGGATTTAATTACAGTAAAAATTATAATAGCTAATGTCGTGATTTTCAATATATTAATTAAAATAAATATATATTTTTATTTATTAATTTTATGTCGTTTGTTATTAGAGATTTACCAAATTCAGTAGACCAACATACTGCACTGAAATATGATGAAGTTCAAAAAAGGTTAACCTATAACTTAGAACAGCTTCAAAACATTACCGAAGAATTTTTAAATAAAATATTGGATTCTAAAGCTGTTATACCATATGCCATATTATATACTGCCCGGATATTGCGTGAAACCATACAAGAATTGTTCCCCGATACACGAGAAAACGAGATTTATAAAGTATGTATCATTCTAATATAATAAGTTTAATGAATTGTATTTCAATTAAAATATTTGGATTAAAAATATATTTAGATAATCGGCTACTTTGTTTATAATCTATATATGAATCCAGTAATTATAACGCCAGAAATATATGATATATTTGAAACTAAAATCGAAGATGGAATAAGTTATCGCCAGCGCCACAATCTGGCAAGTGTAGCAAAAATCCTACAATATGCATCAAACAAAAAAGGGGTAAATAAATATTGTTTAGATATTTTTTATAATGGTATACATAATATTACTGATTTTTTTTTTTTTTTAGTACAAAGATGAAGTCCATTTAAAATGTATGAACCCCTTTATTCTCGACTGTTACACAAAATTAAAATTGTTTTTCAACAATTGTAGTATTGTTGATGACCCAGAAGTTTTTTATAACATGAATGAATTTACAGATGTAACACTTCTTACTAAGCCAACAATAAATATAACATTACAAGTATATAAAATAATAATATTTTTTAATTTCCTTTATCTATCTTCAGTGTCAATTTTATTCCTTGCTAAATTCCTTAAAAGTGCCCCTAATACTCATCATCTTCATTCTAAATACTGGACTGTATATATATATTAGTTTATAACATTTGTCTGTTCTAATTTTCATACAAAATTTTAATAAAAAAAAATTTAAATATATTTTATAATAGGGGATTAATTAAACCCTTATTGAACCTTATTACTTCAATTTAGGAAATACAAGAAACACATTCTTTATTACTTGAAAATATTGATCAAGTTGCACCTGATCCCAATGATCCTATTCATCAATTGCTTGACGAATTGGGACCTTCTGCACCAACAATTTCACAACTTTATGGCTGTAAGTCTATTTTATATTTTTTCTTTTTCATAATGTACTTAAAGTTTTTTTATTTGTAGCCGATGATGATGATGTTATGGTTCAAAGACGCATTGCAACAGTTCAAGTTTGTCTCACATTATCAGATAAATTTGAACCCAATACTAAAACAGCTTCTGTGACTAAATTGTTTATAAAGTAAGTATATTTTTAATAATTTTAAATTTATAACTAATATAAATCTGTTTATTTTAGAACTAAGGAACTATTAATAAGAGTGCTACCATATTTAAGTGGACATACACTGCTTGGATCTTTAAGGATAGAGTCAACTCCAGATGAAGAAGCTCGGTTTGCTGAAAGAGATACTAAAATAATAGCATCTGGAAATGTTGTAAATTACGAGGAGTAAGTAAAATTTATGTCTAATTAATTCATAAAAATACTCATTTCTTTAGTTTATGTTGTCAATGTTATATGTTCATTTGAATAGAGGAACATTAAAAGAAATCAAGGCAAAATTAAAAAAACATTTGAAAATATTAGAAGAAGAAAATATTATATCAAAGGATGATGGATACCAAGGTATAATAACATCTGTGGCAAAAGATATTTGTTTCAGAAATAAATATCGTCAAATACAAATCAAGGTTTGTACTAAATAGTAAAAATATATTATTGTGTACAATTTTGAATATTTATTTTCAGGAATTGTTAATGTTTAAATTAACTAAACAAAGATTGGACGAAAAAATAAAATATTTAGATGACAAAATCAAATCATATGAACAGTATATACAAACTTGTTTAGATAAACATAATACAGGCCAGAAGTAAAAATAATTGTTTTATTTATTGAAATTGTATGGTTTTATCATTTTATTCTTTCAGAAAACAAAAAACTGCATCTAATAAATGCAAACAATTGAAGTCTAAAAAAAGTATAAAATATACAGCAGCAAAATTAAGAGAAAAAGGTGTTCTAATTGAAGTGGAAGGGCTTCCAGAAGGACAATTTAAAAATGCTCAATTTGAAATCAGTCCAACTGATATGCATGGAGTGTTTTTAGTCAAGGGAAAATTTATGGGAGTAGAAATGGAAACTATTTATATTGACATACAGGTATAAATAATAATTTAATAATATTGTTCAACTTTAATTGGAATACAAGTTTTGTTAATTCTTTATTATTCCATATCTTATAACATCAATCCATTTCTTCATTAAGGAATACAGAATACACTTTCTGTTCTTTATGTACTATTAAACCTATTTGTATTCTTTATAATTACTATTTATAATTTGAATGAATTATGTTTTCTTTATTGAAGGATTTGTTAAAACGTCAATTTGAAGATGCAACAATAATGGACATTTTTGGAACTGCCAAAATTAATGTTAATTTATTACTGTTTTTATTAAACAAAAAATTCTATTGTAAACATTAAAAAACTAATTTTATTAAATAAGTATTATTTTGAAAATTACAATAAGCATATTATAATAACGACTGTGTCATTATGTATTATATTATATTTTTTTAATTTTGATTTAGTTTATAAGTTACTGATAACCAACACTAATCAACATACTCTGTATTATGTCTAAATGTCCATTGATTTTATGTGCTGTTTATTAATTACTCTTTTGGTTTTAGTTTTATGATTTATAACAATTACTAAACAATAATGTATATATTATTATTTTATGAATTTGAATACTAACTATTAAATTTAACAAATAAGTTATTACATGACCATTTATTGAAATTTATAATCTAAGTCAATTCAAAATAATTTTTTAACAATAACAAATCAAACATATCTGCTCAACAACAAAATCAGTCTTAAAATAAAAATATATACCTATTGTATTAGAGTATGTAACTTTAGAAATTAGATACTTAAACTAGTTTGATAAAAAGCATACATAAATAGGTAGTGGAATATACAAAAAATTAAATGATAGTGTTAGCACTCAAGTTTTATAGTTAGGATACAATATATTAAAGAAGAAAATAGTTAAAAGATAGTATACTGTTTTGTAATGCACTCTGAGAGGAATTAAAAATATGAACATTTTTTTGAAGTTATTACAGTAGACAAGTACTAGTAATATGAGCAAAAAAAAAAACTTGAAGTGTTTTATGTTTAGAAATATAAAAGTTGGCCGGTTTCTGAAATTAAATATGGGAACTGATATATTAATTAAACTGAAAAGAAAACTGTCTTTTATTGTACTTTATAAGACATAGTAAATAAATATGTATTGAACTTAGAGAATTGACATTTACAAGTCTTCTGAGGGATTCGTAATTTTCATTGCGTTTTGATATATTAATAAATAGTTATATTTGAAAATTTAAATATAAATCTAAAGTAATTTTTATTTTAATATTAATGACATTCACCTTGGTTTGGAATTCACCATTTATGAATATTTTAAAGTGAAAACCATGATTTCTATGAAGAGATTAACTTGGAGTAAAAAAAAAAAGCATAACTGCTTTTCCAATACAGTAATAAAATCAGACCCTTAAAAGTTACTAATTCTCTTACTTTTTGTGGTTTCGGCCTTTAAGATAATGCCGCCTAAAATTTATCTCTACTTTTGACTGACTTTCTAGTAATAATTCCTTTCAATCTTCTGACTTCCTTTTTTTCTAAATTTTCTTTTACTTTGTCTTTCAATTTTTTTAACAATTTTTTGTATTGGTTTTTAAGTTGCTCTTAATTTTTTTGTTATCAGTACTAAGTCGTCCACATAAGTTAAGAGATCAATGTTAGTCTCTCCTAACATGATACTTCCTGATATATTTTTATTTCCCTAATTATATTTTCTAACACTATTGAACAAATTGGAAAGCATTGCCTTAATCTTGTATCTTGTAGTCATATATACTAATTTGAAGTAGAGTGTATTATTTTTACCTTAATCTCTGTATGTTCAATGATAATTTTAATGAGTCTCTTGTGGCATTTCAAACTCTTTTAGTACACTGATCAAAGATTCTTTAACAATTGAATACACTTTTTTTGAAATCAACAAAACACCATGGATACTTTTGGCATAATCCTACATTTTTTTGAAAAAATAGTCTTAGAATAAATATTTAATTTACAGTGAATCAAATTTTATCTGAACCCTGCCTACTAGTCTCCTTAAACATCTTCTGGTTTTATTCTATCAAGTAAACAGTAAGACAATATTTTGTAAGCTATATTAAGCAGGGTTATTCCTTGGTAGTTATTACATAATTATTTATTTCCTTATTCTTAAACAAATATCTCTTTATCATCTTTATTACTAACCAGGTGCTACTGTTCCTTCTTAATCTTATTGAATAAGTTAAAAATACATAAATAAGTAATAGTTAATTTATATGAATAAAGTGTCGAAACAAAATATTTTTTAAAACATTCAAATAATATATAATTTATGACTGCTATCAATTTGTAACTATTCTATTGTTTGGATACTCATAAATAAAACAAATTAATTTTATTAGTTTACTAAAAATTTGTTCTTATCATTTTAATAATTATACTATTTGCAAATGTTTTATAATAAATCTATATTGCACAATTTAAATGAATTTAAAATTTCTCATATTATAATATTATTATACAAGGTGTTCCACAAAGAATTGACAAATGCAATAACTTTTGTTCTGTTAAATAATTTCAATTTTTATTTAATATTGATAATTTTATCAGATATTTGATTGGACTGATGAATGCACTTTAGGTCAAAGGTACATACATTGTGTACACAATGAAAATAATAATTTAGTATAAAACAATTTGTTAACCTAGAATATCATCATTTCCGTATTAGTACACAAATAAATAACACAAAAATGAAAAAAATATTATTTTTTGGAATATTTCTGATGTTTAATAAAAATTGTTTAGGTCAATGTAAGTATTAACTATTTTATTTTGTATAGAATTTTAATTAATTATGTTCAAGGTCTGAATGAAGATGCCTAGAAATTTTAAAAGTTACTACTACACATATTTATGATCAAAATTCTGAACATTTTATTAAATAATTGGTATTAAATTAAAATCTTACTATACTCAAAACTATTTATAAATTGGTTAAATATTATCCAATTTAATTTAGCTATTTTAACAAACTACCATAAACAATACATTGTTTGTAGTAAAAATAATTAAGAAGTATTTGTATCAAATTATAACAAAATATTATTTTAAATTTGATACAAAAAAATTCAAGTAGTGCACATTTTAAAAATGAAAAATTAATCATCATCTGGGCCTTAATTAATGCAATTTACTTCATATATAAAATATGTTTTTTTTTTAAATATTTTGTATTTGATCCGATTGTTTATTTGATATTTAAGTCTATGCATTTGATGATGAAGGGCCTCCAATATCAGAAACTGATGGGCGTATTATGAATTTGACACTTTTAACAAAAAATGTTCTTGAACATTACCAAAATCCTGATCCAATAGGTTTACCAGAAGCTATAACACCACCATACTCAGATCCTGAACCTATTCCTGATACAGAGAGTGCTTTATGGAGTATGTACAACTCAACAATGAGAGGTCATTCAAAATTTAGATTAAAAAAATTATATGTCAATTTAGTTGATTTACAAGTATGTATACATTTTCATTAATATCTTAAATTATATGTAGAGATTTTTTTTAATGGTTGAAATTCTTTTTTTAAATTAACAACATTTTCAGTCCTAATTCAACCCTATACCTACAATTAAAATTATTGTAGGCAATTGAGTTAAATATTAATTTAATTACTTAATTTAATTTAATTTAATTTATTATTTTGTTTATTAATTTAGTTAGAATTTGGAATATCAATAGATTCATTAGTGGTAGTTGGAAACTATTCGTATTGGAGAATGTACGAAGGATATTATAATGTCACACTATTACAACTTCACATAGATGGTCACTTGACCTTACAAGTCAGTGATACAGGACATCTAGAGACTAATAATCTTAATATGAATATGAACTATGAAAATTTACATATGGATACAATAAATATACCATTTTATGATACATTTGTTAACAGTTTCACACATTTTGTTGTTCAAACTATTAAGCCAATAATTATGAAACTGGTGAACATAATGATTAAGGATGAACTTGATGAAAAAATGAAACACTTTAAACGTTTTCCAAACACAATACCACCTGTTGATTTACTTATAGCTGAGAGTCGTCAACAAATAAAGTCAATGGGATATGATCCTTGGCGTGTAGAAGATTTAGTAAACGCAGTAAATTTCAACATATTTAGTTTGGATATCAATGAAATATGGATAACAGGCTTATCCAGTATATATAGATTAGGAGATATTCACATAAGTATACAAAATCAAACAATTATATCCGTTATACATATAGGAACTCAAGAATTAGATGGTCATTGTCAATGGAAAATTGGAGCAGCAGGTATACTAAAAACAACAGGTGTTTTAAGTTTTTCAGTTGATTACATACAGCTTGAAGCTAATGTAACTCAACCAATGGACACAAGATTAGCACCATATTTAAATGAATTTGGATTATCAGTAGGAAATATTCAATTGCGTATGGATGGAGCAGGTACGGTTGATTATTTAGCTGAGGCTCTTGTCAATATTGTTCCAAATATTTTAAGGAACAAAATTGTAGATGCTATCGAACTTCCTATTAAGAAAAGAATACAGGACTTTTTAGATAAAATTGACGTGCAAGAAAAGATTGAACAACGAATTCCTCCAATTATAGACAAAATGATGGAACATAATATAACAGATATATTTAAAGAAAATGAAATATTGCATGAAGATATTAGTATTATAAGTAAAGAAGATTTTTGATAAGATACTTTTGAATTCATTTATATTCTACATAGACTATTAACAAGTGTTTGAAACTATTCAACTATAAAATGTAATGGAATTTTAAATATAATTACTAAGTAGGTATTGTTTATTTATTTTAAAACAAAATACTCAGAAATAAATATGTTCACATGGTTTTATTACAATTATAATAGGTAATAAAAAATGTACAATAAAAAACTATATTAATCAGACTTACTCATATTTTGTAATATTTCAAGTACATGATTACCCAAAGGCTCATCTTCGTTGGCCCATGAAATTACAATTTTCTTTTTATTATTATCCACACCATCTTCTACAGTTACTAAAATTGATGCCAATGATATTGATCCATCTGACATAGTAAGTTTATTCTTAAAATTTGGTAATTTATTTTCCAGCATACTGTATAATTTAGTTTTAGTTTTTTGGAGTGTAGATGATTCTTTAATTTCAACAGTACAAGTGAACCTAAAAACAATATTATATTATTTATTTATTTTTATTTTTATAACATTTAAATATAATTTTTACGAGTTTCCTTCTACATGGATATTAAAATTCAAAAAATGAATTTCTTAAAGTACCACCTAGATTAAGTTTTCATTGAGGAAAATCAGAACAAGATTTTTGGTAGAAAATGTATTCACGAATAAAAAAATTATAAAACCAATACATTTATTGCTATGCTCCAAATTTAAAAATAATTTTTTTATATTTAAACATATAATTAACAATTGATTTTTATAATACCATATTAACACCAATTGATTAAATAAGATTCAATTTTAAGAAGTGTTTCAATTCAATTTGTGGTTTTTGATTTATTCAACAAAAATTAATGAAAAAACGGGAATATAAACAAACCTTAAAGTGTGATGTTGAATATCCAATTCTTTAAATGTGTCTTTTACACTCATTGCATTTAATTTAGAAGATCCACTTTTTAAAAGAAATGCCCCATGTACCAATCGTTTTCCATTTCCCAAATTATTTTCCTGGTCATCTAAAATTTCTTTAACCAATTTTGTACTCATATTAAATGTATGCACATTTGCTGTTTCAATTTCTACAGTTTCTCCATTAGCTGGCATATAACATTTTATGCCAAACTCTTGCACTATTTTAGCTCTTAGAAATTTCATTTTTTCTTCTTCTCCATGTACTAGTAATACATTCTGTGGTTCACAGTTTTTTATAAGTTGAATGATACCTTTACCGTCAGCATGAGCTGAAAACGATAAATATTCTACAGACATTTTAACATCAATAAATTTATTTGGTTCCGTTTCAATTTTTTTAGCACCACTTAAAACTTTATTACCAACAGTTCCTGACACACAGTAACCTGGTACAATCAACATATTTTTTTCATCTGGGGCCCATTTTTTAAAAATATTCAATGATAAACCAGCATGTAGCATTCCTGGAGTTGCAAATACAACCATAGGTCCTGGATTGTGCATATATGTTTTATCAAATGGTTTTATATGTTTAAAATCAAACATATTACGTTGTACAAAAGTTTGCCTCACTTTTTGATTAGTCCAAGTTATAAACATTTTGTAATAACTATTTGCTTTTTCGGTTAGTCCTGCAGCAAAATAGACTGGGACTTTAAGACCCATACGGTCCCAATAAGTATCTATAAGAATACACAGTTCTTGAGCTCTGCCCAGTGCAAAAATTGGAATTAATACTTTACCACCACGATCTATACATTCATGCACATTTTTTAAGAAATCTCGTTCCCTACATCTTTTTGAATCCCTTATTGTTGTAGCATATGTTGATTCTGTTATAAGTAATGTTGGTCGACATTTATCAATCCACGCTGCTCCCAAATGCCTATCTGGAGTCATTGAAAAATCTCCAGTGTAAACCACAGAGTCATTTCCAACTTTAATATAAAACATGGCGGCACCTAACACATGTCCAGCATAATATGCTTTCAATTCAATATCATCTTTAACAGTTACAACTTCATGTAAATTTACTGCAGTCACTTTCTTCATACAATCTCGAATTGCACCAGATGTAAAATATTTTGCTTCTTCTTCATATTCTACTAAATGTTTTCGCATATCTTCTAATAGAATTGGAGCAATAGCTTTGGTAGGATGTGTCATATATATAGGACCGTGGTAACCAAGATGTTCAGTTAAATAGGATAATGCGCCACAATGATCCAAATGAAAATGTGAAATAATTACGCAATCTATTATGTCTGTAATATTACCATCAGATGTAATATAAGTGAAATCAGGAAACTTCCGTTCATCCTGATAACCCATATGCATTCCACAATCAAGCATAATATTACGATTACCAATTGTTATTAAAATACAACTACGACCAACATCCTGACCAGCTCCCAACGGAGTAATTATAATACGATTAGTAATATTCATGATTAAAATATTAGCATTGCAAAATCTAAAAAAAAAAAAAAAAATTGAATTAAATTAAATTATTTAAGTCAACTTTTGATGGCCATTAATAAACCCAACTGATCAGTAAAAGAGCTGCAACATAAAAATTAATTTTTATAGATACACTAGACTAATTTAAAACCTTTTTATGGAATTCAGAGAACCGCATAATGTATTTATTGTAACCCCAATGCCAAAATCAACAACTGACATAATACTGACATAAAGTAAACTTAATTTTTCTTTATTTTGCTTATTGTCTCTTAAATCCATTGCTATATTGTAAATTATGTAACAAATTACTTATATTATTTAATTTTTGTTCTTATAATTGTGAAATAGTATTAATATATCTCGAATGTAAACTATTTCTATTTCCTTGTGACACTTATACTTATTTTGTGACCATCTGCATTATTTTATTTAAAAAATAAGATACTTACATTCAAACCATAAATTATTAAATAATTTGACTTTTTTTGTTCTTTGTAGCCCAATAAAATCATAGTTGAAACCATAGACAAGTATACTATTTACTGGTTGAAAATGAACAAACTAAATTTTAAATAAAATACTAAAAAGTAGGTATAATGATTGTAATATTTTTATCGTACATTACCATGATAAAAATATATATTCATCATTTATAAACATAAACACATTAGATCACTATCTTAATACCATAGATCCATGTGTATTTTATTATACTTATATACATGGTCTTAGATTTTTATATATAAGGTCCATAGAGTAATGGCATGGTTAATTTATTATCACAAATTAAGTGATAAAACAACTGATTTGAATAATAAATTTCAAATAAAATAGAATATTTAAACGAATATTAATGGAACAAGTAATTTCCATTGACCTAATAAAAAATTTATATTTTTTTATTGAATTCTGTAAATATTTTAACATCATTTTTATTTCTATTTAATATTATTTTCTATTAATTATTTGTAATTACATTGTAATGTATTATTGTTACTATACCTAATTGAAAAAATTGTTGCCATATTTAATTTAATTAATATACCTAATATATTCTGAATAACAATCATGTACTCATGACAAAATCTCAGATTATATATGTATATGATCTAAGGACAAAATAGATAAATATATTATCATCAAATCGTATTTTTGACAAGATTTGGAGCATTGATCTATAAGATAATTCAAAATCGGGAGTACTGTATATTTTATTATTATATTAGCTAATATGCTGGTAATGACAATATTTCAAAATAATTATCCTCGAAGCACTTATTATTTTTCGAACTACTGGTTTCCCTCTTTTTTCTGACTATCCATAGAGTAATAATTGTATCCGTCCCTGATTTGGAAATAAATAAATAGTAAATTTTCCCGTTCTTTCAAATTTATAATTAAAACCATTGAGAAAATCAAAAATTTATCTCCCTGAAATACCACTTCAGTTAGATTTTCTTTCAAAAAAAGTGCTACACATGAAAATCTGAACCAAATTTCTGGTAGAAAAAAAAAATAAACATTGTAAAACTAATACATTCTAAGTGGAGCAGTCCGCTTAGAAACTTAAATTACCAGCTTTACTGTACCTTGAACAAATACATATATTCATATTAATATCATTTTTTGATGATTATGAAAAAGAATATACCATGATCTTTTTAAGTGTTGATGAAAATTGCTTGGGAGTTAGGAGCGTAACTGAAAAGATTATTTATAAGAGTATTTGAACAATGTAAAAGTTTTTATAACGAGTAATTACAGTTTGTTATATAGTTTGGATATAGCCATATAGATGTCGTTATTTATTGTTTCATTGGAGATATAAGGGGGCTAGGTTAGGAAACGGCATACAAGGAATTATTCAAATTTTTTTTAAAGTACAACTTTATATCTATCTTATTAAACAAACATCAAGAACAACCATCAGATATTTTATCTCAGGCAAATTCAATAAATAGTTTTTTATTTTATTTTTAAAACTTTATTATACTTCTTACAGAGCTTAATTTTGTTTTATATTTTAACCAGTTAAGGTTACTTATTTATTTATTAAATATAAATGTAAATATAATGTATAAATATAAATATATTTATACATTTCTATTAAGTATGTTTTTGTTTTAAATTTTTAGTTTAATGTGATGAAAAAAATATTTCAAATTGATCTTAAGTAATTCTTATTTCTATACAAATCTAAATCTTCTGAGGATTTTTTTAACAAATTTTCACTAGCTCCCAAAGTATTGTGCTAAAATTTGTTTTCTGATCCACCATCTTCAGATTTTCTTTTTAATTTATTTAATACATATGGTAACTCATTAGAGAATTAAAAACAAATTACACAAACATTAACTCGTATTAAAAATGTATGTGCATTTACCGTTTTAATAATAAATACCTATCTGTAAAAAAGATACTATATATTTGTATTATTCATTAATTATGAATTAGGACGAGTTTAATAATGTTCACTGAAATATTATTTTTGCTGAACTATGTAAATATCAGTTGACATAATCAGTTTTATTAATTCATGTAAACCCAGCTAATACTTAAAAATAAATTATACCATTTCAACTCTTATAGCAAATACTATAAATGACAATTATTTACATATAATTTTTAGTTGTAATATTAAACAATAAATGCCCCTTCTAAATAAACTGGTTAATAATATAAATGTTTAATATTTTTCATATCTTCACAACTTACATATTATATTTGAAACTAATACAATATATACACAAATACAAAATGATTATTTTAAAGATAGGATATAATTTGTTGCTTTTTAATTTGATATTAAACCTAAACTGGTATTTTAACAAAGGAAAAATAATCAAACATTTGAGTAAAAGATAAAAGTATACTTTACAGTATTAAATAGTTATATAAAATCACATCAAGTAAAAATCTATAATATTAAGTTTTAAATTATTAATATTATTTATATTGATATTGCCTCAGTAAAGATTGGAACAAATTAAATCATGTATTACAAATCACAAATACAAAATTATTAAATCAAAATATTATAAAACAACAAATTGCTCAAAGAAAAAGTAAGTCTCAATTGAATTATTATATGTATATAAGACAGAATCAGTCGATTTACAACAATAATAATATTTATTACTATAAGTGGGGTAGTGGTAAAATTTCCAATTATATAAACATAAAGTATAATATAAATAAATATTTAGTTTGTGAAAATAACAAAATTAAACAAACTATTTTTAAGACTAGTAATATTAATAATATTTTATTATTAATAATCTAAGGAGGATTTTTTTAAATATTTTTAATGAAAACGATGTCTTTGAGTATAGTACTCTTTGTCACGTCTCTGACTTAAATGATGCTCCCTGATGTTTATAAGTCTGTCCCTTTTGTAATAGTTTTCTAATGGCCTTGCATATGTTTCTGATATATGTACTGGAAGTCGAAATGGTGGCAATGGTATTTCTTCATAATAGCGTTGTACTATTGGAGATCCACTTAAATTATATTGGTATGGTAATGTTTGTGAATACAAAGGAGGATGAATATACGGATGAGGATGTGGTGAATATGGATGCGAAAACATCCTCGATTGTTTATGTAATATTCCAAGACGAGAAGTATGTAAATATTCTTTATTTGTTGATCCTTCATCTGGTAAACCAAGCACCCGACGTCGTTGACGTAATTCAGCTGTACTAATAGATGGCTGATGGTTTTTAGATTTTTTTAAAATATATTGAAAATCAATTAAATTGTCTTCTAGAAACATAGAGCACAATTGACTCCCAGTTTTTGGATCAACTTCTTGACCATCACGAGCGATTTTTACAATTTTTCCTTCATTATATGCATTGTGTAAATGTGAGGTCTCACTGAATTCCAACTCTTTTGTAGAAATCCAATCAACTTTAAATACTCCTGACAAGTTACGACTTCCAAGTAGAACCCAACCAACAGGAGACAAATCATATCTAGCAGCTTCAGAAATTCTAGCAAACCCTGAAGTATCAGAATAAAAGATTTGATGAACAAATAATAAATGATTATTAAAATATTATTATTTACCTGCAAATTTACCACTTTCTTTGACTGAAAATATTAAAATTACATTTTTACACGTCCTGAAAGCTTGATTTAACTTTGTTTCATTCCATGGTCTTGTTGACCAACATTTTTTAACTTTAGCCAACTCAATATTTTCGTAATTGTTACTTTTTATGATAAAAAAACGAGCCTCTTTGAACAAAAATTTTAGCTGTGATAAATATTCTGCAGATGGTCTTTTTTTAGTTGTTGTCAAATTTTTATCAATTGTTATGTATCTTTCAGTTTTCACTTTAGTTCTTACAGACTTTGCATCTATGGAACTCGAACTAGCTTCACTTCTCGTATCAAACTCTTCATCCAATTGATCATCTTGAATAACATTGTCAGTTTCTTCTGTGATTTCATCAAGTACTTGCAGTTCATCAAATTCTTCGATGGAATCAGCAGTAGAACCGTGTACACTAATCGAGTCTTCATCCATTGATCAAACTACAAAGTAACAATCAATTAAATTAAATTAATACAATTGAAACTCATTTCTCTGAATAAAATAAAACAGTTTTAGGTGGTATGTTTATGAAACAATAATTTATGGTTCAATATAATTCAAGGAAAAAAACTAATTAATTATAGTAACATATGCATATAAATTAATAAATATGAATTGCATATAACTAAATTACACCTACATTTATACTTTAGAACAGGAAATTAGATTCAAGTAGGTACCTACACAAAATTGATAGAAAATAAAAATAAAATTTGAATGACAATTTTAAGGATTAAGTAAGTACCTACATGTATAATTTAGTAAAAATAATATGTTTATATTATGTATATTTAGATTATTAATATAGATATTATCTAGTTTAAATATTTGACAAATTAAATTAACAAAAAAAAAACCAATTTAGCTAGATATTAGTTTCAATAATGTCATACAGTGAGAATTAAATGTATGCTATCTGTAGGTTTACTACAGAAAATATACTGCAATTTTATACCTTTTTGATATCCATATTTTACAGACTCGATTAAATATTATTTAATAGAAAAACAAGTAATACAACAAGTACAATATTAGATGACAACCACGGTACGCAAAACTGTCTGATTTCCAAACACAATCCCATAAGATTATTGCTGGATGGCGGCCGTAATGCACTCACAAACTGATGCATTTTAAACCAAAATAAAGCGTTATAATATAGATAGTACTTTATTGTAAATACATAGGTATATAGTTCTTTAAAATGAACACTAAACGCGTTGAACTTTGAACACATGGCTAACCATTTTGATCACGGTTTCGGGAGCAGTGACTAATAATTTTATTGAACAAATATTTTTCGATAAAAATTTGGTTTAAAAAAAAAAAACAATACATGTTATAGTTGTCCATTATTATTATTTCTATTATTACAAACTATATTATGATATTGTGTACACACGAAATCGCCCATTTCGTTGTGGACTTACCACGATTTAAACACAGTTAAAAAATTATTAATAAAACACTACTAAAACGGCGTCACGGCGATCACGAAACGGGCGAGACAACGAATATTGTAAGACATTTCAAAAATATTTTTAACAAAATAAAACGCGCGCGTCGCCGTCGCTAGGACGAAAATATTTTGAGAATACCAGGGGAACAGTATACTTTTCTATGAGGGAAAGGGAACTACTACTATAATTTTATTATCACAGATACGTGAGATACGACCATACGAGACAAGCGGTTGTATATAGTGTTGTTAGCTGACGGTGTGGTGCTGTGGTGGATCGCGGGGGTGGAGAAACGGATGACGTAATCAATGTTGAACGCGATTCAAAGGGCCCGTGTCTGTTCTATCTAGTCATGGACCAAGTGGCGTTTATTATTATAATAACAACCATAATATACATTATATGATAACATGCAAGTTGGGAAAAAATCAATACTAATAAGTTTTGGAATTATAAATCTTTTAATAATTATTAATATAGGTAGACTTTAAATTTAAGGCTGAGACGGAAAACAGATAGGTACTTGAAAATGTTATATTTGTTTATTCGATAAAATTAGTTTAGGAATTTGGAAAAAAAAAGAATTCAGGTAGCCATTTTGTAAATTCGATTTTTAGAAAAATTTTAGTTTCAAAAACTTACTGAGGTTAAATAAATATTTTTAGTTTTGTAAAATTAAATAAATACCTTAAAAAATTCATAAAATAGTTCTTGGATAAAAAAAAAATTTAATGAAAAATTTAAATATTTAACCTAACCTATAGCGCAGAACTTTGATAATAAGGTATTGCAAAAAAAAAAAAAAATTAAAAATATTCAATAAAAAAAAAAATTATTACTCTATATAAATATACTATTTTATATTATCCATGACCACAGCTGGTATAGATAATAAACTATAAAAAAACAAATATGATAGGTAACCACTAAATTACACTACCGTATGCTTAAAGCAGAGGGCAGCCATTTAATTCGAGGCCCATCGTCCATTGGACATTATCATATACTTTTACATTGAACAATGTGAATATTGTGATAACCACAGTTATAGGTCTACACAGATGTATAGAATACATTTCTATACAACTGCGTAAATCTATCTATTTATAATCTATCTATCTATATATCCGTTGTGATAACTGTTTAATCATCAGATTTTTATCATGGCTATATCGGATATCCACGGTCTTATTTATAGGTCCGGCAACTCGCCGATATCACACTATAAACTTACCGATGAATCTGAATATCAGATAATCAAAAAGACCATTATCACAATAATATTATTCTTATATTATAATCATAATACTGATAGTATATTTACTGCAGCTAAAGTGCATATTTTTACTCGACTATGGAGTATTATGTGTTTAGTAGGTATCTATGTTTCTTCGTCGACATGACTAAGTAATATGGTATGTTCAGTTGTCATTATTTAAACATTTTAATAAGTGATACGCAACTCAGGTTCTAAAGTTGCTGTAAAATTCTATCAACAGTATTAGTTCTTAATAAGACTAGCGGATTGTCCTATGTCGATGTGCACGGTGACAACTACAGGTGATAGGAGGGACCATTCCAGGTGTATGATGTTTGCAGATGGTAAAGCTTTGATAGGAAAAAATCTGAAATAATCCAAAAATAAGCCTGAAAAATGGAGAGTAGCATTTAAAGGAAAGGAACTACGGATAAGTAGAAGTAAAACAGAGTATGAGTTAGAAGGACCAGGACAAGACAGCTATCGACAATAAGCGGTTACAGGCAAGATTGAGAGTCTTAAGTACCTCAGATCTATTTTACAAAAGAACGGTGTCTTTCATGAGAATGTAAAACATAAGTTTAAGTATAGTTGGATAAAATGGAGAGAAGCGTCAAGTGTTTTATGTGACAAGAGAATTCAGATGAGGCTTAAAGTTAAGTTCTAAAAAAAGTGATGAGAATGACAAAGTTGTATAGTTTGGAATGTTAGGCGGTAGTACACAATACTGTCAATACATTTGCTAGAATTTAACGAATGTTATATTCTAGTTCTTTTTTTTCATTAGGTAGATACATTCAAATCAATACAATAGCTTGCTATGTAGTTGGACATCACATCGCTTTTCAAAAACAAAAACAAAATTTCCAATTTTATATTGTAATAATATTATCTCTGATCTCAGTCTTTCACTGGAATTGTAAATAAAATATTAGTATTCACAGCTTTTTAAATTTTTTTTTTCAGCATAAAAAAAATAGACTACCTAAATTTAGCTGAGTAAAATTTAAAAAGATTGTAAAAGATTGTGACGTAAAGAAAAATAATAAAACCATTTGATTTTATTATAAAGAGAATTATAAACCATAAAAGACAAATAACAATAAGTTTCCGTTATTTGTATGAACTAATTCATATTTTATTGTTTATTGTCTATATATTTATGTATTAGATATGATTATTGTACACTATATTATTCTAGTTATTGCTATAGGTATATTGTTATCTATTGATTAAGCTCATTAAAGTTAAAACAGTTAAAATTGTTATTTTATTCATAATCGTCATTATTATAAATCTACTTAAAATTGGATAATTTTTCCGTAAATAAATAAATAAATATTCATGATCACGCGTATTATTATAGTATATATTTAAGACATAAGTACTTAACTATACGTCTAATAGTTATTATTAGGTCTATGTATTAATTATCAAACATTTAAACTACACATTGAAAATTAAACTAGTTGACTTTTCAAATCTGGCTGTTCACATTTATCTATTATATCTATTATCTACTACTACTATTATTATTATTATTATCTATTATTAATATATAAAGTTCCCAACTTAGTTGCCCGACCTGTTAATAAGACTGTACGGTTATATTTATAATAGCTATGAATTAATGAATTGCATAACATATTATAGGGTAAGCCTAGTTGACTGAACTGAATGATTGAATGGACGATTATAGTCATGCATAGGGATGTACTTTTATGTTTTATTTACATAACCATGTCATGAATGATAATAATCGAATGATTTCGTTATAGATATATGTTGCAGAATAATCTGCTTGTTTTAAAATAATAATATCAATGTTGATATTACATATTTTTACACATTTGAACTTACTTATAAAAAAGCACTCATAAATATTTATACATATTATGCTTAAATTACAAATTTTACATAAATATTCAGCTATTTAGAAATAACATGTAGTTTCGCTTTTTACATTGTATATTATGCATTGTTTGCTTCTCTGTTGCGTTCATATTGTTCGGTTTTATCCGATTATTAATAATGTGCAGCATCGGTCGTAATCTACGTCACAAGTCGCGAATATATAATAAATAATTATATATACATCATCGTAGTAAAGCACATTATAATATTACGCGATTATTATCGACTTCGCATATCATTGAATTTCGTCAACAGTGTAGGAATCTATTTTTTTAATTTGATTTGATTTTATATTTAAATGTAGGTACTTATTTTTAAATTTATATCAAGAGTTAAAATTAACATATTTTTGTACTTTACTCAAGATTTGTACTTTCTAGGTTTGTATTTTAAAGAATTGTACGTTCCCGATTTCTACGCGCTCCCGTAGAAGCCTTCGTATTAAACCATAGAGTTTATTACTCTATGTATTAAACGCGACTTGCCATGTTTATTAATACGATTATGTTTGCCAGGTCTAATATTCTAAGACCGTGGTTTTGACCATAGAGTGATATAAGTCCGACGAACTTATCTTCCGCAAATAGTTCTTCCAATGAACTTTTGTTCCATAAATATTTTGTTCCACGTATTTAACGTGAATGAAGTGTTTTGTGGAACAAATGTTTATGAAAGAAATGTTAATCGGACCAAATATGTATGGGACAAATGGTGTTAGCTGTTAATGCAAACAAACAACATACCTCAACCAAACAAAAGGCGGAAATATAAAAATTTGGACGAGAGATTTAATGCTGTCGTAAAAGGATACGATGAAATCAATCAAAATAAGTATTTAAAATCAATAGCACATAATCAAGAATTATAATTTTTTTTTTCCCTAATTTTTGACAATTTCTGATATTTTTAATTCTTTTTTTTTTTCTAATTTTTGATAGCAAATATTTTTTAGCACTTATTCAAACATTATTTAATACATTTTTTTGTCTTAATAATAATAAATAATTGTGTTAATTGTGTTAATAATAAAGATTAAAATTTTGAATTAATATTTACGCGGGATTTTTTGTCATGGAATATTTTGCGGGGATATTTTGTCGTAGAACCAAATTCCCCTCTCCTTTAATCGGAGGTTGTAAGAACAGATTGTTGTAACTAGTAGGTACTTAACCGATGACGTTATGGTTAGGTAATCAACACTTAATCAGACATTGTAACTTGTTAGAACGGGTCTAAGAATATTAACTATTTAATTTATTTATATATTGTATTATTATGTATTTTCACCAAAGAATTAATTTCATGAGCATTAACGACCATAATGTAATTTTCAGATGGGAGACAAAATGAAACTAGATTCCAAAACTTATTTCTAGGGAATAAATGTAGTTTAAGACCCAAGCTCATTTTATATTTTTTTTTATTTTTTAAATGCGTGTTTTTGTCTGTATATTAAGAATCTAAAAAAAAGAAAGTCGAACGAACTTCGTTTAGAAGTTTTGGAAGAAAACTTCATGAAGTTCGATTTTTTCGTTTCGCGTATTTCTTAGTTAGAATTTATCATTTTCAAATTTTTTTTTTCCAAAATGTGTGTTTTTAATGCATAATCCATTGGGATAATTAAAACTTACCTACCATACTTACTTTTATAGTAATTGTACATAAACCTTGAAAAATATAATTTTTGAAATTAATCTAAAATATGGTCAAAAATAAACATTTTTTTTTATTATTATTATTTGTGGTTATTGATATTTTGGTAACAAAGTTTTTTTTATTGAAATCAGAATAAGTTTATTTAGCTTAGATTTAGAGTTACAAATGTTTAAACACGCCGTGTACTCATTCGGATTCATTTTAATCGAAAATAACCCTTGATTTATTGTGGAAAACCATGTCGGATAGGTAACAAGGTAAAGTAAAAACCCATTATAGGTGGGTAGGTTTGTGTACAACAGCTATAAAATTAAGTATGATATGTAAGTTTTGATTATACCAATAAATTGAGCATTGAAAAATACACATTTTGGAAAAAATTAAAAAATTGGAAATGTTAAATTCTAACTAAGAAATACGCGAACTTCATTACGGCCCGAAGAAAAGCCATACATTTATAAATAAATGTTAATAATTTATAATTACCTAATATATAATATATTATTAATATGAAAAATTCAGATAGTGGTTACCGGTCTCAACGGTGTGACCAGTTTGGGCAGGGCTGCCTTCTTACCACTGTTATAATACACCATAGATATTAAGAAATTCTTAATATGTTTATGGAATACACTGCGTACGGTTTGTTTGTGTTTCCTACTGGTGGTACAACTGGTACGTGCGGTTGTTTTGTTTGTGTGTGCGCCGCCGTCGTTCACAATTTTCTCATTCGTTTTTTTCCCTCCGTCTCCTTGTGTATCGTGGTTGTTCTGGCGCTTGTTCGACAATCGGTGTAATCATCGTTTCCATTTTTTGTGCATCGTCGTCGCCGTACATTTTTTCGCGACCCCTAACAACACTTGAGCTACAGTTTTACAAGTCACTAGGAAATATTATCATTGATCCTGTCTGTCACATACTCCTGTCATACCCGTAAGTAATGTTTGCAATTATTAAGCAGTCGTCAGTTTGTCTTATTTTTCCTCCTCCATTATCTGCCACCGCCTCGTTTGCATGCTGCCGGTCGAGGGAACTCTTTTTACTGTATATTACTTATCCTCAGAATAAATACTTTTGTATACATATTGAACAAACACAACGGATTTTCATTGGCGCTAACCGGTGACCATTCCCGACTCCGCGCCACCTTTCCAAGTGCGGGTTAGGTGTTTTGTATAATGTTAAAATTTTGTTGTTATGTGCTTCTATGTCGAGTAATCTCATAAAATAATCAATTTATCGTATCGTAATTTTTGTTCTTGTTTTGTGATACGCTCAGGCATTTAAACACATGCATTCAACTATTTTTTCATATTCTCCCATACCTGCCTTCTACTTATGATAATATAACGGTTTAACAATATTATTGGCCCATAATAACAAGGCGTATGAATTGCAAAAATCAATAGGTAGTACTGTTGTAGCTTTAAACCTGTTAATTAAATCTTACCGCATCCATCACATTATTAAATTAATTAGTCCACGATGTATTCATACTGATTAATTATAATTTATGATATAATATGCTTAAAATTTGACTCCTCACCACGCGACTTTTCCACATAATTTTATAGGAATCTAAACTTATAAACATTTATCAGTAATTTTCATTGTGAATACCTAGTTAAAAATAGTTTTTTTTAAATTCTTATTGAATTAAACTTGTTTTTCATCAAATTATATTGCTGTCTGTCTTTAAAATGCAATTCACAATTTTGATAATAAACAGGCTTGGCTACCGTAGGGGATATTGAAATTTTTCCCGAAGTTTTTCATTTTCCAATATTATCCTAATTTCCCTATCTCAGCTTTGCAATTTCTTAGGTAGGAAGTAGGTACCTTATTTATAAATGTTCAAAAGTGAACCTCATTTAATTATGTCTGCATACTTTATCAACCAAGTCTCCCCTACTTACATGTATATTGATGTTGAGACATGATTTATTTATAATTTTTATTCTTTGAATCACTTGTTTTCTAACAGTGACACAGTTATATGACCCCCGGTTATTTTAAAATTTAATTTTAATAAAATATTTTTATATACCTTTCTGTATAATTGTATAAGACCTGTTCTTACTATGTCCTGTTATCGCTATCTGAAGGTTAAATTTGTCACAAACTGGCAAAATTCTATTGGTTAACTTATGCTTAATACTAACTGGAACTTTATGGGACATTATAAGAACCAGACAAAGTATCTATTTACTATCTATTAGTTGATTTGGTTGGTGCTTTTCAAGGTTAAAAATGAAATTTGTCTAAATATTCTTTATAGTCCTTTTGAAAAGGGTTTTGTGTTTATGATTCTCCTAATAAATAACTCAGATTTTTTTTTTGTAATTAATTCAAATATATTTTTGTAGACGGGTCAACTGCCAACGCAGTATAGTGAGAGCTGATAGATAGATTTTCGTGTTCAATTAAAATTGTTAAATTGTATTGTCACAGTAATCATTAATATCGTAATCTAGATATGATATTGTATGAACTAATAATGACTGGTTTTTCCCCTTGTGTTTTGAGTGACCAAGCGAACAAATTTCATTTTTATCTAACAGGCAATAGCGTTATCGAATATTTTACCAAAATAATATGAACAACCACTCAAGTTTACGTAAATAATAAATATACATAATGAACACAATGTTCACAATAACAGTTTCTATTATATACATAACATTTTTTATCTTTTTTAATCTTATAATTCATCGAATAATTTGAAACAAATTTATGTTTGGATAATTTTAAAAATCTCACACCCACTTTGTGGACCCCCGAGTTACCCTCTACGGACCCCCAAGAGGTCCATGGACCACCGGTTAAGAACTCCCGATCTATACAAATTTAAAACATGTTTAGGATTTATTATAGAAAAGTCGTAAACATATCTATTATTATTATTTAACTACTCAAATATTTCGAATGGTTACGAATAGCTCAAAAATGGGCAAGATGTTTTAAAAATATATTATTTGCTAATATACTTAAGTATTCTGTAAAACTTTTAAGTTAACAATGATTTTAAATTACGTTATAAAAATAAATAAATTTCTGGGATATTTTTTCTTGATATTGTTCAATATGGATGTATGTTCCCTCATAGAAACTAAAATAGGTAATTTAAATAAATAAGGTGTTTATGAATTCATTAGGATCCCCTCTCTCTCATGTTATAAGGTAGTTAAAAAACAAACAAACAAAATTGTAACATTATGACACCCATACCATATTTTTATGTATAACTTATTTTTTTAAAAATTATATCAGCAATTTTTAATTTTACATTATCTTAAATAAAATTTGAGAGTTATCTTAGCATTGTCTAGTGTATAGAAATAGCTTCCCTGATTATACAGGTACCTTGTTTACAAGCCCTAAGTGTATTTTTCCTAACTATATATTTTATGAAAAACATTGTGATTAATCTGCAATTGAAAAATAATAATTATAGGTATTTATTACTGTCATTTCTTTAATCACTAAAGCCTGTTTTTTGTTACTGCTGTGGGTTGAAATAACTTCTAATAGGCTCTGCCACAGTTAACTGTAGTAACAAAATTATAGCTTAGGACTAAATACATATTAAAATAATTACAAATATATCTACAAGTACCTACATAGTGTATATGTTAATTTTTACTGAAAAGTATAATTTTTTTCAATAATATTAAATTTAAATACCTATCTATGTCTTCATATAATTTATTTTATTATTTTGATGTTAATTCTTCAACAGGGATCTGAAAAAAATTAAATTTAATGTTAACTATAGTTTTCAGTTAAAATGAAAACTAAGGAAGCAGTAGCTGTAGGAGACGATTCGGAAAATGAATTTGAAGTAGATGAACCTGAAGAAGTAGAAGACCATTCAGATGATGAATGGGCACCAAGTGCTGCGGTATGTGGATTAAATATTATATATTATAATTAAATGAATGAATAGTAAATTTATTTATTAATTAATTAGGCAAAAACTCCCGGTAAACGTGGTAGACCAGCAAAAAATCCACCCGGCAGAAAGAAGAAAATGCCAAAGGTTGAAGATGACGACGATGAAGAGGAAGAGGAAGTATTACCAAAAAAGGCTAGAGGATCATCAAAACCAAAACCATCAACACCAGCTAAAGGGCGTGGAAGAGCACCTAAAGGCAAAGCTAAAAAGGAAGAGGAACCTGAAGAGGAAGAAGAGCTTGATGATGAGGATCTAGCAGATGAAGAAGAGGAAGAAGACGAAGATGTAGACGATGAAGAAGTAGATGATGAAGAAGAAGACGATGAATATGATGATGACGAAGAAGAAGAACTTAATCAGGGACCAAATGCAAAGCCTGCTAAAAAATTTACAGTAAATTATAAATATATATATATATATATATATATTTATATATATATATATATATATATTCATATATTCATACATTCATACATAAAAGTTATTTCATTTTTGAACATTTTTTTTTTAGTCTGGAGCATTTGTTGTTCTAAAAACAGATATGATTGTTAAAGGCAACCCTCCTGTGTGGAAAATTGATGGAAAGGCATTGTTACAAAAATATGTTCCATTCAAACAGGATGGTAAAGTGTTATACAAAAATACATCAGTTGTAAGTAACTGATTATTACAATATGCATAATTTATATGATCATATTGTTATGATGAGATTTGGCTAGAAATTATTATTATATTTTTTTTATATAGTATTCAGGTTGGGGTTCTAATGTTAAAGATCAGTACTATTCCGCACCTGTAACATTTATACAGCAAACACGTAAAGAACACATAATTGAATTTTTCAAAGATAAAATTAAGAAGTAAGTTAAACTTAGTTCATTTTTCAATAGTTTTATTAGATTTGATATCCCTGTCTGTAAGTGTAATGGTCAAATTAAGTAATTGTAATGTGATCCCTTTCTATTTTTCCAAGCTGTAATTTTGCATACAGCATTCAGGCTAAAAAAAATTTTTTTTTTTAAATAATTTTTGAATATTATTTTGGTATTTTATTGTTCATATAATGATGTTTAGGGATCCTAAAATTGAAGAGGCTGCTCAAAAAGAAATGGAAGAAGAAGATGCTGACTTTGCTGCAGAAGAAGCAAAATATGAACAAGACGAAGCGTAATATTGTTACAAAGAAATAACTAAGTATGACTGTTCCCTTATTATTATTTTTTTTTCAGTACATTTATGAACAGCTTTTTTAAACATTTTTCATTTTATACTTTCAATGATAATTAAATTTTATTATTTTGTTAATAATGATGTAAATTTAGCACCAAAATTATTTTGATTAGTAATTTTAATTATATCTAATATTTGAATGGTACATTTAAATTCATATTGAATGTTCAACCTTTTAAATTCCTTCCTAATCATTGGAGTAGTAATAATTTATATTAAAATTATCACATTTATATGTAGTAGTTAATTCTGGTTCTAAATTCATTAACTTGAAGCATAATAAGTTAAGTTGCTTTTATGACTATATATATGCGGTAAAAGTGTATAATTTTTCTATCAATAATATTGTCACAGACACAATATGATGTGTCCACATTATATACACATTACATATATAGTGTATATTATAAGGATTATAATTTTGAGAAAGTGACAAGTTTCTTATAGTTTACAAACAATAAAAAGTCTTTTAAATAGAGATTTAATAACTAGTACCTATTTCATTTCAAAATTTTTGATGTTGTATATATTATATATTTATATTTATATGTATGTGTAAGCTAAATATTTTATTTACTGCTTACAAATGAATGAAAATAAGAATAAACAATTATATTAGTAATACAATTGACAATTATTACTTTTTGTGTAAATTTAAGGGAAAATAATAATTATTTTTTTGTATACATGTTTATTATTACCTTATCACTTCTTTATTATTCAATTGTATTCATGTGTGTTTTGTTTATTGAAAAATTGGTGGTATAAATATAAATTCTAATATATTTCAATTTTAAGTAACAATAATTCTCTGCCTGCTGGTATATTTTTATTCACTTATTTAAAAATAAATTTAACATAAAAACAAGCATATACTGTTTAAATAAAATAAAACCTGATGCGTCTATAGTCCCTAAATGGACCATAAAATTTTAGACTTGTATATATTATATACAGTATATTGTTAGTGAATCTAGTAACCCGAAAAGTACTTAAACGTATAGTTACAGACTGTATTTTCTTGTAAAAATAAACCCCAAAAACCATATTGTTGTGAACTGTAGAAATCCTGAGAGTAAGTAAACATATTTTCCCAGAATCTAAATTTTAAGCGACACTAACACCATCAAGAAGTGCAATATATTAAGTTTTAAAATAGACAACTAAAAGTTACTATCTAAATATATTTCTATTTATTAAATACAATCTGCTATATTTGTTTAATAATAGTTTTATTATGTTATTGATATATAAAATAATATCATTGAATTAATAATAATATTTGAATGCATGCATACCAATATCATACTTTATTTTTTATTACCTACTAGTTGAATAACTATGAGAGCTCAACAATTATAACATATTTTAAAATGGTGCAAACAAAACATGTTCTACAATTAAAGTACTTAATATAACAGAAAAGTAGTATAGAAGTAATTAAAATATTTTATACAAAATAATCATAATAAATAACAAGTATGTCATAGAGAGGAATGAATCTAAAGTAGTAAGATTTGTAAAGAAAATAAATGCAATTGAGAATATTATAACAGCTGGTTTATGCAAGAGAGAAATCAGATTAAGTGGAAGTTTAGGACAAGGTTGGCCTATTCCAAATAGTTGAAATGAAGGCAAAGAAAAGTGAGAAAACAGATATACCGACAATTTAGTACATTTTGTATTAGGTTTCTCTTTTGTGTAATGTAATTTAAATTTATTTTAAAGAATTTAAAGTAGCATTACTTTAGAGGTCCAGGTTTTTTATACTTTAATGAAACAAAAAAAAAAAAAAAAACGTAGAAAGAATGAATGAAAATTTATGAAAATAATATGATTTTATTATTTTTTACTTTCAATTTTTTGTTTTGATAAAACTACAAAACCTTGTATTTTCTAAATGTGGTAAAATGTTCAAAATTTTTGAGATACTTATTTCTAGTGTTTTCTCTGTGGATAGAATTGTTAGATTAAACAGAAGTACTTGATCATATAACAGTAGGTTCATTATAATTTGTACTATGTAACCAAAAAAAAGAAAAGAATTGAATTTGATGTGGTATTTTTTTTTTATAATTTTAATATGAAATTTTGACAAAATTATAAATATTACAATATTTCAAAACATGTATAACTAAAATTTAAAAGTTTATTATTGCATATTGATATAAATTAAATTCCTTTTGTCCTACCTTCATAACTTCTCCTTTACAATAGTGGCCTACTTGTCTTGTGAAGTAGTGTGTTAGTTTTTATTTGTTAAGGCAATATTTTTTTGCAACCAACAATACCTATTTATTTTTTATTTAAGTATTATACAAATGTAAGTTAATAATTTATATTTAGAAGCTAAATAGGTACTTTATTATTAAAATAATATTCAATTTTTTTTTAGAATCAGTCTTCATAGAAAATATTGGTACTGTAATGGTATAACATCTTTCAAAGTTCTTCATCACTAACTTCCTCATTGCTTGATCTATTATTTCCATTTTCTAAAATAATTATAATAACTATATTATTTAATACATATTTGTATTATAATATATTTATCTTATACCGAGCTGATCCAAGTACTGATTTTGAAAAGCAACAACTTCTTTTCCATCTTTACAGTTTGCATAGCCATCTAATAATTCTTGATTGAGGCGTATAAATGTAGGTCCCCAGTTAAATTTAGACATGTATAAGTCACCAATTTCTTTATAATCAGCTATATACATTACAGCAGCTAAAGCTTCAACACAAGAAAGTTTAAGAGGATGTCCATAGTTTACTGGATTTGCTGCTACCAGATATGGTAACAGTCTTAGGTTTTTCTTTGCTGTCCTATGCTGCAATTTGTGAAATGGAGTATCATGAAGTCGTGCCCAAGAACAATCCACAACGGCTACACCATATTTAGCTATAATTGGATTGTCCTTTGCTGAAACACTCTACAAAATTATGGTTAATAACTAAAATCAAAACTAAAATTACTTTAAGTTCTACTTCATTTGCAACAGGTGTTAAAACGATGCCATTAAATTTTGCCAACATCCCAAGTTTGTCTATCATTTTTAGTCTCATTAGTTTTCTTCCAGTACATCGTTTTGGATCGCATTGCTTTAAATCCCACATACCAACTTTAAAAGGTACTTCAATTTCTACTGATTCATCACTAGTTTCTAAAATATTTAATAATTATATAATTACTTAGTCAACATTTTTGTTCATATTTCATTCTAACCACTACTGTTGTCTGATGAATTTTTTTCAGAATCTTCCTCCTCATTTATTTTAACTGCTGAAACAGTTTCACATAATTTGTCTTCATTGATGCTACCAAACATCTCTAAATCATCACTTGTAGAAGCCTACAAAATATAATATAAAATGGAAAAATACTGTTAAATATATATAAAAACGTATTGATATTTTTTAATATAAATTAGGAAAGTTTACAGAAAAAAATGCCGGGCGTTTTTGAAAGTTTTTTTTTTTAGAAAACAATATATAACAAAACATAGATGTTTGAACAAACAAAATAGCTTCTTACATGGGTGCCTGATATTAATAAGTCTATGATTTAATATAACAACAATTTTGGTTATGACTTACCATAAGGTATAACTTAATCAAAAGTCAATAGTAATATATTCAGTAAAAAATTATGAAAAAGAAGTTCCTTTTTTTTCAGATAGACAAATGGTGTAAACTCGAGTAATTGAGTTTGAGTAAGCCCTTATTACATATTACATTAATACACTACACAGTACACAGTAAGTTAGTAGTCCCGTAGAAAAGATATTTTAAAGTACGTTCCACTAGCAATATTTGATAAGAGTCCGGTGACTCAAACTGCGGAAAAATCGCTATAAAGGCGGTAAATAGGCAATAAATAGACAGAATTGCACAATATGAAGTCATTTTGAAAGTATTTAATAAATTTAAATCACTTCATACATATTATGCGTCGCAGTAATCTGAACGAAATGGTCGAATTTGAAGTGATATAAAAATAGAAAAAAATTTGGAGCAATTCGTTTTCTATCACCAAAAGATAGACTAAAGATTAAAGTGTACTTTAAGAATAAGGCATATTAATAAATTGACTGCGGTTAGAAAAGGAAATGCGAAACCTATATATTATATTGAGGGAAAGAAATGATAGTGGCAGTCATGGAAAGAATGAATAAATATTTTAATTTTTAATTTTTAATTTATACCATGAAATTATTATTATTTATCAATTTATCACGTCAATTTAACTTATTATCACTAAGAAAGATTGGTAACGAATATTTGTTGGGGTGGTGGTGCTGATCATCAAAAGTGTCCATTTTAAAAGTACAAGATATTGAGCATTATTTATACACTAGTTATACCAAAACGAGTAAATACCCGATAACGTGTTTTAACTACAGAATTATGGAGAAACCGTGTACTTTTGAAAGGGTAACATTTGGTTTGCATGCAATTCTTTTCTAGTCTATGTTTAGCCAGGGGCGTCCCTGAGAGAGGGGGCGATCGCCCTCCCCCCTGGGAGAAGTTAACTTATATTGGCATTTGGCATAGTCAATGATCCAGAAGTAGATATGATAGATATAACCAATATATTATTTGACATAATTTTTTAGATATTCAGTATAGCGAAGAATATATTGATTTTACAAAGATATTTATTAATTTTTTTTTATATATTGTGACAACAATTTCTTCCAAAAATTTTGCCCCGATAAGCATGTGTGGCACTATTTCTGATTGGAAATATTGTTTACTATTGCAATAGTGCAGAAGCTGATTTTATTAATTCGAAATCAAAAGGTTTATTGATTCATCTAAATCATTTTATGTTTAACTTTCTATCTTCTAAAGTTTTGTGGAAAAATAATTCTCTAAATATTATGATAATCGTGATGCTTTTTTTACTGACAGTTATCGATTTCTTTAATACTAATAACAATGAATACATTATTATATTTTCCATAAAAAGATTACAAGACTGAAGTTCTTACATATGATATTTAAAACTATTGTTCTAATTATTTATTCATAGATGGCGTTGATTGTCTTGTACCGATCATAGGGGAAACATTTCGTTTTCATCGATACCAGTCCATTCTTTCTATTGTTGAAATATTTTTGTGCTGATAAATAATATAGATTTATCATCAAGTTAAATGATATCACTGTTTTAATTTAATACATACCTTGCAAGAAAAATTAGTAAAAAAACAAATTGTCAAATTTGTTTATTAGGGCCTACAAAATCCAGAAAACAGTTGTATTACAGTAACTGCCCAACTAATTACATTAAAATCTAATGGTATTTTGATTCACCATAAAAACAATTTTTTTTATACTTATTAAACAAATTGAGATATCATTTTTCAAATATGTCATTAGTCAAAATGTATTCGAAGACATTGATTACTTTTAAATTTAATTATTTGTTATTTTCGTTTTGAACATAAAAATTATATAATTGTGTATATATTCACTACTTATATTGCAGTGAAAATAAGACGACATACTTGTTTTTTTATCCATTAACTCAAAAGCAAAACAAGGTTAAAAAAAACTATCCAAATGAGTTACTAATTAATTTATCAATTAGGAATACCTTCAATATACTATACATATATAATTTTAACATTTAACCAGTTGCAGTACAATTACAGGAGTTGAATAGGCAACATTGTTTACAAATTTGGGAAGCACTGGGCCTTCTTATCAAATATTGCTGCCGGAACGTACGTGTTATAACAGCGTTCTACATTTAGTATACAACAAGACATTCTGTTTCTTTCGTCTTTTGTTGTTGATTGTTTATTTCTAGTTTTTAAACGTTACCATTTATTATAGTCCACACTTCATATTCTATAATTCAAAATCCAACATCCGACTACTGATTATCTTTATATATTGGATATATTTTGTTTAGTATGAATTTATTACCTAATTTATAACCTGTACATATATCTATTTCTTTTTTATTTCTAGATTACTTAATACTTTTACGTAATGTACGTAATGTAAAAGTATTAAATAATTGAAATTATATAAAATTATCATCCGCAGATTATGGTCGAAGTTACTGAAACTAAAGAACAATTGTCTGCAACTATTGCCCGTCATTATGACAATGGAGAAAATGATATCTCAGCACGTTTTGAATCTCGTATCTTATATTTACGAAATTTTAACAATTGGGTTAAATCAACTCTTATTCGTTAGTTATATATTTTTTTTTCATTTAAATTTACTGAGCTTTAAGTTTGTTATCGTTATTATTTAGAGGAAGCTGTGTTAATGCTTAGGAACTCAAGAATTCACGATGGAAAAATGAATGTATTAGATCTTGCCTGTGGTAAAGGAGGCGATTTAATCAAATGGAAAAATGCAAGTTGTATGGAGTATCTTGTTGCCGTAGATGTATCTCAAGGATCAATTTTTAACTGTCGGTCACGATATGAAGACATGCAAAGAAGAAATAGATACTTATTTGATGCTAAGTTTATTGTAGCAGACTGTACTAGAGTAGGTATTATAAATTTGTTATTGTTAAAGGACAATCCAACTCAAAAAGATCAATTATTATTTTATTACCCTAATAAATAGAACAGTTCAACTAGTATAATGATAAAACTAAAATTTGTTTGCTAGTTAATGTGATTTTTAACATTGCATGTGACGTTACGGATTCATTCTCCTCGTTTGCGGCCATATAATATAATACGCTAATATTTATCCGTTTTTGGTTTAACGCAAAATAACTGCTAATGAATTTTTTTTTTTCGAATGACCTAATCAAATGTATTTACGAGTACCTCATAATCTTCCTATTCATATAATTATATCACATTTTGATTTAATATTGTAGAAAAAAATAACACAAATATTACGAATTTACTAAATATTCACTGAGAATGTGTGTAATATTGTTTTGACAATCATGACATTTTAGTGGTATATTTTTTTCGTTGTATGTACTAAAATTGTAGCCAAAGAAAATTTGTCGAGTTGGATGGCCCTTTAATAAATTATGTATTATCTTCTTAAATTAGGAGTGTTTCACTGAAAAACTAGATAACTAGTTGAATGAAAAATTGTTTTTAATACTAAAGTGTAGAAAAGCAATGGAGCCAAATATGTATCAAACCTGCATTGAATAGTATTAGAAATGTTGGTGATAGTCTAGGAGTTGTAGAAGTAAAAATGAAATTAGATTGAGATTGTGCATGTTCAAAGAAGAAAAAACAATAGTTTAAAAGATTAGTAAGTAAGATAAGTTTAAATAGAAGTCGTGAAAGAGGTAAAGAAGGAAAAAAGTGATTAAACCTTATTAGAGGAGTGATGAGGGTATGTAGAGTAAATAACGAATGTTGATAGGTGGGGCGGAGTAGCTAGTCTGAAAATAGGAATTTTTCAGGTTACCTGGATCGTATTATGAATTTGTGGCAGAATAATTTTATATAATAATATATTACTTAATCATATTAACTTTGATAGACCTTTAAATTATTTTACTATTATAATTAATGCAAGTATTCACTTATTATTTAAAAACGATGTAGGTATGAGCAAGCATTGGATATAAAATTACAAAATATTATATAATTATGAACATCAAATAAAACAAAAACATAACATTATTTATCAACTGGCTAGAAAAATAAATTGAAACATTATGAATTTAATGATAAATTGATTAAAGAAGTAAAAAAATAATTGACTGGGTAGGTTATAAGTATTCAATTATACAAATGTGTTAAATACTATTATTGAAAGCTTATAAATAGTATTAACAGTACTAAAAATTAAAATTAAAGTAATGATTGAATTATCTTTATTATCTCTGTCAAAATTAAATTTATGTAAAGTGGACTACCAGCTGATTCTCTAATAAAATTGATTTAAACTAGAATAATTTAGTTTATATACAAAATTTAATGATAATTAACTTATTACAAATAAAAAAAAAAAAATGATTCTGAGTGAGTTTAGTTAAATTTGTTTTGAAAAGTTCAAAATTAATATTTTATTCATATATTATTACAAATTAAATTACATACTTCATATTTTTTACGGGTTTTATCATACATTTGAACTACTATATATATAAAAAAAAAAAAATCCCTATTACAAATTCTAGATATTTCTAAACGATTACCCTAAGAAAAACTTATGAAAAACTTTGTGTAATTGAAATCAAAAAAAAATTTATCCACATAAAATATAAATAAAAATGCTCAAAATTTTGTGTTGCTAAAATTATATTACTTATTTCAGTATTTTAATTTAGTAGGTGACTAATATAAATATTTGATATAACTTCAATTCTTATGATTATTTTTAATAGGATTATAACAATAAATCAAAATTGATTTTAACAGAAATCGTTAATATTCTGATGTTCTTCCTTTTGGTTTCTTCCCATTATCTAGAAAAGTATCTACAAGGAAAATAAAAAAAAAACCTATCTAATGCACTAATTAGACTAATTTTTTACTGGAGATCACTTCTGAAGTTAATGTAAAATTAAAACTTTTAGATAAAATAAAGAAATATATGTCAGGAATCATTGTAAAACTAACTTTGCTCAATATCTAAGATTTATTAACAATTAAGTAAAATTTAGGTACTGTGAATATTACATTGATTTCATTCAATTCTTAAACTTATTTTATTTCTTAGGTGTATTATTAGAAATTAGATTGTGTTAGTTTAATAAAATAGTACTTGATATAGTTATACTTGATATAATTAACTAGGTAATAAATGTTAAAATAATAGTATAATTTGTTAAATATATTATTTTACACATAATAAATTATTATTGAAAATATTTTATGTAGTTTTGTTTGTTCAAATTAAAACACTGAAATTGAAAGAACAATTTGATTGGTGTACATTTTATTAGGTTACTTGGATAAATTTTAATCCCCTGACCTGAATTTGGTTCTCACTCCGCCCCTGGTTGACCGACAATGAGATTTTGAAGGCAGAGAAAGATTTACAAATTATATGATGTAGAAATTATTAAATTTATAAATAAATATTTTTTAGGTACATATTAATAAATTTTTTAAAAACTCAAGTATGAAATTACATTTAGTAAGTTGTCAATTTGCATTCCATTATTGCTTTGAAAGCATATCACAAGCTGAATGTATGCTAAAAAATGTGTCAGAAAATCTTATTAGTGGTGGTATTTTTATAGGTACTATACCTAATGCTAATGAGATAGTGTAAGTAAAATTATTAATAATGACTCCAAATTCCTGTACAGAATTAATGATTAATTTTATCTTCAATCTTTAATTAATTTAGGAGACGTCAAAAAGAATGTGGTAAAAAACAATTTGGTAACAGTATATATAATATTGATTTTATGTGCAATATTGAAGAACCATTTCCAATATTTGGTGCAAAATATAATTTCAATTTAGAAGGAGTTGTTGACTGTCCAGAGTTTCTAGTATATTTTCCTGTTTTAGTAAAGTTAGTTACATAACAAAGTATAAAGACATATATCTTTTACTTTTATATACTTATGTGTTGTTTACTGTTATGTTTTCAGATTGGCTAAAAATTATGGATTGGAACTAAAAATGAAAATGAACTTTAAAGAGTATTTTGATAAACATGCAACCTTAAATTCAGATTTGTTAAATCGTATAACAGCATTGGAGGTACTTAATTATAAAATTATTATTTAGAAATTAATTCTAATTAAATATTAGTTATCTATTTAAATACAATTATTAGGTACTTTTTTTAAATTTTAGAATGTAGTTTAGAATGATGTTCATTTTTTATGTATATATATTTCGTGAACAACTTTTCTACTAGAAAACTTGCTTCGATCTATTAAGTGTTGCATCTTTTCTAAAAGGAAATTTTATCTACTTGGTACTTAAGAGAGGTTTTTTTTTGATTTTCCATGAGAAATTTTGCTCCAATAGAAAAACATCAAGAAACCTTAAAAATGTGTTGACAAAATTTAAAATATTTACTTTTTCTAGACCTGGTAAAATCTTCAGAACATTTGAGCAATTTTTGAGATATTTATAGACATTTTAATTTTGATAGTTTTTTTACATAATTTTTATTTGTTAGCTACTCTGGTAGATAAATAGTTTTCAGAAATGCTTGCAAATTTGATAGAAGAATCTATTATTATTATAAATAGTACTTAGTGGCAAAAAAGAAATACAACATTTAACTAAATTTTTTCTAAGTTTTAAGATCAAATGATTAAGAAAATCATAAATATTACATCAAAACATGTATAAGAATAACCTAAATTCACTCAGAGTTGTTTTTCGTTATCAAATTATTGCTTACAGGTATAAATTAAACAACTTTATGTATCCCACCTTTTCTACCTACTTACAATAGTGGCCGCACCTGTCTCCAATATCAGGTTTTTTTTTTTAAAAAAAAAACTATACTTTTCTACCAGTAATCTTGCTCTGGTTTTCAAGTGAAATTTAGGAAATATAAGGTTGTTATTATTTTCAATTTTTTGGTAATATTAATTCAAATGTTTATTGAAATGAAATTTGGATGAAAAACTTATATTTGCCTTTTCTAAACATGGTATAATTTTCAAGTTTTTTGCATATTTTTTTTTGGTAGTTACACTGGTAATAAAATTGGTAGACCGAAATTTAACAGGAGGTTAATTATAAATTGTACTTAGTATTCAAAAAGAAATAGTCCAATGTAGTATTTTGTTTTTTTTTTTTTATAAGAATTTTAATGTCAAATTTGGTTAAAAATTGGGAATAACATGGCCTTTCAAAACATATATAGTTGAACTTCACTCAGAATTATTTTTGTTACAAATGATTAGTTGTTGCATACAGATATACATTAAGTTTCCCTGTATTCTACCTTCCCAACTTCTCATCTATACCAGTGACCAATATGTCGTATGAAGTCGTATATTAGTCTTTTAAAATGTAAATTTATTACAAAATAAAAATGAAACCAAATAAATTTATAAAACTAGGATTACATTTTTAAACATAAAATATGAAATAATAAATTAATAAATGTGTTGCTTGAGTATTATTATAAATTTGATGAGAAAACTACTGTGAAAAATTACCTCTAAAATATCTCTCCACACTGATTTCCTTTCAGAAAATATGCTACATTTATTCGAGTAAGACTTCTGGTAGAAAATTTGTTAACAGATAAAAAAAATAAACATTTTTAAAAAACCTTAAGGTTCTTCGTTCCTCTTAGAATCTAACATCACTTTTAAGACTAATAATAATTTAATCAAACATCTAAACAATAGAAATAAAAACTTCACCAGAATTTCACGAGAATCCCCCTTCTTTCGAAAACGCTGATATATATAAACTTAAATGTAAATGTAATACATTTTATATAGGTAAGACAAATAGACATTTTAAAATAAGGTATACAGAACACAATTCTGAAATAATATTTAAAAAAAGACTGCTCCTAATTTAAATTTTGCTTAACATGTTTTAAAAAATATCTATAATACGAACATTGATATTAATACAGACTTAAGAGATATTAAATACCCAAAATAACATTTACATTAATTCAAGTTTTAGAAGAATTACACATACCCAATGCAATAAAGAAAAATAATTTTAATATTTTAAATGTACAAATCGATTTTAAAAATAATATCTTATATCAATAGGTACATTTTAGATAATAAATAATAACCAAATAATTTATATTTCTTAACATGTCTAATAATAACCCATTTTAAATAATCTCTAATATTAAAATAAATTATTTCTATGTAAAACGACCAATTTGAATAATTTTTATATTCATTCGTGTTTTATATTTTGACTATGATATACCTGATGAATTTTTAACATTTGAAACATTAAACAAAGTATAATACACTTATCATAATTCTCTAAGTGACACACATTTATTCATTTATTTATTTTTATGTATTCATTTTTTTTTATTTATATATTTATTTACTATATTTATAAATCTAAACAAATGAGGCTATATATATATTACAGGCAATGTGGAAATTTGGGCAATTAAAAATAAAAATATAAACAAATTAAATAAGTTAATCATTTTCTTGTGCAATATTTTTCAAATTTAATATATTATTCTTCAGCTTCATCCCAACTATTTAACTATCTTAGTTCTAAACTTTCACTTGACTCGATCTCCCACCTTTTTTTCAATTTTTAATTTATTATAACTAACATTTATATAATATTGATGGAAAAATTGATTATTATATTATTATTACCTATTTAATTGTACATAAATTACTTGAATTTTAAAGTATGTCTACTTTTCTACATTTGTATTTACTAGTTTAGTAAGTGAGAAAATCAAAAAATGACCTCTTTATAGTACCTCCCCAGTCAGATTTCTGTTTAGAATAATTGCTATCATTATAAATCGGATCAAAATTTCTGGTAGAAAAAAGTTATCCAGTTGAAAAAAAAAAAAATTAATATCTTTGTAAAACCAGAAGTTTTTTTGCTCCATTTGGAATCTAAAATAAAACATAAAGAATTGTAAAAATTATTCAGTATGACTTTAATTATTTAAAATTGTTAGGTTAGGTTTTTGATAACCCGAAACAAAAAGAAACCTCTCATTTGTTTATATTTAAAAACATATATATTATTATTTTGTTCTACTATACTTTTTGAAATTTAAGTCATTAGTGATATAACTGACATTTTTTCAGTATTTTTAAATTGATTTTCATTGTACAATATACGGTGATAAATGTAAAAAAACTATTTTAGTTCATATTTAAATATTTTAAATTATTTTTAAGGTATACCCACCACAAGAAGGAAGTAAAATTATGGGAACAGAAGATGATTATGATAAAGCCAAACAATTTTTGAATGAAAATAGACTGAGTAGTGTAGGAACTCTATCTACCTCTGAGTGGGAAGTTGCAAGTAAGGAATACAGTGCGATTATTTTATCACGGACCAAAAATAATCTATAAAGATGTTAAGTAAATTTGTTTTTTTTTTTTTTTTTTTTTTTTTTTTTGTGACGTTATATCTTAATGAATTGTTTAATAATCTAATTTACAATATTTTAAAAATTTCACTCTAAAATAAAATCATAAAACAATTTGATGAAAGAAAAAAATCAAAATCTTTATAGACAATCTATGGTTTATGATAAAATAATTACCCTAAATGGGAAAATTTAGTTACTAAGCCATAAGCAAAACAAATCATCACTGCATATTCTGATCTAATAATTATGAGTAATACATTTCATTCATTTTATTTTCAGCTTTGTATATGGTGTTCATGTTTCAAAAACTTTAATTCAGTGAATACATGTTCTTAGATCTAATCAGGCTTATAAGTTGTTAAAAAAATGTGTCAGTTACTATTTTAATATTAGCTATCATGGAAGCATTTTACTATCATTTTATGAGCCTAACTTTAACTTTAAGGCAATAAATTCTTAATTAAACACTCTGACAATGTATTATTGTTTGAATAAAAATAACTGATAGTTAATTTTGTATAACTTTTATTAATTTGTTGTGTTAACATTTTTTTTTCCTTTCCTGTTATTATTGGGTTTCAATTTTTTGATTTTTAATCCATAATATCTCAAAGGTTCTTCAAAAGGTTTTGTTTTACGTTTCACAGATACTTCTAAATCTTCATTACATAATGGTTTAGTGTCTATGCTAAATAAATCAGTAGATAATGAGTTTTCAATGAGTTCTTCATCTTGTTCAAATGGCTCTTGTTCATTGACTATCATTTTGTTAATAGGTATAAATGATAAGTCATTGGATGGCTTAATATTTGTTATACCTCCTGGTACAAAAGCCTTACCTTCTCTGGGTTTTTTTAATAAATAATTCTCAATATCAAGATTTAATTCTAAATGATTTTCTGCAATTTGTAATACTTTTTTTGGTATTTGTTGATGATATGGGTTTTTAAATTTATTTGATAACTGAATTACAATTTGATAGAGATTATGTAGGGAACTTTCTGTGTTATTCAATATATCAATCTAACAAAAAAAAACTAAAAATTTTAAAAGGTCATACATTGTAAATTGCATGTAAAAATCATACAAACCTTTAGTCCTAATGCTGCAGATGAAAATCCAACTATAAGTTTTGTAACTGAACGCATATTTGGAAGAATAACAACAGGTACTTTTTTTGCAGCAGTCATTAATAATAAATGTTTGGAAATCATAGAGTTAGATACATCGTCAGCAATCAAACAACAAGCGATCTGATTTTTTTCAATATTTCTACTAACTTCATTTATACCCATTTTCAAAACTAACCTAAAATAATAATTATAATATATTATACATTAACATATAATTATTAAATAAAAAAAAACCTAATACTAATAAGTGAAAATTTATTTACATTACCTTTGAGCTCTTAAATCAGAATTTATAAGTTTATGTTTGTTAGAAAGATCTTTAATATGGCATTTTCGTACATCTAAAGGTAATTTTTTCAAAGTAAACCAATTAACTTTTAGTTTACCATTTTCTTTACAAATAGTCCTAAAATATATAATCATAGTAAATGTATTTATTTAAATGAATTATGTTTAATAAATGGTAAGTGTTAACTACTAAATGTGATTAGTTTGTAGGGCTATAGTTTGTAGGTATAGAAATGGATTTGATAGTGAAGTTAAATATGTTTAAGAAATGTTGAGATTCAAAAAATGTTAAGAGTTACATCTTCATATTTTATAAACATAAATATGTAAAATGCCTTTGACTTTTAAAACAGTTTTTAAATAGTTTGCATTACAGCTTAAAAGCCAAAATCATGATTGAAACCCCTGAAATGATGATGACTTTAAAAAACAAAACAAAAATGTGATATTTTGCGCTCATGCATTGACCAGTCTTGATATGATTGTGAAAAAAAAAAAACATAAAATTCATTGCTATTTATATTTTTAGATTTGGTAACATTAGACTACTCAAGAGAGACATCAACATAGAAGCGTGATTCTATAATTACTTTATTTTCTAAACAGTAACTCTACTGTGTATGATTAAGTTAATAGTTGCAGAGTTAATACAAATAACGTGACACAATAATAATACTTGTAAAGTTGAAAACGATATAATTGATAATAGTTTAAATTTTTTTCTGTTAACACTTAATATAAATATATTTAAGAACTATAATAAAAAAATCATGAACTATTGTTATTCATAGCCTTGAAGTTTATTAATCATACGTTACATTAATTGGTAGTGAGTGCATAATGCGTAAAATAAATATCAACATTCTATTATTATACTAACTAGGGACTAAACAACTAAATTTTTATAGTTAGTTTAGCAACACGTTCAATGCCATTTGGTGTCCAATATACACATGATGAAAATAGTTTGATATTTCCTGAGAATGGCTGAACGATATTTAATTATTAATTAGCATAATTAAAGGATAAGGATTAAAAAGTTATATACACACTAGAGTGAAAACTACAAAAAGGCATGCATAATCAACATATTAACACACAATTTTTAGACAATCTTTCAGTTAAAATACCTCCAATAAAAAATTGAAATTTGGTACGGTTTAACTAAAGAGCCATGATATGCTTATTATATATGTATAAATATGATATAATGATACAATTCGGTAAATAATATTGAGTAAAATATAATTTAAAATTACACCTTTATACAGTGGCGCTAAATCTATAACCCAAGAGGAACAGTCACCCCATTCTTTTTGCAGTAGTTGGTGGTCGGTTGGTCATAACAAAGGGGCGACTATTAAAACTCACAGGGCATATGTTTATGATAAAAACTTAATTTTAACTTTAATGATTGATATACTCACAATTAAATACATTTAGATACTGTGATATAATCATTTATAAAGTATGTATGTATTGTTTATATACATAATACATATATTAATTTATAGTGATACATATTATTTGTTATACTGTAATTGGTAATTTCGTTCAAAACAACTCACAAATTATAAGTTTTTGAAGAACATAGGGGACTTTTTCTTCGTAGCCATTGCCTCCTTGGATCTTCTACGAGTGGTACACAAACTAATTTTGCCCCCTTAAAATTAATTTAAGTTCGGCGCCACTATATAGAATTTACTATAAGTTACTTGTTTAATATATAGTACTTACTTTTTCATGACATTAACTAATAATTCAGATTCTTTTGAATCTAAAAGTGGCCTATATGATACAAAAATTGTTTTTATTAAATAATAATGAATTATTAAAGTGAAATCAGTTAAAAAATAAATATTACCAAAATTTTTCGAAAGGATTTGTAATAGAACATCTGGGCTTTTGTTTTTTTTTCACAATTCCCTTATGTTTAATATTTTGTTCTCGTAATGTCGCCATGATATTCTAAAATTCAAATGTTTAAGAGCAAATCAGTTATTTGTTTATTAGTTACTTATATAGTATATGAAGAACAGAAGTAAATTATTTGTTCCATTTCTACTTTTACGATCTGCAATCTGCATGCTAAATTATTTATCATGATTGTGTTATTTGTATCATATAAAGATAAGTATTATCAAAATTCTCATGAAGGAAAAGGAATTTTGATGTTTATTGATCCACGGCTTCATTATGATAATTAATTGATAAAATAATGACTGTCGGCTGTCGTGAAGAATTATTATTATAGTTTTATAGTATGTAATTTAGTTGCTCTTATTAATATTTTTCACTCGCACAACGTAGTAAGTAGTAATTATTTTGTTTAAATCATAAATCTGTGACCAACTCAAATGACAGTCTACTGATGCGGACGTTTAGCATCCGGCCGCAGTTAAGTAATCATTACGTTGAGATGACAAGTTAAATCAAGCAACTTGGCATCCGTCATATTTCTGTCGCGATTACTAGTTCTTGATAGTCGCTGTTTATATTTTGAACTTTGTATTTATACGTTTGTTTTGATAATTGCCAATAAATATGAGCGTGGTACAAGGTGGACTTAGCAAATTAAAGAAAAAACACATTGGTGTTAAGAGACAGAAGGTTAAGTTATTCCGTGCCAATGAGCCATTGCTGTCAGTTCTTATGTGGGGTGTCAATCATACTGTACGTATTATGTAAATTATTTTCTCTAGTTATCACGATATTACTATTTAATTACTTTTAACATAGGTACAATCTCCATTTTGAAAATTGTTTATTTTATTTATGTTTATACCTACTTAACTGTAATTTTCATTGTTAATATATTTATTCTTTTACACTTGGTTGTACACTAAATTACTAAAAGAGTGAACTATAATCTGTTTTATATTTGAATAGAGTATAAGAATAATTTTAATAAAAGAAAGGAGGAAGTAGGTATTTAATCTTCAAGGATTTTCAATTTAACAAATAAAATAGAAAGTAAAAATTGTTTTATTTTTTTTTTATTGAAGTATTTGTTTGCTTAACAATTTTATTCCTAAACGTAATCTACCTATTTAGTATAAACATGAAATATTTTTAAGTAATTTAGCATGTCCAGCTTAATTTTTAGTTGATTTATAGTTTAACTACTTAAACGTATTATTATTTATTATGTACTAGCACTATTAGGTGTAAACTATTTACCTGTATTCAATTTTAATAGTGGGTGTTTATAAATAATAAACTCAATTCTCCAATTGGTTTTTTTAATCTAATCTGCCTTTTGAGTCCATTATAATAAGATACTCACTACCCGGATGACCCTTTTGCCAATTTGCTTTTAACTTTTGATTTTTTAAGAAATATTTTTCTTTATAGGTTCACATATTTTAAGAATATAAATTTTAGTTTTTAGGAGTTAGTATTATTACTAGTAATTTACCTATGTTTTTTTTCGCAGTTAATAAAACTGCAAAAAAATATTCACCTTCAATTAGTAGGTACCTAATTCAACAAATAAAATTAAATAATGTTTAGCAGAGAAAACAAACACGGAAATGGGAATGATATTGTACTCGGATAGAAGATAACAAAACTAGAAAATAAATAATGGTATAATAAAATGGCAAATAAAATATAATACAAAAATACTAAAAATAAAATGGCAAATGACTTTAATCTAATAAGTAGTTCATTATGGAAATAAGTAGTGCAGAGGTAGTTTATAAAGTCAGCAGTCAGTAGTATGAGAAATTGGGCCAGTACAAATTTCGGTCACTAGCTGTTTAACATTTATTGTCGATAAATGGTGCATAAATCAAAGAATATCCTATCATTTTAATTTGTATTGATAACAGCTCCCTTAATTTGCTAGTAGACTACTGGACATACATCAAAATTATTTTGTAAATGCAATAGATAAAAAAAGGGTGATTTAATAACTTTCTAATAATAGATATATTATACAACACAAAAAATTTAAATTTTCTTCTCTAATTTAGTTTTTATTAATTAATTACTTATTAAATATAACATTAAAACTTACCTACATTAAATTTTACTTAAAGAAACCATACACCATCTTTTCTTCGTTTTTAAATGTGCACAACTCATAATGACAAACAGCAGAAACTACCCTTATTATCTTTTCATTGGCACTGTTCATTTTGAACCAATAGAAAAAACATATTGACTGTACTAGTTGTTACCTTCACAATCTACATGAAAGACATAATTAACAATCAGCCCAATATCTATCATTTGTAATCAGTTACCAATATTAGCCAAGTACATCAGTCATGTGAAATCGGTTTAAATATTTAAGAGCTTATAAGCAAACCAAGAAAATAGTTTATAATTTTGGTAAACTTAATGTATTGTATTCTATATAATAATGTAGGTCCCTAAGGAATCTATGTAGTATTTTATCAAATTAACAATTAATGTTACTATTTTTTTTTGTCATATTATAAATATTGAAATGAGATGGTATTGTTACATGCACCTTAATAATTCATCCTCCTTAACTTACACTTTACAGTACATTAATACCTACAATATAGCATTATTTAATTGCATTTAATATTTTGATTCAGAACACATTTTAAACTTGATTAGTACCTACTGCATGATTATAATTTAGTTATAAAAAAACTACATAAATTGTATTGTATTTAAACAATTATTTTGTATCTAGTTTTTTAATCAAATTATGTTAATAAATATTAAACATTCTTGAATACAATAACTCATCATTATATAATTGAGTTATACCTAAAGTAATATGTAGAAGTAGTAGAAAGGTAAATTAATTGTGCATTCATTATTATTAGTAGGTACATTCATAGCCATTTAGCCATGGGTTATTATGAATAATATTTTTCTAGCAAAGTATTATAATTTTTCTTTTTGGTTATTTATAAAAGTTGCCTATTAACATTTTAGATATTATAATTTGAAAACTGTGTAATGTACACAGAATATTAAATATCTATTTATTTTTGCTTATTTGTGAATGTAGACCCCGGGAAAAAAAAATCATAATTATTTTTTTTGGAAAAAAAATTAATTTATTAATGATGTAAATAATGAACATGATATAATTAAAATTATGTCAGTTCATGATTAATTGTGTATGCAAAACCATTAAAAATTATTTTTGTTCCTGATTTCAAAATCATTACTTCCATTTTGATGTAAATAATTACAAGATTGTACAAAGAAAAGATTTTTTTTTTTATGTGTTATCTACCATTGATTTTATATATATTAATTGTTGAGTATTTCAGATTTCAATGGTATCATGACGTTATTATCTTACAAATTAATTTTGTTATTTATTACCTCACCTTACTGATAAAAGTAATCTTAGCCATTGCACTTAAAAAAAAAATTACGAAAAAAACAATTTTTTTTACATTACATTGTTTATTCGTTTATTTTATGAAAATAATTAAATCGGATTTTTTTTCAGCATTAGTAATTTTAGGTTGAACTTTTTTCCGACTCCCTTTTATTTGGAATAGCTAATTTTAGCTTTGAATGCCATTCTTTCTATAATAAAAGTATGTGTGGTGTGTAAACTAAATGTGTATTATAAATAGTTTATATTTTAGTTCTTAGGTTAATCCTAAATACCTATATGAATTTACAATTAATTTAGATAATTTAAATAAATGGTAAAATAATATTTATTATTTACAAAATCTTTTTATTAAAATAATGTGTTTATGGTTAAACTTCAATGTTCTCATCGAGTATTATGTTTATATCTTTATTTATTTAACTATAATTATATCAATACCTATAGCAAAACTTCCCAATACAATTATTTATTCTGTCACTATTTGACTATCAAATTTTTTTATCATTGATAATAATTCTTAATTATTATAAGTATAATTCCGTAGATACATATTATGTGTAACATATATATATATATATATATATATATATATATAAAAATATATATATATATATATAATTCACAGCAATATTCAATTTCAAATACCGTATTCATTACAGACTACACATAATAATATCCCTCATAGCACAAAAATTCTTTCGGGATCTTCTGTGCAGACTTAGCGACTATAATAGGAAGCTCATATTTAATTCATAAACCAGTCAGAAAGGATCTCTACACATATGTAGAGAAAAATTAATTTTTTATTTTCATCCCATAATTATTGAAAAATCACTTGTCAACATTTTCAAAATAATTATTTTGGAAAAGTTGTCATTCTAGAATTTTAATTTAACATACATTCATAACAGATTAATAATTTTTTGGTAATAACAGTTTTAATTTCTAGAAGAAAATTGGTATGGAAACAATTCATTTCAATAAAATAACATGTTACTCATTATGGAATCGCAATCAGCACGGTAATTCCTTATCTGCTATTGAATGTCAATTTTTTTCATACCTATTATCTATACTCTAAAGTCACTATAACTAAGAAACTATTAATCGAGTATGAATGCATTATACATTTTAGAATAATATAGAAAAACTGTCCTAGGATAATGGGGATAGGTGCAGCCACTGTTGTAGGTGAGAAGGTAGAATACAGACCGGAATTTAATGTTTATCTGTAAGCAACGATTAACCATTGTTAATGAAAAACAATTAAGACTGCAGTTTAGTTAACAGCGTTGCTTTGTCAACAATATATATGTCATATAGTAAAATAATTACATATATATGCATTAAACATTTTCATTTATAATATTATACCTATTTTCCCGTTCTCCCGGTTTTCCTCATTTATTGAGAAAACAAGGGAAAATAAAAAATAAAATAAAGGAATACAAAGAAAAAAATTATACTAATTAGTCGTTTTACATAGAAATAATTTATTTTAATAGGAGAGATTATTTAAAATGGTTTATTATTTGACATAGATATGTTAAGAAATATAAATTATTTGGTTATTATTTATTATCTAAAATGTACCTATTGATATAAGATATTATTTTTAAAATCGATTTGTACATTTAAAATATAAAAATTATTTTTCTTTATTTCATTGCGTATGTGTAATTCTTCTAAAACTGAATTACTGAAAATGTTATTTTGGGTATTTAATATCTCTAAGTCTGTATTAATATCAATGTTCGTGTTATAGTTATTTTTTAAAACATGTTAAGCAAAATTTGAATTAGGAGCAGACTTTTTATTTCATAAAGAAAAATAATTTTAATAAGATTTTAAATGTTCAAACCAATTTTAAAAATAATATCTTATATTAATGCATTTTAGATAGTAAATAATAACCCATTTTAAATAATCTCTTCTATTAAAATAAATTATTTCTATGTAAAATGACCAATTTGTATAATTTTTTTTTTTTTTTTATATTCAGTCTAGTTTTAAATTTTGACTGTGATATATCTGATGATAAATTTTTAATTTAAAACTGGTCATGTAATACTCCAGACGACGCATTTATTCATTTTTTATCCTTTTATTTCATATCTATTTACTATATTTAATTTTTCTCTACATATCTGTCTCCTCGTATATAATATTAAGGGGAAAAAAATTAATGTTGACAGAGTTATTAGCATAAAGATAATAATGTAAGACACCCTAAGTACCCTAATCAAATTGACAGTCTGATGAACAAAAGTTTAGGTTCCATTTGGTGTTTGCCCAGAGACTCCTATCAAGAAGCATTTTAACCTTTTTGGGAACCGACTGCTTTAGTCTGCAGCTTCCGTTGAAATGTATTACTAACCTCATATTTTGGCTCTTAAATCAATCTCCTTACCAAATTCGTGGGTACTGTGTGAACTTGAACATTAAAAATCCTAAAAACCATCTTATACCTTTTCAGACTGGTCCAGGCATTAAACAGGTGTTTCCTGTTACAGTCCTTGAGTTCGCATAGAAGGTCCTAAGAGGATATTTGTGCTGTTAAGAATAATGTTATATGTAGTGATGAGCCGATATAACTATTTCCCAATATTTAATATGTGCTACCAATGCCTAAGATCTAATATTTGAAAATGAGAACAATGAGTCAAGATTGAAATTAACCTATATATCAGTTGAAAAACCGATTTTTAACCCTTTTTTTTCCTATTTCAGAGATATTGGTAATAATTTTGGTAATAGACATTTATTCTAGAATATATCGGGTCAAATATGGTTTTTGATATTTAGTATTGGTTTATGCCGATACCCACCACTATTATACATTTTAATTTAATTTTTGTAGATCAATGAATTGAGCCATGTAACAATACCAGTGATGTTGCTCCCTGATGATTTCCGAGCATATTCAAAAGTCAAAGTTGACAACCATTTGTTCAATAAGTTAGTATTTAAGTATATTCTGCAATTATTTATATAATCATGTTTGTATATATTTTTTAAGAGAAAACATGCCTAGCCATTTTAAAATCAAAGAATACTGTCCATTGGTGTTTCGTAATTTGAGGGAACGTTTTGGCATTGATGATTTAGATTATAAAGAGTCAATGACGAGGTTTGTTTATCATTTTTATTCTTTACTATAGCATTTTATATATGATTAGTTCATTTAGTAGTAATTTATTATTATTTACCGAATGTGTGTTGTATAAGTATACCTTTTATAATGACATTTAAGGGACTAGTTAAAGTTAATCATAATAACCGATTGTCATTTTAACCAAAATGATAATTGTATTATAATCCATGTGTCATATTTTTATCACTAAATTATGACTTAAATGCATACAGAAAAAAATAAAATTTAAAAAGTTGTTTTATTATTTTAAAACCAAATTTACAATGTATTGAAAAAAAAATCTGTTATCTTAGTTTGTATAAACATTATGCAGATTTTTCCAATATAACCAAAAAGACGTCATAATAATCAATAAAAATTAGTACATATAATGTAGGAGTTTTTCCCAGGACCTTCAATCTAAGGTCACCCGATATGTCACTACAACCAGTGTCATTATAAATGGTATCTAAATTATATTTATTATTTATGTTTATAACTTACAATTTTTATTTAAAATAATGGTTTTTATTTATAAAATACTTTATTTTCCCCCTTTCCGTGAAATTTAACTTATGGTATCCATGTTAATAATTATTTTTTAGATATTTTTTACTTAATCCATCAATTATTATTGTATGTTGACAATGTAAAGTAATATATTTTACATAAAGTATCTACTTTTAATAGAACTCTTAAATATAATAGTTGTATCTATTCTACATTATAGTCCTTTAACAAATGATATTTAGTTATCCACTTGTGTTTCCATTGTAACAAATTTGCGTTGTATAATATAATTATTTTCGGCACAATAAAAAGGTTCTCTGAGGAAAGCAGCTACTGTTGTCGCAAAAGTCAAAGCAAATCTATTATGATGTACAACCGGAGATCCTTGACTACTCCTAATTTACATATGGAAACAGTTAACTTTAAACCTAAGAAATTGAAAGTTTATTGCTCTGAAATTAAAAGAAGGTACACAAATAAGGACTAACAAAAATATGTGTTCCATATGTATTGGGTAGATTAAACTAATTTTAATTTGAGCTCTTCCTGAAATTCATATTATTATTGCTTAAGAATTTTAAATAATTTAAAATTCAAACAATAAAATTTATTTAGAATGGTTGCATGGTGAAACTTTGAATATTATTATTTTGAGTAGATAATTTTTTAAATCTGAGAATCTTTGAAACTAATTAATTTAAATCGACATTATTTAGAATTGAAACCAGAAGTTCACCAGTTTCAATTTTGTTGATTCCAATTTAAATCAGTTCTATTAATGACAATTCCAAAAATGTAGTTTCAAATATTTATTATTCAAATAATTTAAGGCACTCCTTTAAAATCATTTGACTATATTGAATAGTTTGTTTTATATATTAGTATATAATAAATAAGATAAAGTATGATATATAAAATATTTCATTGAAATTCAGGAAAATTTACAGTTTTATCTAACATATTTTATACTGTTTGATTTCTGTTATAAAAATTAAATATATATATTATTTAGAAATTAATAACCGACTGTATTATATTCAATAAGCTTTGTTTAAATGTGTTTTTTGTTAATAAAATTAAATACTAATTTGTATAATTTAAAATTTAACATATTTAATTTACTAATCAAGTTGTTAATGAATTTAACAGTAAATGTATTAATTTAATATATTTACCAATCTATATTTTTTAAATTAAGTAGGTATAAGATGTATATAATTTAATTTTGGTCTTTTCTTAGGTCACAACCTGTTTCAGCAGATGCATCAGGTAAAAGTAATGCAGGTTTTTACTATTCGTATGATAAATTATTCATCATTAAAACATTGACTAGTGAAGAAGTTGAACGAATGCACTCATTTTTAAAACACTACCATCCTGTAAGCAATTAGTTAATTAATATTTCAATGTGAAATCTAATTAATATTTTATCATTAGTATGTTGTTGAAAGACATGGAAAAACTCTTCTTCCTCAATATCTAGGAATGTACCGTTTGACTGTTGATGGTGATGAACATTATGTCGTAGCCATGAGGAACGTGTTTAGTAATCATTTGGCCACACATAGGTATACTTAATTACAATTATAATTAAATATGTATGAACATAATTATAGATTACAAATCCAAAATATGTATACATTTTATAATTGCCTCCTCTCTCAAACATAATAGTGATGATAGGTAAAGAATTTTTTATGTAATAATAATAAAACTATTATTTTTTTTTATGAATATTAGATTCAATAATTAAATTATAATATTGTTATTTATAAGGAAAAAATAAGATACAGAATTCACAGGTGTAAATGAATGAGGAAAAGATTCTGAGCGGAGCGAATAATGTATTGGTTTTACAATGTTTTTTTTTTTTTTTTTTTTTTTTTTTGTATACACCTTTTTTACTAGAAATTTTGTTCCAATTTTAAAATTTAGCACTTTTTGAAAAGAATTTGATTGGGGTGCAATTTTGGGAGGTCATTTTTTAATTTTTCCAAGAGTTCGTAATAAAAGGAAAAACAAGAAAATGTACGAAATATTTTATTTTCAAATTGTAAATATTCATAACATTTATTCAAACTCCAGAATAGTTTTTTGGTTGCTAATGATAAATCTATATACATATAATTTCCCCTATTCTTTACCAACTTCTCACCTACAACAGTAGGTATTACTAGAGTGGCCCACACCACATGTGAAGTATGTCCGTTTTTTAGTTTTTTATTCAAATCAAACATTAATAAGTATAACAAAAATGTAAAATGTTAGTTTTTAGATTTCTGTTTAAAATGTCAACACTTTTAAAGCATTAAAAACTGACTTATAAGATTATTTAAAATTAGTTCTACTAATAAAAAATAATTTTAGAGGCTAATGCTGCTGATGGGGGTATTACTGTTTAAGGAGTAAAGTTTAAAGGAAATAACATAAAGTAATTTAATTTATAAAATGATTGCTAACCAAAAACGATTATAAGTAATTATATACTTTTACTTATACTCAAAGTAACTCAGAAATCAACAAACAAAACATTTCAGTTTTCTATTTTATTAAGATATTAATACATGGTGTTTCAAATTATGATAATTTGATGTTATACAAACATTTTTTTTTTTTAGAAAATTTGATCTCAAAGGTTCTACAGTTGATAGAGAAGCTTCAGATAAAGAGAAGGAAAAAGACCTACCGACATTTAAAGACAATGATTTTGTTAAAGAACGTACAAAAATATATATTGGTGATGAAGCAAAAGATAAGCTTTTGGAAACTCTAGGAGCAGATGTTGATGTGAGTGTAATTTTAATGTTTTAAATTGTTATACTTTTAAAACATATGAATTTTGCATTCTAGTTTTTGACGGGATTACATTTGATGGACTATAGCCTATTATTAGGCATACATGACTGTACTCGCGCAGAGCGTGAAAGGGAAGAAGCAATTGTTAGTGGTACTGGAGATGTTAATGCAGAAGAAGAGGATGAAGATGCGGAAGATAGTGAAGGTGCTGGAAATACAGTGACATGGGCCAACACACCTCCAGATTCACCACACAGTTTATTAGCACGTGATACAAGCCTCTGCCAGTACGACGTGGCTGCAATAATACCTGATCTCGATATATATGCCATACCTAGTAGTGAAGGTAATCTTATTACCCTTTGGTGATAAATTTGAATATAGTTTGTTATTATATAATAGATTAGTTATGTTATTATTTCTAACAGGTGCACCAGTACGAGAAATTTATTTCATTGCATTAATTGATGTACTTACACATTATGGTGTTAAAAAACAAGCTGCAAAAGCGGCTAAAACATTGAAACATGGATCAAACGTAGATGGTATATCAACATGTGACCCAGAACAATATGGCAAACGTTTCATTGAATTTTTATCAAAAGCCATTGAATAAATTATTATTTAAAATTTCTTCCATTTTGAAAACAAAAATATAGTGTGCTAAGTATTATTATTTTACGCTAGTTTGTCTTCTATGTACGACAATGCTTGCTATAAACACTATATATTACTTCAAATTTGAAATGATCGTACATTATTTTTTACATTTTTTTAGAGTTTAATTAATTGCTATAATTTTGTTTTTATATTATAACTTATTGTGTGGCCAAAAGTTAAATCACTATTATTTTATAGTTACCTTAAGAGTTAAGATAAAATGTATATGACAAAAAAAAAAAAAAAAATAGTTTTAGTATAGCACAAATTAAAAAAAAAAAATTTCTTCAAAAAACTATTTTTTTTTTATAAAATTATAATTATCACTTGAAAAGATGTGCCCAAACAAAAAACTATCTCGTAAAATATACAACAAATATTATACAAATTAATATTTTTTTATTGCGTCTTGTATATGTTGTTGTCTATGTGTTCCATCACAAAATGGTCGATGGGTTGTTTGTTTACAATTACACAGCCAATATTCTTTACTTTCAGCTACTTGAATTTTAACCGGTTTCATTGTAATGCGGAGTTTTTGATTTTTATGCGTCCCATCACAAAATGGCTAAATATAGAAATACAATTTTTTATTTTATGTTACCTACTTTAATCTTATTAAAAAAATATACACATTTTTTTTTATAAATACCTGTTGTCGACTCATACCACAAGAACACCAGCTATAATTTTTTCCTTTTTCTAGAAAAACTTTAAATGGTCGTTTATCATAAATAACACCTAGTTGCTTTTGTTGAGATGCAGTATGAAACTCTTCTAATAAGTTTTTTGGTAGTATCTCATCTACTTTCTTTGAATAAACTCTCTAAAAATATAATTTTTCAATTTATAAAATGTGGAAAATATCAAAAGTAAAATTACAGTGAAAATCTTGGTACAAGTCTAGATTATTTTAGTTACAAAGTTAAGTGACAGGTTAAACAAAATATTTATTATTGCTTTAAAAATGTATCCATTCAGTTTATGTATACTGAATATATTTAGATTAATGATGTATATAAATCTAGATTATTTGAAAATCCAGATTTAAAAGTTCGATTTTTTTTTTTTTTAAATTCTACAATTTATGTTTTTGTATTTGATCCTTCTCTACGATTATAATCTAAAATGTGTGTTAAAAGATTTAAATAAATAAAAAAATAATCATATTTTCTAGTGGCCTTACACCCATATTTTATCTTTATTTGATAATTTTAATAATGTGATTAAAATAAATTACAATACAATTTTCAGATAATTCATATTATATTGGTCCTGTCATTATATTTATACTAAATAAATGTATAATTATGATTAGTTTTTGGATTTAATAAAAAATGTTTGAAAGAATACAAAATCTTAAACTCAGATTTTATAAACTCGATACTTATTTAATTTACAAATTAAATCTATACAACTCAAAAAACAAGACAAAAATTACTATTTCTTAATTTTTTTAAAACTAAAAACAGTTTTGGTACAAATAGTTTAACATAACCATCACAGGTTAAATACTAAATAATGAATGTGTGGCTTTTTGGACAAATTACTAGTAATACAACCAAACGCTTATAATACAAAAATTATGATTATATAACATTGTAGTCAGATAATCTACATTATGGTTTTTGTAATGATGTATAAATTATTATGTTAATAAATGCATGTTTGTGGAATAAATACCATTTAATATTTAAAACTAAAGTGACCAAACTGCTGCATAATTAATTGCATTATACTTACACATTTTATAAATGGCCTTATTTTACAGACCAATTGGTTCATATTAAACAACATGGTGACAATTAATATAGACTTTGGAATTTAGTAATAATTAAATAGTTGTTATAATACAATTCATACAATGAAAATTAATACAAAATTTTAAAATTTGAACACAAATCAATCTGCTGGAAAATCAAATTACCATTGAGATAACAGAAACAGATGTGTGATAAACTGATAACAAATAATTCGTATACTGTGATAAGCATAGATCATATATATATAAATATGATTTAAAGGGATAAGTAAGTTGGTATCACGCTAATTAAGGTATATTTCAGTCCGTGGTTGGTATGTCAATGATAGGGACATGGTTGGGAGAGCAGCTGTTGTGTGCCTGTGTCATAAAGTACACATCTCTATGGCTTGATTGGCCTGTGTTTGACGGCCACGATTTAAGTTATAGTATATTATCCACAGATATATAAAAATATATATCTGTGATATCATCTTTAATGTTGCCGGCTAGCCCATGGACATAATAATAGATAATAGATAATCTATTATTATGTTTATGATCGCATAGACGTGCGCAGGGGGAATGCCGGGTTAGATTTTTTTTTTTTACTATTTAGTGAGATACCTATTTTAAAAACCTTGTTATAAATAGTAATCAGTTAAAAAAATATGTTGTCGGGTAAGCTAAGATTTTTTTGTAAATTTCCATCACAGCTATAGATAATATCTTTAATCATGATTTTCATCTAGTACTTTTTACTATTTCAGTGATATTGAGAGTTGTGAATTCACATACCACTTCAACCATGTAATCACGGATAAGGATATACTTTTACGTATATCTTAGTATGTGACGTTATCCTGTAGAGTTGCAGATAATCAATAACCATAGAGCAGTTTGATAACATTATTAGCACGAAAATTATTGATATCATAATTTCTACTATTTTTTTATAGTACATATTGACTATTGTTGTGAACTTTATAGTTGTATAAAAATATTTTTAAAAAATAAAAAATCTTAATTTATGTCAATTCTGGAAGTGGTTAAAAAATTTTATATATAACATGTCCACCTTTAGTATAAGCTATAAGGTCTATGATTGTTTACTAAACTCATTAAGATTACGGAACACCAAATAGTAATACTTTTTTTTTACACTGAACCTCTATGATATAAACATTTTATTTTTTATTTCAAAAAGAAATTTAATTTATTTTGTTTACTCATATCGGTGGTAATATTATTATCATAATAAATTGAACAAATTGTTAAAATTACGCACATGACGGGTCTACAGTGAGCATTTTCGGGAAACAATCATTAATATTTCCTAAAAATAGTTAAATTCATAGCTACCCAGCACACGCCATTGCTAATTTTGCTTTTTTCATTAGGTACTGTTATCATAAAATAGTTATAATTGTTGAATTAAAATAAACTTTTTCCAGGCCTTCCCGAAACCACTGCGAGATATTCGCGGCAGTTAGAGGAATGCTGGTCTATGCAATTCACAATGTACAAGTGGATAATAAGGCTCATGAGAAGTGATCGAATTTATATTCTCTTAAAATCCTTGAAATATGATGTTTTTATGTCGTTTAAAATAGGTAAGATATTATCTTAATATTCTTTTAAAATACCAGATGTATGATGTTTTATGTTCTTAAAAGTGCAAAATATTCTTTTAATAAACTGAAAATTGTAATTTAAAAAAAAAATTGTAATTTAGTTTTCAGCTTAAATTTATTATGTACTATTAATTTGGTTCACAACAATATTTTGAATTTATTTTACAATCGTAACAGCTCGTGACAGCTAACGTTATTTTTGTATTTCTGACGTGCAATCTCCATCGATAAGAAATACCTAGTAATTAATTTTTATTAGAAACCCAAAAGGATGTAAACATAACTTGTAAAATAAATTGTATTTGTTGATCAATATTATTAACATGCCGATGTACCTCCAAGCAAATAATAAGATCAAAAATAAAATAAAAAGGTTAAGATAATGGAGACGGGTGCAGCCACTGGTGTAGGTGGGAAGTTGGGAAGGTAGGATATAGACGGGAATTTAATATATATTTGTAAGCAACGATAAACCATTGATTACGAAAAAACGATTCTGAGCTGAGTTTAATTGATAGTGATGCTTTATCTACAATATATATGTCATTTTTTAGTAAAATAATTAAAAAGGCTATATATTTTCTTCCATAAAATTAGTTTAATGTACCAATTTTCTCAGTTTTTCATCATTTTTTCCGGTTTTCCCATGTTTTATCCCGGTTTTTCACAATTGCTGGGAAAACTATTTGGAAAATCAAAAAATGACTTCCTTAAAGTACCTCCTCACGCCGATTTCCTTTCAGAAAAGATGCTACACGTAAAAATCCTAACAAGTCTTCTGGTAGAAAACGAGCATTGTTAACAAAAAAAAAAAAAGCATCTTTTTAAAACCATGAGCTTCTTCGCTCCACTCAGAATCTAAAATACAAAACATTCACAAATATTCTCTAACCCCTAAAATATACTTTTTTTATGCAAAATAATTTCATCATTGTTTTTAATCAAAAAATGTTGAATTAGAAAACTTTGAAGTTTGTACGTCGATATTTTGATTAGTAAATATTTATTTAAAATGGGTTTCATGTATTATCTGCTATAACACTATTAGTGAAAATATTAACTTTTCCGGTGAGTATATAATTGCATTAATAAATAGTATTTTTGATTTTTAAATGTAGAATTTACATTATAGTTAATAATTATTAAATTTTTTAGATGTACCTAAGCCTAACTATAAAAACTCTTTGGCATCATTGACCAAGAGATAGACGTCATTCATGTGACCTATACGGTTCATTTGTTTTATAATTAGCTTTGTTAATTTTATTAAAAGTGTAACAAAATGTAATAAAAATTCAAAAAGTGTAAATTCTATACAAAAATGTATACTTTTTGTTAATATGAATAGCTAATAGCTTGTACAACTATGTACGATGTACCGAAATAATATACTGTATTAGTACGAAAAATGTACAAATATACTGCTATTATACAATATTTTTAAATATATTGTATACACGGTTTTATGGTAACACTGTTCCTATAGACAAGCTGCATCATTGTGCTATATCGGCATTCGGCTCGCAGCTCTCTCAAATCTCATGTACTTTGATGGGCCAGCCACAGATATATAAAATATAGATATATATAAAATACAGATATATTGTTTTATGTATCAGTGGTTTTAATATAAATCGGTGTTCCTTAACATTCTATCAGATGAACAGTTGGGACGTGTTTCATCCTTATTTCATCTGATTGATAATCGAAATTATTGAGAAACACAAGTATATTAGTCTGTGTTGGACGGCTACATTCAATCGCTTCGCGTCACGGTATGATATACGCTTATGATTATTCTTATCAATAGCTCACGGCCATCTTTATTTGATAGAAGCGCTCCCAGTGGTTTGGTCTGCAGACTGCAATTCTGCATTGTCATTTGACAATCGTCTCCAGGTTAAGTCAGTGACCTCATTGGTTCATTCTTCTCCCTTCTACACACGATATTACTAACCATATTAGATGGCTTGTAAAACATCTGTTTTAGTGAGCTATCTGCTGTATGCAATGGGTAATGATTAATGTTTTCTTTTAAGTTTTTGTACATTTAATTTATTTTTCAATCATCACATTTGTACACGGACACAGAACGTCGATTTACGTATTTGGTCGCATAGTATTGTGTACACGATCGACTATATACGTTAATTTTGTTTAAACTATTGTTGCTGCTTTGTTATTAATTTTAACAACATAGGTACTGGGCAAATTTATAACAATAGGACGTCGATACAATTCGTTTAGTTATGAGTGGCCTAACTCCTGAAGAGGTAAGATACATTAAATGCATTTTTGTTAATTTTGTTGTTTACTTAGGATATTTAGGTATACAAGTTATCCTTAATTAGATACTGTAAAATGATATGAAAAGTGATGTGTACATCAAATCGAAAAAAATTATATTTTGAACAGCTTAACTTGTATATAATACTTGACACTTACCTTTTTGTTTATAATTACTATATAATCAACAATCATTTTTTATTTTATTTTTTAAAATATTCTTATCATTTACCACTTCTTTCCATTGTCTATTCCAATATTATGTTTTACTATGTAACATGATTTGCTCATCTTAAACATGTCGTATGTAATATTTTTTTTTCAATTCTCTTTCAATTTATTCAATTTTCAACTCCCTTTAAATTGGATATTTACCCTAGTAAATTAAACAATTTTTCATTTGGAATTTTAATAATTTGTATACAAAACCTATGTTATAATAATATACTTCTAATAATCACATTACATAAAATTAAATATTTTTATTTACTACAGATAAGGAGACGTCGCTTGGCACGTTTACTTGCCATCAACACAGCAAGAGTTCCAGGCCCACCACCCCCAATAGTCTCTGAAGTTATTTCACCAGATATTTCTCCATGTACTATCAAGTTTTTCTTAATATATATCTAAATTTAATAATTACATATTTTTTCTTATAATGCAGTACCTACTAAAATCACATTTGCCACTCAGTCAAACAAAACAAATCAACCAAAAGATATAGCCATGGAAGTTGATGATAGTACTGAAGTAAAAAACAAAAAAGATATTGTTACTTCATTGAAATTACCAGGACCTTCTAAAATTGTCCCAGAAGAAGATTCAGGTTTTGAAAATATGGATGTTGATGAACCTAAGGAATGCAGTTGTCCAGAAAGTATCAGAAGAAAAAGACCATTAGAACCAGTAAGTTTTATTTCAAAAAATTAATTGTTTTACTTAATTATAATTTATACATGTTGTTTTTTTAGAGTAATCCCCACGACAATATTGTCTTTGCTATGATTTCAACAATTTTAGATGTATCGTGGCATGAAAATATTAAAGCAACATATTATTTGCCAGAATTATCTACTTTGATGAAAGCAAGACAGAAATTTGATTATTTTGAGTTGCCAACTCATTTAATGGTGAATACTTTGATTATAAGATTACTAAATTTATAAACTATTCAAATATGAAGTATTCGTTGAAAGTAAAATTAAATCTTATTTAAATTTGTTTTGCCTAATAAAGTATTGTTTCACAATTATTTTTTTTTACTTTGTTTTATAGGTTTTTGTTAAATATTAATATTAATAAATGCAATTGTTATTTTTTAGGATTTTATTTCCATGAATATAATAGAAGCTATGTGTGAAATTACACGAAAGTATGATTTATACTCTGACAGACCAGTTGAGAAATCAGCTACTACAATCGCTTTGGGATATTTGTTTGATTGTTATAAACGTATTGATATACAAGAACGGCAATATCCTAAAGTAATATTTATATATATATATAACAATTATAATTCTATATAATAATATAATTCTAAACCTTATTTATAATTGCTTCTTTTATTGTTTACAGAGAAATTGTACTGTTATGGTTAGCACAGCATTACGCTATTTACGTACCCAGTGTATAAATCATAGTATTTCATTGTTAAATACAGTATGGATTATGGATTCCATAGAATTGATTCAAACTGTGACACCCGCATTGTCTCCTCTTACAAAATTTTTGATGGAAGATAAAGTGCCTGGAGGTTTCCTAAGTGAACTAGTAAATCGTACAGCATTGAAGCCAGCATTGTTTGAATCAGTAATACAACATTTTTTTTAGTTAAATATATAAATATGTTTTTTTTTTATTATTTAAATATTTTATTTCAGATTTTTACTCCAATATTACAACATTTATACCGTATTATGTTCTCTGCTAGTTTTGTAGGTTCTACTCATCGCAGACCTATTGAAATACTCAATGAACTTACGTCTTTGACTTTTGCTACATCTAAAAATAATTTACCAGTTTGTTCTTTGATAGTAAAACAGGCAAGTTGAATCTTTGAGATAATTGTTCTCATAAACAAAATTTTCATTTCAAATGTAACATATGTACAAATATATTAACTGTTATATGTGTTTTATATAGCTTTAGAAGTTTTATAGGAATATAATTAAAATATACTTTATATTTTTAGAGTCAATTTTTGCCATCCCAAGTCACAGTCAGTGGTGCTCGTGAACTTACTTATACATCATATTTGGGTCCATTTCTTAAAGTTTCCCTGTTTGCAGAAGATGACTCAAAAATTATTGATAGATTAATGATTTTTAATACATTGGCTGATAAAACTGGGTTAATTGGAACTCTTAGACAAGAAATGCAAACTACTCGAGTGAGTATTAATACTAGTACTATGATATTAAAGTATATTAATACAATTCTAAATGCTCTTATTTTATTTGTAGAGTAATAATTCTTTACATAACTAAAAATTAAAAGTATAAATAATTATCATTTATTATTACTAATTAGTTATACTTTTAATTTGGTATTTATCAGGATCCCCAATTTCTATATTATAAATACGGGACATTTTAAATCTCACTTAAAATTTACAAAAATTGCAATATATTGCAACATACTATGTGGTTGGGGTAGGGATGATGGTAAGGACATAACCCTCAAAACTAGTTTCTAATTCTATAGTTATCCATTCAAAACCAAAAGTTTAAGAAAAATAATGAAATAAACTGACATAATATAAGAAATAAGGAAAATTAAGGGACACATGAAATGGGAGATTTCAAATACGAGACAAAAGTGGTCTAGAACATTTGGTTGGAATACTAGGACACTTATAAAATTGTTTGACAAAAATAATTTGTTAATTTGAGATAATGTTCCTTATTTTTAATTTTCATGGAAATTATATAAAATATCAAAATTGTGATTTTTAAAAAAAATTGTATTAGTTCCCATTGCTTTAACATAATATTATGTTTTATAATATATACACGTGTTACATAAAGAAATACTCATTACATTATTTCATGAGATAATAAAGATAATCAAATCCTTTTTTTTAATATATATTAGAATATTACAAATATTTATATTTAAATTAAAGGTACTTATCGGTTATCAAGACTACCTAACCAAATAATTGTTCGCTAATAAATAAACAATTCAGTTATTGGGACTACCGCAATAATGAGACTATAAAGATTTTGAGTGGTGGTTATTATTAGTATCTGTAATTCCACTTATAATGCATTTTTACTTTACCTTGTTACCTATACTCAATGTGGTTTTGCACAATAAATCAGGAGTTATTTCCAATTAAATTGTCCAAATGAATGCATAGAGCGAGTGACCACCTTGGGTCTTTAGTTCCACTTATAATGCTTTTTCACTTTACCCTGTTACCTACCTAATGTGGTTTTGCACAACAAATTTATTTATTTTCATAACAGAACCACAGTTCAAAAACTGTGATGATTATTCCCTAGCATTTCAATTAGTGATTCAATGTGTACTTCTTAAAAATAGTTCAAAGTAGTGAAATAATTTATTTTTGTAAAATATTAGTTATTATTTTCCTAGTAACTTATACAAAAAAGTATACACAGTGATTCACTAAGCTTTGCTTACCTCATTTTTTTGTTAAATGTTGCATATATTTAAATTCTGATTTTTGGAATTTTTAAGTGTATTTAGTTGATATTTTCAAATGCTTATATTTTTTACACATTTAGGGATTATCCTGTAGAGGTATCAACTTTGGTTTTTCAAATGAGAACCAATAATAAAAATTCCATTAATAAATGGAGTATTACTTTAAATTCATTTTGTTTTTCGTCAACATTACGATGTATTCCACTATTAAGTTAACCTAAGTGGAGAGTAACAGAGCACTAATAAAATGCTGCATGTCGTGCCTCTACAAAAATGATACTTCACTTATTGTTCCTCTACCTAAACTTAAAAGTGGAATATCTCATAAGTTGGTTGATGGAAATTGAAATTTTAACACTAAAATTTATTTAAAGTAATACTACATCTATGGAATCTATATTCATTATTCATGAAATTGTCTAGTATTGTTTTCTTTTGAAAAACCAAAGTTGGTACCACCACAGGATATTCCCTAAATGTTGTGAAAAATCTAAGTATTTATCAATATTGCCACGCTTAGTGAATTACTATGTTTATATATATAAATAAAAATCTATATATATAATTTTAAATTGCAATGTTAATATTTTTCTTTTTGATAGACTGGATTGAACAAAATTATGTATAATTTAATATTAAATTTGGCTTCACGTGATACAACATTAACGTATATATCCAAAATGTTATTTTATAACGAAAAACGTTGCAAAATGCGTGTAGATGAGCGATCAATTTCTGGTGATGGTTTTATGTTAAATCTGTTAACTACCTTACAAGAATTATCTGTGAAGGTAATCATTACAACGTTTATTTTACTTATTATTTAACTAATATATACGAGTTAAATCAATTTTAGATCAAATTGGAAAAAGTAGATCCAATGTATATTTTTTCTGAACATTCTTGTATTGATTTATCAGCTGATACAAGACTGAAATTTTCATCACAAGAAGTAACTGATTGGCTCTCATCCCAATGTATGATTTTATAGTAAATTGATTTTTTTTTTAAATTTTTGTTCCTTAATTTTTTTTTTTTATGTTTAGCAAAACCATTAGTTGAATTGAAGTTTTCCACTCGTTGTTGGTTTTTAACACTTTACTGTCATCATGTTGCTTTAATACCGGCTTTTAATAAACACACAAGAAGATACAGAACTGTAAGAGATCTTCAAAAATTGGTAATGCGATTATTTTTTTAAAACTTCTTATTATTAATGGATCTAAATTAATTTGTTGTTTATATATGTTGTAGATTGATGAAATAGCAAATTCTGAATCAGAATGGAAGACTAATTCTGTTGTGGCTGCAAGAAATAAAGAACTATTAAAAAAATGGAAAATACAATTAAGGGTAATATTTTCATTATTATTTACTATTTAGTAATTGTTTGAAACAAAATTTTTATAATTTTATAGAAACTAATAAAAAGTAAATCATGCGGAGAACTGGTGCTTTACGATCCAAACCTTATAAATCGGTGCATTGTGTTTTATTCTACGGTGGCTGAGTTTATGATAACACTCCTTCAAGGTACTCCATATATACCAAATGCTAGTATAATATTTCCTGCTGAAGTTCCAGATATATTAGCTGCTATTCCAGAATGGTTTGTTGAAGATATTGCAGATTTCCTATTATTCATCCTGCAGTAAGTATTTATTTTTATGTGAAAAACATTTTTGTTTTCATCAGGTTTTTGATAAATAATGTTATATAATGGTTTACATAAATAATTTAAAAAGGAACAATATTTATTTTTAATTTTAGTGTTCAATAAGTCTTAATATATAAAATTGATTTTTAGGTATGCTCCCAAGGATATTGAATTTAAGTTGTTTGACACACTGTTGACATGGATTCTTGTTTGCATTTGTTATCCGGCCGTTTTTAAAAATCCATACCTCATAGCAAAGCTTATTGAGGTTTTGTTTGTATTGAATCCAAGTATTCAGCCAAAGACTGAAATTTTAAATAATATGATGATGAGTCATCCACTTTCAGTATCAAATTTACCTTCTTCTTTAATGAATTTTTATACAGGTACAATGTACATTTTATTGTAATCATTATAAATTAAGTTGTTTAGTTTTTTTTTATATATATATATTTTAATTTTATAGTAATTGAGTCTACTGGAGCAAGTTCTGAATTTTATGATAAATTCACTATACGTTACCATATAAGTTTAATTATTAAAAGTATGTGGGAATGTCCTACACATAGATGTGCGGTTATAGCAGAATCAAAGTACATTATTCATTAAAACATTTTTCAACAATTTTTCTGGATACAATTTTTATTTGTTTTTTTTTCATGTAGAACTGGAATACAGTTTGTCAAATTTGTTAATATGTTAATTAATGACACAACATTTTTGTTGGACGAGAGCTTAGAGTCATTGAAACGTATCCATGAAGTGCAAGAACAAATGGCCGATACTGCTACTTGGAATAAATTATCTGATGAAATTCAACTTTCCCGAACAAGGCAGCTCACTGCTGACGAAAGACAATGCCGGTAAGTAAAAATAATAAATTCACTAATGAATTGATGAATATTAAGAGTATGAAAATAAAATGTATTTAACACTCCAGAGATGGGCTGTGCGCCATATCGCTTCCGCGACAGTCGGCCGTAGCCACATTGAGGTTTCAATGATAGTGTTAAAACACCATAGAATTAAGTAACTGTTGGAAAAATAGACTACATAACATTATTTTAATATTTTATTTATATATGTACGCAATGGTTTATCATTGTATACGAAAATTAGTAATTTTTTCTTAAAACTCTTATAAAAAAAATACTGTATCAAGTCAAATTTTTTTTAGCACTTATACAACACCTTATAAAAAACATTTTGTTAAATTGTCCAATTATTTTTGTTAAGTCAAACAATTTTATCAACATAATACTTACTAAATAAAAACTAAAATAAACTTATATTTTAAATAAATTATAAAATATATGTTTAGAGGTAGGGCTCTTTAAACACTATTATTATATTGGTAACAAATCTTGTTTTTATTTTACTTTTTTGTGACCCGGTTCACGAATATCACTTATCATTAATTTTTTTCCATATTTTGGTAATGTTAATTCGGTAAGTAAACATTCGGTAAAAATCTAAAAAAACGACTGACACACTTCACATGTGGATGTAGCCACTATTGCAGGTGGAATGTTGAAAAGGTAGGATTTGGATATACAATTGGATAACAATAAACCATTGCTTATGGAAAAATGATTCCGAGTGGAGTTCAGTTGAAAGTGATGCTTTGTAAACAATATATATATATATCATAGTATGGTAAACTTATTGAATTGGCATTATATATTGTCTTAAATTATATTTGTTTAATATTAATCTGATTTTCCTTTTTTCTTCAGGTTTTCCCATGTTTTTCCAAATTTTTCACATTTGTTGGGAAAACTCTTGAGAAAATCGAAAAATGACCTCCTTAATGTACCACCCCTAGACAATTTCTTTCAGAAAAGCGTCTACATCATATAAATCGGAATAAGATTTCTGGTAGAAAGTGTTCATATATAAAAAAAAAATAAAAACCTATTTGTAAAAACAATACATTCTCCGTTACACTTAGAATCTTATATGTATTAATTTGCTATTTATTATATTATCTTTAGAAATTTATGCTTACTGAGTATGGTAGTAAACTACCGAGTATATTAGTTTGCAGGGTATTTGATGTTAACTGAAATCTAATATATTCCATATTATAATGAATAGTAGATAAATAAAATAAAAATATTAATTAAAAGTTATACTATCATCAAGAGTCAAATTTAACATTTAAAATAGAGCATTAAATCTAATGATGTATGTTTTTTGTTTTACATCCTTATCGTAGTGAGGGATCTATTGGTTTTACTCTATAATGTGTGTTTTTTTTTTCTGTCTACAACTTTTCTACCAGAAATCTTGATATGAAATAAAGTAGACTGGTTGCATCTTTTATGAAATTTTCTCTAGTTAAGTGCATTGAGGTCATTTTTCGATTTTCCAATGAGTTTTTTAAAATAATCTGGAAAAACCCAAAAGAAAAGTATAGGTAAAATGATAAATATTTACTGCACATTGTGGTATCATTTTCATTGTTTTTATTATGTTAACACAATTTCATTATTTTAAATTTTTTCCGCTTATGTTTTCTATCATGAATATTTTTCCAATTAATAAAAACATGCAATTTTTTTTGTTGAATTTGGAATTTAGTTGGAGAACAAGAAGTCGTTTGTTGATTTTCTCTTAGTAATCTTTTAGATAATTGATCAAAACCAAAAAAAAAAATTCAGAAAGTATGGGAAAATGTATAATAATAAATGTTTTATTATTTTCAATTTTGTATTTTTAATGTAATTCAGTCTAAAATATTCATAAAGATTTAAAATTTTGACAAAAACTTATATTATTATTAATAATTAGGGCATGGATTTTTATATAAATGCATAATTTTATTGAATGCAAATTTCTTAGTTCTGATTAAAAATAAGCTCTTTTCATAATACCCTAAATGAAAAATGAAAAATAATTTCAAACAAAATTGAATAAAATATGTTCGAAATGTGCGTCGAAAGTGTTGGCCTATGACTCTATGTAGAAGTAAGTGGAATGATGAAATAGATAGTAATAATATGATGAGTATTACAATATTACTAGTCTGTCGGATTATACAAGTTATAAATAGTAACTTGCACATTCTCGAGCGTAATAAACTAATAATCGAACACAGCAGACGATGACGTGGAAATTCACGATGTTGCTTGGAGCAGCACCTGATGGAACAAACTTTTCTGTCAATTGCATTATTATATTTTGGAATTTTTTTAATTTTTTTAATTTGAAAACGTCATGGAGTGATGAAACAAAAAGCAAATTCTTAAGGATAAAATTATCTAGCATTCTACGATGCCATTTTTTAATACCTGCTTTAATAGATGTTTTATAGATTGATAAAATATTAGGTTTTTTCATTTTTTAATTATAATTATAATTAATAAAAACATTAAGATATCAATAGTTGGCACCGTAGGTCACTTGAAAATGTTATTGTTAATCAATGGTTTTTATTTTGCTTAGAGATTTGTGAGTTGAGAAATCAAAGAAATGCCAATCTATGTTTTTCATCATAAAATAATTGTGCTGGTATCCTCTTAACACTAAAATGTTTGTGTTTCAGTTCATATTTGACTTTGGCTCAAGAGACAGTAGATATGTTTCACTACCTTACAAAGGATATTAAGGAACCATTCATGCGACCTGAATTAGTAAATCGACTTACAGCAATGTTAAATTTCAATTTACAACAACTGTGTGGTCCTAAATGTAAAAATTTAAAAGTAAAAACGCCAGAAAATTATGGGTGGGATCCTAGACGTTTATTGAAGCAGATAATTGATATTTATTTACATTTGGATTGTGACCAATTTGCTGCTGCAATAGCAGCTGATGAAGTAATTTAATAATATAATTGTACATTTTTATTTAAATAGTTGAAATTATTTAATTAATAATAAAATATTTTAAGCGGTCTTTTCGAATGGAATTATTTGAAGATGCAGCAAACCGAATGTGTCGAGTTTTAAATGCTAGTAAAATGGAAGTGATGCAATTCCAAAATTTGGCTACCAAAGCAAATGAAATCTCTATTCAGAATATTAAAAAAGAAGTTGATTTTAATGATGCTCCTGAAGAATTTAGAGGTATTATTATAGTTTGCTTTTTAGTTACAGTGTACTAATAAGTATTGATAAATTTCAGATCCATTGATGGATACTTTGATGGATGATCCAGTTATATTACCAAGTAGTGGAAAAGTAATGGATCGTCCAGTAATTATCCGTCATTTATTAAATTCACAAACTGATCCATTCAACAGACAGCCATTGAGTGAAGATAATTTAACACCAGGTAAATTTGTTTTGAACTAATATTAAAATTAATAATTGTTATTTAATTATTTGTGTTTATGTATTTCAGTTTTATTGACAAAATGTGTAAAATGTACTTAAAAACATAGTACTGTGTACAAGTATATTATAAAATTGAAAAAGTCTAAAAATCATAATAATAAATAAAAAACAAATTGACCCTCTGAATTTCTGTTTTAGGCTTTATGTTTTATTGACAGCTTAGAAAGATCGTTATTTTTTTTTTTTAAATAATTAATGTAATCTACATTGATAAAATATACAGTTTATAAGTGTCAATTACATTTAAATTTATATTAGCTGCAAGCTTCATTTCACATTTATTTTGACATTAAAATTAAAAATTTTTTCAGTATTAATTATTTAAAAACCAAATTTTTAAAATTTGTATTATAATATATTTTTTTTTTATCTAAAAAAGCTTTTGATTGGAATATTTGCTCCAGTCATTAACTCTAGTGATCTGATCTTTGGTAGGAAATATTGTCTAGTTGGTGCATTGGGGAAGTTATTTTTTTATATTCTTTGTTTTTTTTATTATTAATGGGAGAAATATTTTTGTTATAATTCAGTGAGAAATAATTTGATACCAAGTGATCCATTTAAGTGGGTACACTCATTATCTTGGAAAGTATTAACTTTTCCAGAATTTGTTCTAGAACATGTTCTACAAACAAACTGCTCTACAATTGTATAGCCATATTATTTTTGTCACCTTTATTTTTGGGGGCAAAACTACTACCTGTATATGATTTTCAAATGGTAACCTAAATTAAAAAGTTTATAAATAGATGGAGTATTTTTTAAAATAAATTTTAGTGTTGACATTTTTGATTAAGTTTGGATTGGAGGAGATTAGTGGAGTATTATTTGCGTGGCAGTATAGCGTGCAGCATGTTAATAATGCACCACTGCTTTCTTCCAATTTAAAATTAAAAGTGGAATATCTCGTAAACGCCTTTAAAGAAATCAAAAATGTCAACACTAAAATTTATTTTAAAAAATACTCCTTCTATTTATGGACTTTTTAATAAAAGTTGCCATTTGAAAATCAAAAGTAGGTAGTGGTTTTACCCCCGAAAATATGGGTGACAAAAATTAACATCAATATAAATTGTAAAGCTGCTTGTTTCATGAATTTTTAGAAAATAAATTCCGAAAAAAATTAATACTTTCAGAGATAATCATTGTACCTACTTAAATGAATCACCTGGCATAATAATGCTATATTTTATATTTGATTAATGTTTTAAGAAATAATAAAATTCTTTTTTAAAAATTCAAATTATTCATATAATAATTAAAGGAATTTTTTTGTTTTATAAATAAAAAATATAAAAAGATCCTTTATACAACTAAAATAAGGAAAGAAACCAATATAAATATTATATAAAAAAAAACAAAATTGTTAATAGGGTGATTCACTCACTAAGTATGTTCTCCCCATTTTTTGGTTAAATTTTGCATGTATTCAAATTCTGAATTTCAGAGCACCAATAAAATGCCACACAAATGATACTTCACTACTTTCTTCCTGCATAAATTAAAAAGTTTAATATCTCGTTTATGGGTTGACAAAAATCAAAAATGTTGACACTAAAATTTATTTAAAGTAATATTCCGTGTATTTATGGAATTTTTAATATGTGTTTTCATTTGAAAAAACAATGTTGGTATCATAACTGGATACTCCATAATGTTGTGAAGTATCTAATTATTGGAAAATATCAGCTTTAATTAAACTTAAAAATTTCAAAAATCAGAATTTGAACATTTGCAAAATTTAACCAAAAAATGGGATGAGCATGCTTAGGGGACATGCTTCAATTTTGGATAAATTGAGCGTATGGATAAATTAAAGTCTTACGCATTGATTGTAAAACTGCATGTATTTTAAATGGGAAAATTCAACTTCTGTGGATTGCCATTTAGCGTCAAAATAAAAAAATTACAGGATTTTTAAAAATTATTTTAAACTCAAATAAATAATGCCAAATTATATAAAAATATATACAATTTCATATTTGTATGATTTTTTTTCACATTTTAATTGTATTGTAGATTTTTAATTTTTAATTTATTTAAGTTACCTTCATTATTATATATTTTTTTTTATACTTTTTAGCTTTTAATTAATATTTTTATATAATTTCTGAATATGAAGAAATAGTTGTAGAGACTTGAAAGTTCACTTACATATATATATATGTTAAACATGTTATAATTTAGAAAATATCATGGCTCTTTTTTGAATTAATGAAATTGTTCAACATATGTGTTGCGTAATATATTCAATGTGATTTGTGTTATTACTGTTAGGATATAATAAGGATTTTCTTTTACTTTGCTTTTATTGTCAATTTTACATTATTGTGGTTTTTAATTACAGCAATTGAACTGAAAGAGAAAATTCAAAAATGGAAAATCAACAAATTAAAAGAACTGTCTCAAAAGCCATAAACAATTATGGAAAAATAAATCTACTTTACTAATATAAATAATAAATCTAAATTAATTTAATTTTTAATATTTACCTCCATTTAAGTTTAATAATTGTTTATTATTATTAATGTGATAAAAAAAATGTGTTCTCAGCACTTATAAAAGACTAAGACAAAATTGATGTAGTGTATTTGAATCCATAATACATATTATTATATATAAGTAGTAAATAAATACATATAGATATAACATATATTAATTCATTGAATGATAATTTGGTGAATCTAAGATCCGTTAAAAAAAAGGGTTGATAATTAAAATCAAGCCCAAGTTAAATAAAATTACCTGTAAGTTTATTACAATTTATAAAAAAATTGTGTCAACAATTTGTTTTTCTTTTTGTGTAATATTCAATAATATATATATACATCATACAAAAATGTTTAGTTAAAGAAGTAAACTTTAGTGTTTAAAAATATTTTATTGTAAATAATTTAAGAATATAAACTATATGATAATGTTTTTTTATTAATTATTATTATATAATTATTATTAGTATATCATTGTTTTTACATATAGGTACACTAAGGAAACTATTCTACTACAAAAAAATTGTATTTGACTTATAGACGACTAGTTCTTAGACTAAACCTGTTATTGTATTGTACCTAAAATTGAATTTAATAATTATGTTAATACGATACAGTTGAAGAATAATACAAGAACAGTTTTTTTTTCAGTTTAGCAGTCTTAAATTCAACATATTAAAATTACATTATTATTATTATTGTATGTATATTATTACAATAATACTTTATACATGTTGTGATATGTTATTTTCAGTAAAATTGAATGTACAGTTTAATTAAATTCTTGATTTTTATGTATTTGTCTTTTCTACATTGTACATAACTGATTATATACAATGTTTACATTGCTGAGAAATTGAAAAATGTTCACAATATTCCTCTCACATGGTCACTTATTTAGCATCAGGCCACATTGCTCTCTTGTGCTGCATTTGTGTATCTCGATGAAGATGTTTCTGAAGTCTCAGCAACTGGTGGTATATTGGATTTGACCTAGTAAATGTAAAACTCAAATGAGTAAATTAAATAATAATGAATACCATTGCTATTTTATAATAAAAAAATAATAAATAGGTACCTAGGTATTAAAGAATAAATTATTATCATACTGATGGTGAATGTTAAGTACAATGACAGTTATTGTAAATTATTTTTGGGTGGAAAAATGTAATATTTTCAATTGACATATTTACCTTTAAGTCCCCATCCAAGAAAAATCCTATTTGATGGTATTCTTTACCCGATCGTGGTTTCAGTGTAGTTTTGGCGGCTGGTCGACCAAATCTGTTGGAACAACAGTAACGAAATGATGAAACAAATCAATTGACAGTAAGTCGTATGACTCTATATTGTACTCTGAGAAATAAAACTAGGACCTACCTTAGGTTTTCGTTATTGGTATCTGATGAGCTGTGTGAAGACAATGATAACGTTTCGATGTAGTCGCTCATATCCGAGGTGTAGCTGCTTGTGCTCTGAGAATCTAAGAATGGTACTCCTGTGGTTCCATCAACGTTCACGTTAAAACCTATAATATCAACATAACAAAATGTTTAGGAAGATAAGGAGATAAAGATTATAACTGTTAGAGGTATAATAGTGTGATTTTGTAATGACAATTTTGATGTACATAACATTTGACAATTTTAGACAAAAAAATCTGAAATTTTACCACGTCTATGTAAGTCCAGTATAGGTATTATTACCAAGTTTCAAGTCTCTACGTGTATTTATAACCGAATTACAGCAAAAAACTCCCAAAAATTAAAATTCCTTAGAAGCTCAAAAGTTTTGGCAATGATACCATAAGAAAGTAAATCAAAAAGGCAACATAAAATGTGTCTTGTGATTTTCGATTAAATCATTTTTCTAGTAGAAAACGTCTAATAACGTTTAATAAAATAATGAAATCCTGAAATTTTACGTTTTCCTACGTTTTTTCCCATATAAGTACTTTTATTTAAAAAACGGCATCGAAAATCAAAAAAAGCCCCTGTAAAGTACAATCTAGACAACTTGAACTTCCAGAAAAACTGCTACACGTAAAATTAAGGAGTAAGTTTACTGTGAAGAAATGTGTTCACAGACTAGAATAAAGAAAGAAAGAAAAAATAAATACCTTAGTAAAACCAATAGCTCCCTCGCTATATGCTCGGAATCTAAAAGCTGTCCTAGGATAACGGGGCATAGGATAGTGCAGCCACTTTTCTAGGAATAAGTAATATAATGTATACCTGTAAGCAACGATAAACCATTGCTAACGAGAAAACGATTCTGCGCGGAGTTCAGTTGATAGCGATGCTTTGTCAACAATAAATTGTAAGTCATATTATGGTAAAATAATTAAATAAGCGTTGTATGGTATATTTTAATAATATTTGTTAATGTTGTCCCGCGTTTTTTTCCAGTTTTTCATATTTGCTGGGAAAACTTTTGGAAAAATCGAAAAATGACCTGTTTAAAGCACTTCTCCATACCGATTTCCTTTTAGAAAAGGCGCTACACTTAAAAAACGGAGCAATATTTCCGGTAGAAAAGTTGCGCACAGATAATAAAAAAAAAAAAAAAAAAAATGTTGTTAAACCAAAAGCTTCTTCGCTCCACTCAGAATCTAAAATACTTATTGCCGTCGGTCTAATAAAATTGAATATTCGATTCGGGAAGGCAGGATACATAGTTATTTAATTTATGTCTAACCTAACCTAACCTACGCAAAGGTAAATTATTCGACGAAAAACGATTTGGAGCGAAGTTCGGTAAGACATATTTTGAAATGCTGTAATTTTTACGATAACGCTTATGTGACCAAAAAAAAAAAAACAAAAAAAACTAATGCACTCAAATTCGTTGTTCAGACCACTAGGTTAGATTCGGTCAGACACCGCCACTTATAATGCACGTATTGGGTTACATTTTCAAGCGTAAAAGTTTTTTTCCGCAAAAATGTTTTATTAATATACCAGTTCAATTAACACACCGTCATATGGCATAAGTTCGGACGATTATGGGCACAGAATACGGTCATATGCGGATTAAAATTGAAACTGGTAAAATGTGTCAAATCAAAACTCAGATTAACACTAGGAAATAGGTACCTATTTTAAAATCGATCAGTTTTCGTCTACGAACTATCAAAATTAATAGCCTAAAACTCCGTGATATTTCTATTCGAATTCAGTGTTTAGTTTACTGTCTTATGCAAAACACGTCTGTGAAAGTTTCAAGTGAAACACGAGAAAACACTGTGTCAATAGCCGACGGATTTAAATTTGGATTACAAAAACCGTAATATTATAATTTATAATATACCTACCTATATGATTTTCTTTTGTGTATAGTAATTAACGTAGTAGTTTATATCGATTAATCTGGCCCTATACCGGAGGCAATTCAAGTAGACTTGTGATAAGCAATTCGAGTGAACAGTAAATTTTAAATTCGGGCTTGAGAGGCGATTCGAGTAACCTTTTTTTGAAAAAAATATACGGGAGGCGACTCAAGGGATTAACGGGAGGCAATTTGAATGCGCCCTTTTCGTTTTGTGTCTGTAAACAGGTTTTTTAGATTCAGAGTGGAGCGAAGAAGTTTATGGTTTTACAAAGATGTTTATTTTTTTTCTGTGGACAACTTTTCTACGGGAGAACTTGCTCTGATTTTTACGTGTAGCACATTTTCAGAAAGGAAATCGGCGTGGGGAGGTACTTAAAGGAGATCATTTTTCTCAGGAGTTTTACCAGCAAATGTGACAAACCAGGAAAAATCCCGGAGAAACCGGGAAAATCTGTACATCAAACAAATATTATTAAAGATAATATTAATGTCTTTTTAATTATTTTACTAAAAAATGACATATATATATTGTTGACAAAGCATCATTATCAACCGAACTCCGCTCAGATTCGTTTTTTCGTTAGCAATGGTTTTTTTCAATGCTTACAGGTATACATTAAATTATCTTCTGTATCCTACTGGCTGCGTCCCCGTGTGAAGTATTTCCGTCTTTTTTTATTTGATACCCTGCCCCGGTTATCTAACTCAGTAAGATATTGTATCGATTTTGGTGTATTGAAGAGGATATTTTTCGACAATCCTTAAATCTTAAAAATTGGAGGAAAACGTGGTTAAAATGGGAACGCACGAGGTATATTATTTTTACTAGTACTACAGAGATCATTATTGCGTAGCTATCCCGTTTTTACGACGTTTTTCCCTCGGTTATTTCTAATTGTTGAAAAATTCAATGAAATAAAAACTTGGTAAATTTAAAAACTCCGGTAAATTCGTTGAAAAATTTTTTTTTTTTTTTTTTTGAATGTGTAGAAGATAAACGATTTAAATAGGGGTAGGTAGGTAAACTCGGCTGACCTTTTGAATCTTTTTTCAAGCAGACCGGCACCTCGGCACCGGCGGACGACGACTTCATGGGGCCCGCGAACTTTTGAAACCTGAAGCTCAGGTCCTTTAACCTGTCGGTGGACTTGGAACGTCTGGGCAACGATCCGTGGACGCAGTTGACGGCGGTCGGCGTCCCGCCGACGCCGCAGTCCGGCGCGGCCATGGTCCGCCGGTGCCGCATCGTCGACATGGCGGTGGTCAACGGCAACTCGAACTCGGCAAAGTCCGCGCCCCTGTACCGAAGCGACCCGGTGGACACGCCGGAGTCGTTGGAGCTGGACGAGTCCCGGTTGTTTTTGCACGGGACGCTGGACGACCGGCGTATGTGTACCAGCGCGGTCTGCTGGTCGTCGGCCGAAGCGCCGGCGGACGATTGCACGGCCGCGGCGGTCGTGGCGCTCTCGGCCGAGGACGTCGCGGTCGAGTCCGGACACGTTTTGGCGATCTGGCTGGTCATGCTCTCGGCCGACGATGTGCGGTCGGACGCCTCGGACCGGGCCGTCGTCGTCCCGTAATCGTACCGCGACGATCCGGCCGAACTGGACCGTCTACGCGGCTCGTCCGTCGCCGGATGGCACGCGCTTTTAGACAAACCGTCCGCCGCCGCCGCCGCCGCCGCCGCAGTAGATCTGCCGTACTCGTCGAGACTGGGTATGCTGACCGACTTCTCGGCCAGGCCCTTGTTCATAATGTCCTTCAACATGTTATTGTCGTATTGCCTGCCGCCGTTGACCGCCGGGCACATGGGCAAATAGCCGGGGAACAGGTTCCGTTTGACTTCCTTCATGCGGCCGTTGACGGGTTCCATGGTCATATAGTCGCTTTTCTCGTCGCCACCGCCGTTCTCCGCGGCCGCGCAACGCTTTTGCAGGTGCCCGCATTTGTCGCAAGCGCCGCCGCGGTTGTCGTAAGGCGCGCGCGCGGGGTGGCCGTTGTTTACGGGGCGCGGACCGGCGTCCGCGGTCGCTTTGGCCAACACGTTTTTGGCGTTCTCGTAATGGCACAGCGACTCGCTAAACTCCAAGTTCGCGTAGTTGTCGGCGGTCGTTTTCGCCGCCGCCGGCGCCGGTTCCAAGTTCATGTAGTTGGACGGGGTTTCGGCCGGGGGCGTCGGTTCCGCGTATTTTTTTTTCTTCGTCACGTCCACCGTCGCGTAAATGACGCCAGTCGCGGTCTTCTGGTGGTGGCAATCGTGCGGCTGCGGAACCCGCGGTTTCTGTGCGGACAATATTAAAATAGGCAATTAAGGTTTTTTTTTTTTTTTTAAATTAATAATAATGATTATCAAATCCAAGACAATACAGGACGTCGACGGCTTTTGCATCATTTCTTTTCCTTTTACACGGTGTACAGTGCGTTTCACTCAAATGGTAACGCGCGAAATATTTCTAACCAGTGACCTCGGATTGAAACGGGATTTTTAAGGGAAGATACTGGAAATACTGGAATACGCTTTTTTTTTTTTATGGGATTAAAAATTGCTCACCCTTTCCATGTGCGCATGCGCAATAAACCATGCATTTGTCAAAATGGAAACACTTATTTTCAATACTTGGTTCGGATAAACCGTTTTTTTTTTTTTTCAAACAACTTATATAAATAAAGTTTTCCCCTGTTTTGAAAATCGGCCGCAATATAGCTAGTTAAAGTCGAAACAAAATTATTTAATTATTGTTAAATTAATTTTATTTTAAACAATTTATTACGAAACATACTCATCATTATCTTATAAATTGTTCAAAGTTTTGTCCATCACTTGTTCCTCATCACTTTCAATTTCTGCTGCTCGTTGTACCGGACGAAAGTGACTTCGACTTCCAAATCAACCGTAAGTTCGGATTTGATTTTCAAGCCGTAGAAAATAATTATGTGCTGGTTGATATCCATCGGGATACCGTTCAGCGTCTAACTGTGCAGCTTGCCGGGAATATCGATGACGCGCGTTAAAAATTAAAACCATATCCGATTTTTCACAATGGCTAACCATTTTTGTACAATATGAATCTCAACGATGGGAAAATATGAACGCAAAAACGAATGTTCCGATCCGGGTAAAATTCTCGGTCTGAATGGTCGGATCGTTGTTATAAATGTTACGACGTTTAGGCGGAATAAATTAACAACTAAAATTGTCCGTAAGGCAATCTGTATGATACAAAGTTCATTCATTAGTCGACCGATAATGTTCGTTGACCGATAAACCAATAAATGTTTACGGTGGAATCGGTATTTCAATAGGCATTCGGGATTTCCGAGTACATTTACCAATAAGTTTGCACCGCTCGTGTAAATAATTACAACGGTAAACTTTTACAAACATGAAATAATGACGGCGAAACCTATTAGTGGAAATATACGGACATAACTACACGGAAAACATCGTAGAATTATTGTTGAAAAATTCAATAGTTTAATTTGAAAATTTTACTGGCCGCAATTTGGCCGATTTTCAGGATAAGGGAAAACTTTATTTATACGAGTTGCTTAGAAAAAAAAAAAAAAAAAAAAATGGTTTATCAAGTGTTGAATATAGGTGTTTCCATTTAGAAAAATGCAAGTTTTATTGCGCATGCGCACACTGGTAGGGTAAGACATTTAAAAAATCTACAAAAAAATGTATGCGTATTTCAGTATTTCCTATCTTTTCTTGAAAATCCCATTTCAATCCGCGGTCATCGGTCAGAAATATTTTTCGTGTTACCATTTGAGTGCAACGCACTGTATACACACAGCTAATTCGTTACGCGCCCCGTATAGATTCAGAATACTATGTTTATATAAAATAAAAAACATTTCTACTTTTTCACGTTGTTCCTTTGCACGATCCGTGCAAAGGTCGGCGGAAACGTCTAGTTCGAAATCACCGTGTACGACAGAGACCGTACGTTTCCACCTTACGCGTATTATCTTGTCCTTTTCTAGACTCGGCGAAATTTTCGAAATATTCTGACAGTTTTCGGACTATTTATAGCCGTTCAAAGTTTTTTGTTTCAAGCGAATAAAACTTTTGTTTTTACTGGCGTTTCGCGTTGGGAGTTCACGATTTATCGAATTTTTATCGTCACGTCACGCGCAGGGGCGATCACGTTTAGTGAATCGCTATGTGTATTAATATATCGATTGATTTTTAATTCGGTTGTCACGGACAGCGGCGTATCGTTTTTAAACGATAAATATTAACGGATGACAACGATTAACCGCGACTACGGATATGAAGGTCGGAAACGGGAGGAAAACACGTAAATTTTTTTAAATTTTTTTTCCGTTTTTCGAAAGGATCGAGTCCGGAAGTTCCACCGCGTGGCACAGTACATCGTGACGACTACAATCGTCTTTGCTCACCGTATTATTCAATGTTTGATTGTCTGCAGCGTGATTGTTCCGTTTACACTGAGGATGCACCGGCACCCAGTTGTTGGACCAGCAAGTCATGGCCCTTTGACAAGGACATATCCCCGTGCACTGAACGTTTGGTTGCTTGGGCGACGGCGTACAGCTGGCACTGAAAACGGCGAAACGAGATTTATATAAAAAAAAAAAAAAACAACTTCGCAGTTATTGAAAAACTATAACGATTTTAGTAGTTTTTTTTCTTTTTCGAAGAAGAAGCTATTAGTCTTACTAATACGGTTTTATGGCCCCCATCCCTCCTCCCCATCGGGATACACTCTTTCGGCCGGTATAAAAATGTTCGGATTTTTTCTCGCGGCGCCTTAATAGACATCCACGATTTCCACCCGGCACCTGTGGCGTATATAGTATAGTACATTGTTTGCAAAATGTTTCCGTAATTCCCAATAGTTCGGGCATAAATCAACCGATTTTGAACTCGCTTCGATTCGTGTCAGTTGTGCCAGTCATCAGTTACTATTATACAGACACAACGTTGAAATATTGAATGTTATGGAATTGTTTAAAATGTACGTTATAACAGAGCATCATTCGGAGCCGTTTTGCGTTTGTATTGTTTGCAACAATTTTCCACGTGATAGTAGGCATTATATTGTATACGTAGGGTGTCCCATTAAGAACGCCGGATTTGAATCGCCCGGTATTTCTTGTTCTGTGCATTGGCTGACTTGTTTTTCTTATCGTTATCACCTGTAAACTCTCCGCAATGAAACGACGTGAAGGTTTCATCGATTTATTTTGTTTTATTGATTTATTTCGATTGTTTCTAACCTTCTGTTCGCAACCATGGTACGATTAACTATTCAATAATGCATTTTGGTTTAGTGCAGTTTAATTGAACTTAACTATCAATCGACGAACTGTTGATTCATTAGGAGCCTCATTTCGACCCATGATTATTCTAAGATGACTTATTGTTCCAGCATAACTTTCATTATGTTAATAAAAAGTCTTATCAGCCAAAACGCGTTCTTGAATACCAGTTAGTCATGCCATGGTTACAAACAGAAGATTAGAAGAATCAAAATAAATCAATAAAACAAAATAAACCGGTAAAAACCGTCGCAGCGTTTCATTCATAGAAAGATGGTTGCATTGCGAATAGTGTATAGATGATAACGATAAGAAAAATAGATCACCCAACACACAAAACAAAAAATGCCGGATAACTTAAATCCGGCGTTCTTAATGAGACTCCTAATACTATAAAAATCGCTAAAATATCCTAATATCGCCTTCACGTATCATGAGCAAAAGACGCACGTGTTCTCAAAAGTCCCCGTAAGGATCGATTATATATTTACTTGTACTTGGTATAAAACCGATTCAGTGCGTGGGGGACGGGGGTGGTTTTTTGAGTTTGATTATTTTATATCCACTAATCCCCCCTCTCCTCTATTTGGGTCAAGACAGATATGGTTTTTACACTGTTTATACAGATATTTGTGATTATTATAGTGCGCGGGGTGCGACTATACAAACGAATTCGAATTACTTGGATTTCTTGTGAACGGCTACGGGCGAAGGAGGCGTATCGTAATTGCCGTAGGGGTTGACTTCCACCAACGACTTGATATTCCGTGGCGTGTCGTAGTATTCGTCTTGTACTGCCGGGTACGGTTTATTTTGCTGTAAACACAATGTACGCGACATGATTAATGAGAATAATTAGAAAACATCATTATAAAATATATTTATATAAAAAAAAGTAAGACTAAAATATTCGTATACACTTTCAAATCCATTTGAATTACACACGTATTTCGTAGTAAGTAATACAAATTAGATTTTATATAATTTTTTGTAACTGCGATTTATTTGATAATCATCATTTCAACAAATATTAAATGTTTAGGTGAATTGCGATAACCCGTAAATTGATGAATTAAAATGTATCAGGATCTCAATGACTCAACTAACTAGGTAAGCACTTATATCGTAATGGGACACTCTCATAGTTGTTTATATAATCATATATCTTATAGTTTAAAACGTTCGTTAACAATATAATTATTATCTACGGTCCGGATATCACAGAGCTATTACCCTTATTTTGATACGATAAACTGTCACCAAAGTGCAGACTCTTTGAATTAAGATTCTAATATATAAGTAAGCAGCTGTATACCCATATTACGATGTCTAATCTTAATATTTACAAACGTTATTTTATTTTGATGCATATTCTCAAGCAGAACAACAGAGTTGTTAATTTTATTTGGATAACGATTAACTAATGTACTTAAAATGTTATGTTTAATATACAGGGTGATTATTTTTTATCATGAAACAGCAATTTTCTCTGAGGATTTTAAGTAAAGTTTTAATCATTATGGAATCCTTTAAGCTTTAGTTTAACACTATTTTCAATTTTCATCCCTATTTCATAAACCTGAAATGAATATCTACTATGGATTTTTAAATAGATCTCTTTTAAATCACAGACTAAAATAGAGAATATTTTTCTAGACATTTTGATGTGCATAACACTATAATATCAGATTTACTGTTTATGAGTTAAAACAGTTTAAAGTTTAAATCAGAGGTGTAGGGAAAGGCGATAGATTGGATATTATCTATCTTGCTGGTTTATGATAATAGAATGGTCCTGTATATATTATTTATATACATATATATATCCTATTATATAACTTACTTTTGTGCTTGGGGGGCATATAGTCTTTGGAGTGTCGTAGTTATTGATGTAGGATTGTCTAGGTTTATCCAGAATTGCGCACCGACAAGTGCACGTGATTTCTTGCTGAGGCAAAGGCATCGGAGCCTTTTTGACCGGCGTACTCGTTTCTGGTTTCAAGTGCATCGGTTTCGGAGGTCTTATCGGCGTACACGCTTCGGATTGACTGAAACTTGAACCATAAACCGTTTTTAGTAATTTATCGTTCATTATTTTATTTATCCATTTATTGCATAAACATGTATTGGTGATTTAGATTTTAAAGTGCATAGATATATACATGGGCATTCGCGGGAAATTTATCAGGGAGAGGCATAATAAAAACAAACACCAAAAAGTAATTAAAATAAAATATTGTATTAATTAATTATTAAAATGTTCAGTCTTGCCACCCTATTCCGGGTGCCCATGGATATATAGTATATTAAAGGGATAAATTATATTAAAGCATTAGCTATTCATTCCTAAATTATTTTACATTTCTACGTTCCTAACATATAATAACCTATAAACATAATGTTTTTTCATACCATGGCAGTGGCACGTTCTCAAACGAATGAAAGTAAAACGTAACGTAATAATATCGAAGATTAAAATAATACCGTTTATTTTAAAAAGACTAACAACAAACCTATCGATGAAAAGTGAATTTAAAATGTATTCAACATTAATTACTGAAGTATCATTATATTATTTGGATACTTATTTTTGTATCAGTACGCATACAAGCTGTTCCATAAAGATATACCCCTTGAATATCTCAGGAGATAATAAAGATAACCGAATTTTTTTTTTTATTATTCACGGGGAAGAGGACTACAAATATTTATATTTGAATTAATTTTTTTTATTAATAAAATAAAAAATAATTTTATTATTTTCGGAAAATTTTACGATAGCCACTTTGTAAAGATTATTTTTCTGAGAATTTTAATGTACCACACATTTATATCCGATAAAAGCCAGGGAATTTAGGGAATAACCTAACCGCATTACCCAATAATATCGGTTTTCACATGGATTAGTAGAATTTAAAATGGCTGTTACTTAGAAATATTCATCGGATATAAATGTGTGGTACATTCAAATTTTCAGAAAAATAATCTTTACAGAATGGCTATATTAAAATTTTCCGAATTAATAAAATAAAGTTATTTTTTAAATTTTTTTAATAAAAAAAAAAAATTAATTCAAATACAAATAATATTTATAGTTCTCTTCCCTGTGAGCACCTAATATGGAAAAAAAAAACAGAATTTGATTATATTTATTATTTCCGGAGATATTCAAAGGGTATATCTTCGTGGGGCATTCGTATATGTGTGATTCTCTTTTTAGTTTTCTAAAGTTTATTCCGTTCAAAACATTATAGCGATTATATTTGTTTTATTATTATCACCTATGTCGTTACAGTTATATCATCATACGTTATCTGAATATTTCGGTAAAATCATACCTAAAATATCGTTTTTAAGCGTTTAAAAGTTTTGATAAATGCGTATGCACGAGAGTCTCTAGCGAAACCCACGAAACGTCACCGCGTCGGCATAGGCGAAGTTATTTCCGTCCGTCTAAAGTTTTATTCAAACGGCCAGAACGCGTTAACTGGTGTTGCTTTTACGGACATTAAAACTATGGCGCGGTTTGTTTCCAACTTACACGTATAATATTACGTCTACTTACACGTAGTGCTGTTATTCATTTTACCTTTTGTTTATCTTGTCATTCACAGAGGGGCAGACTTTTCTGGGTACCGAATATTCGGTACCGCACACGGAACTGCATCCGGCGCTCCCGCCGCTGCTGCTACTCTGCGACGACACGTATCCGCAACACTGATGTCCGTTATTCATTTCCGTCATGTTATAATTCACTGTGATAGTAATAATTACAAAAACATTAGTATAATCTAGGTACTACTATATTATTATAGTGTTTCTGGACATTTCGGGGATTGATTTTCGTTTGTTGTCGAGCGTGTACACACGATAATAATAATTATATCTATTATAGGTCCCAGGGTAGAAGAGGGTTTATGAAGTCGATCATTTTTTAAAAACAATTTTGTCGTGTGAAATTTGTTCTCCTTCATTTTTCGTGTGATGCTAAAACACTCCTTCCCTCCCCCTACGTCCGTATTTAAGCAAAAAAAAAAAAAATGTATAGTATAATATATTTTTCCGGTTTTTACAAAATGTGTTGTTAGTTCATTATATTTCATATTTTATGTTATTATTCACGATGAACGTGGTTCGAGACTTGGAACATTTGCTTTTTTTTTTTTTTGGCTTGATATTGAATCTACTCTATGGAAATGATTGTTATGTTATAACGAGCTCAAATATGAAATCGGAAAGTGGTACAAAACCGCTGTAATCACTGTTGGAATTTTTTTTTATCCATAAACGAAGTCGCGGACTGTCTATGATTTTATGACTCTGTGGAGGATGCATGAACAGTGAAGGTATATTATATGACTTAAAACATTTTACCATTTAAGAACGGTAATTTGGGCAAGACTATTTAGCAATCATGCCGTTATGCCATTTAGCCACTTAAGTCATTATTTCCCGGGGGTCATAAACACATTAATATTTATATCGTTTTGTAATTTAAAAAAAAAAAAAAATCAAGGATTAAACGTAAATTTCTAATGTTTTTATAAAAATAAATAAAAAAATTAGAAACCATTGTATTAATATAGGTAGGTTTATGCACAATCATTACATACAATATCAAACCGCTCATTGTTAGCTCTGTAGGTCAATCGGAATGAAACGTTTCTAATATACTATACCTACCTATCTTGTAAATTTACCGCTCAATCTTTTTGTCTGTCAATCAATACTATAATATATTAATTCACCTCGCGAGAGATTGGCTATATACGCATATTATTAAATTGTCTATATTCGAATCTGTAGGCGGCATCTCGGATAATTCTTTCATTACCGCGGTGAAACAACATTTAAACGGACAATAACGACGAAGTATCGGGCCAACGACGGTTCCATTATCGCCAGTAAACGTATGTATTGTAAATGGATATATTCCAATTATCCCGTGAATAGTCGAGACTTGGAGAAGTAATAATATTTGTAATCACCGTTTTGTACGTACGCAAAATAATCGACGTACACGATAAACTGCCTACAATAATATTTCGGAGTATTTGAATAATATGTATATACATGATACCTATATTGTATTAATCAAGGGCTTGAATTTGAAAAAAACTAAAACCGTGCGTACCTTATTAAGATTTAAGTTTTTTTAGACGTCACATATAATACCTATGTTAATTGAGACTACCGGTCACCGATTCAATGATATAAATATTAACTTTAATTCGGTAAAATGATAATTTCTCGGTTTTATTTTTGATCTTTTAGTACGTGAGTTATATTATTATCGTCAGACTTACTGAAGGACAACGAATTAGATAAAAACATTTTTTTCATGTCGGTAAATTTTTAATCACACCGCACTCTTCCGTTTAACTCATTACCACCCCTTCCTGTCTCGATGTCGCCCACTCGAAATTTAAGCACTGGTAATATAATTATTGATCTATAATCAGTAGTAATATCCGTTGCTATTGGTATACCGACGATTATTGTTGGGATGGAAAACATATTTCGCAAGGTAGGTAGCCCGGACTATTACATACCTTATACCTATCTATATAATACGGACATACGTACGAGTATTAAGTATATATACGAGAATTGTTTTATCCGGAATGAAAGTGCTTATAGGCTATATAGCGTGTAGTACTACGGGAAGAGAATATAGTGTGTAAAACGCTATATACACGAGGCTGTAATAAATGCGAGTGGGGAGTGGGGGATAAACGTTTTAAATTGTCCGGTGAGGGGGGGGGACGGGGAGAACAAATGTGTTGAGACATTGCCAAAAAGGTTACACATTCTGCAAAGCTCAATGGTACACTTAAGTAATACGGATAAACATTTGGCCTTGAAAATGTATACTTATAGGTACCTTAAAGGTATATAGGTACGAGTCACGATAACTCCGCAGAATATATTATTGTTGTCAAGAGTATTAATTATTATTATTAAGTAATTTGTCTTAATGTGTATAAATTATTAATGGATAGTTTATTTTTTCCTCGATTTGTTAGAGTTGTTCATATTACTCTCGTACGTACTTATTGTATTTTTACGAAACCGTTTACGTCGTGTACATATTTTATTTATATATCTAACATTTTTTAGCCGTATGTTCGCAGACAACAACAGAAAACATGATGGATGTTTCATATTTTAGGAAATTTTAAATTATTCTATAGTTTTATGATCGTTTATGAAAAATAATTATTATAAGAAGAATTTGATGTTATCGATAATATGACCGCGGACTGATGATTAATTATTTGTTATTCTTAGTCCAGTGGCGGAACGAGCTTATTTAACCTAATCGCATACTAATTGTTGACAAAAGATCTCACAATTTCCCATTTTATATAAACAACATAAAAGTATTATTATATACTTATATAATATTATATAAATATGGTTATTATTAAAAAAAGTCACCTTTTACAAAAAAAAATTGAATATTCTACATTGAATACCCACTTTCTACTTAGTTGTCTAAGCCCACCTAGCTGATCAAACCGCCCACCAATCTATTTAAAACAAAAAACTACGTGTTTTTAGACTCTCTTAGTGCCGCCACTTACCACTTATTGCATACGATCGTACAGTTTTGCGAATATACAGAAGTATACATGCATATACTTACTCGATGATACATTGTTGTCCATGGTCCACGCTGGATTGAAACCTATGCTTCCCGGGGTGTTGGCCATGGTGGAAGAACGCGACAAAGCTCCAAGTTTACTGATACAACTGGCACATCGTTCTAAAGCGGTTTCTGGGGTCCACGTGCACTCCTGTTGTTTTAAACGAAACGTAATTATTAATTATACTATAGTTATAGGCTAGCCTATGTAACGAATTAGGGAATATTTTTTAAGACTCCGCGAAAATTATCCTAACCATTTATTATACGTGGTGCCATTGAAACTATTCCCATTTTACAGTTTGATTTATAATTTATAATTATTATCGTAAACGATAAAATAAAATATATTGAATTTTCTTAGCTTTCATTTGGCTTTTATTTACAATAATATTTCGATTTATAGTTTTTCCTGAATAATAACGGTGTATTTTATGTAAAACATTATAATTACAACAATCAGGTTTCTTTGTATTGTGTATTGTGATATATATTTTTTATTTTATACTATACAATAGAAATAAATGGTAGGTTACATAGTGAATAATAGTTTACTTGAGAATTTGGGTCTTGGAAATCACCGACGGAAGCGGTGTCTCCGAAATCCGAATTGTCTAAACGACTCTCGTTAGAAGGCCAACACATGTTGTCTTCGCCGCTTCTTTCGTGAGAGTGTTGGTGAAATGAATTTTGATCTCCACCGTACTCGGAAACTCTGCAGGAATCTAATCGAGACAGGAAACCTCGTCTGGACGGGCTTTCTAAAACTATAACGATAAGAGTACTTAAATTATCTTGTTCTGTCAAAAGTTGTGGTTTATTTTCAAATTTTACCTGACATATTTCTACTGAGAAATTTTTTCCTGGTAGCAAGTTTATTTTCCGCCGCCAAGTTCATACATCTAGTTATTTCGTCTCCCTGATCGGTAAAACACACAAATAAGCCCTCACCTTTGCCACATCTCGAGCCACCCTCATAGCAAAACCGATTTTCAATAACTCCGTACTTTCTGTTGAGTACAAAATGGATTATTTATAGTATAAGCGTTCAAAAGTTCTAAAATTTATTGTACAAAACAAATACCTTAAATGTCGGAGTTCCCAAACACCGACTAATCTTGGTGGGACACCGGTAGTCATCGAGAACCTTAAGTCTTGTACGTGTAACCGAGCGGGCCCTGAAGATATTTTCGACTTGGGCGGACAAGATGCTATTTGGATCAGGAACTGTTGGTCTGCAATATTGATCGTTACATAAAATCCATTTATTTAAAAAATGAAACGTCATTCTGTGTTCAATGAACTATCAATCGTGAATGCATATATGAACGGACCTATTGTGTTTCTGTATTTTTATTATTTTTATTATTATTATTATTACTTTTTTTAACATATAACAAACCACATTTTTACATCCTCATAACTTCTATATACTTTTATTTCGGGAAATTTTTTTATTCTGCAAATCCCTTTTCTTACTTGTTATCTTAACGGTTCCGTGCACAATAGACCTCTTTAAATTCACGATGTATTCTTTTTTATTCGTTGACTGTTCAAACCTTTCGTTACTCAGAACATTTCTAACTTTCGTAATCTCAACAAAAACCTTTAAATTACGAAAACAATAAGAGAAAGTTCTTTTATCATTAAAATATATGTATAAAACGAGTTTGTGTAAATATACACGCAGATACATTTTAAGCCGTTTCTTTATTTTCATTTAACTCGTAGAATACGAAATTTGCGGGCTAAAATGGCTAGTATATTTCGACGAGACAAATAATACCATTCTCAAATTAACACAGATGACTATAATTTCAGATTGATTTTAATAGTTAATTAATTTTCGTGTTTTCTCACCGTCACCCAAGTTTGAAGATATCTTAACTTGCCACTGGATCAGTCTCTCCCTGGTGTCGAAAGCTAGTACAACAGTTACGTCTTGGCAAATAATAGCTATCGTGTTAGATTCTTTATCCAACGTAAACCCTGTAAGTGACATTGCAATTATTATATTTGTTTACATCTTTGTAAATCAAATACTTTGATGAAATAACTTACCAGACTCTATTCCCAAGAAGTGTTGCAAAGATAAGGAAGCCTTCGTTTGACCATGTTTATACCGGTCTTTACTATCTCTGTATAGTTGTAAATGTAGACAATCTGGAAAAAAAAAATAAAAGTTTTAAAATTCAATTATTTTGTATTTTTAAAAGTGCTGTAAACTTTTTTTTGTTACGTTCGCGAGGAACGTTTCTCCTGCCCCATCGATTAGATTATTTATTGGTAAGTAATTGTTTTCTAAAAATGTTTATAAAACACATCAACGACAATTACTCTAACAACAACAGTTAAACTTTCATAGTGAAACAATTATATTCAGAGTCTAAAAGTTTCGGGTGAGGACAGATCGGAAGTATAAAAAGGACGGGTGTAATAATCGGCAATGGTGACATAAAGTTTCTATTCGTCCGTCTCCCCAGTGAAATTATAAGTTAAATGTTTCTTGAACAAAAGTTTATTTCCGTGGGTCTTCATTGGTCCTCCGAATAGATGTTTGCCCAGCTACGATCAATAAATTATCAATCTGTGTAAAATGTTTTGCAACACCCCGACGTTGTGTTTTGTAGTGTCAAAGAACTTTGTGTTTTTCGTCGAACATGGGGGAAATGAAAAAAAATAAAAATAGGGGAGCCCAGGTGTTTTAAAGGAAATCACTTCCATTTACACCAAAAAATATTTCAAAGGCATCGGGATGAATGGGGATTGGACGTGTATTCTGAAAAGGGACAGTTTATCAGGCGCGAATATTTTAGGGGAGGAAAGCTTGACAGATTTGTAGCCATGTTAAAATGCTTCCTTGTTGAGTATTTATCGAAAACGTTATTGGTATTGCGCCAAAACTGTTTAAGGATCCCGCAGAAGTTTGTCCTTGGAATTGGAAAATTACGTTCACATAATTCTAACGAATATTTACTTTTACGACAAACAATACTAGTGCACTAGTCATATCTATATATATTTCAGTTTAGGTACTTTTCCATTCTTTGCATCTCATTTTCGAATTTATTAATTTAAACATTTGATATTTTAACGGTAGATTTAACTAAAGATATATTTTAAACATTGTATTGTTTAGAAAATCTGTGCAAATAATAGCCAAAATTTAAAAATATAATTTTACTGTTAAATCATCATCGTTTTGTTTAGCTAGTCTTAATGCAAATATCACACTCTTAAGTTATTATACCAAACTACATAATTCATTAAAATCATTTTAGAGAGTATATATACTTAAATTCGATTTAGACATTGCATTTAATTCGAAACTTTGTCATTAGTTAAATCGGATTGAAAATGGCCGCTTTGCCAAAACTATTATCTCAACATTAATAATTGATATTCTTGGGATTTATAAAGTTTATAAAGATCATGAATAATTGTTGTTAAGAATATTTCTTAAATACTTGTATTAATATAGCTTATAACCAGTAAAAAACAAATGAACATTATTTTTATGTTTTTTTTTTTTTTTTAAATAATTCAACCGTGTGAAAAATCGATTTTAAAAATGTACTTTACGGTATAATATTTATTTGTAATACTAAATCCATTTTATATGGTTACAATGTCTATATAGTAGCGTTGATGTGTGTTGAATATTTAATTAAACGGGGAATATTAATATGTATGAGGTCTTGAAATAATATGAGTTTAATACGGTTTTTAAGTATTATTAGTGTTTTAAAGTACCTTATACTACCTACTTAAAACGTACATTATTTCGTTGGTTAAAAAAATATTTTGAATATTTTGAGGGTCGTGTGTATAATAAAATTATAGTGTATATAGTTACTGCTTAAGGGAAACTATAAAAACAGTAACACCGCGACACGGGCAAAAAAACACGAAAACCATAATGTTTCTAATATTGACGATAAACACAGTATATTATAATAATACATTGTAGAAATCCCCTCTAGTGATGAATTTTCTTGCTTTTTGACGACGTGAAATCGTGTCGAACGACCGTTAAAAACCGATCGAAACAACTAGTGTATTATTTCGCTATACGGGTACATTTATTTTTTTATTTTTTTTTATTGAAAGTACAGTTTCTATTTTCCGGGTACCTACGGTTTTATGCGTGTATACTGTGTAATTATATTGGTTTGTAAATGCGACTACACGAGCCGACGATTATTGTTTGTTGAGTTTTTAATTTTACCGGGCCGCGTTAAATATAGTACGTATGTATTTTAATAATATTATTATAACCCGGTAATAATTGCCTATTAAAATTTCACGACGGGGTTCAATAATTTGTTTACGCGTGAAGTTTACATGATATAGCGACAATTCATAAAGGTCACTACGCGCGGTCTGTTTTAGGACTAATCGTTTTGTTTTTATACATAATCAAACACGGGGAAATGACGAATAGTCGGATATTAGTCCTGTATGTTCGATTATTTGTGACAGTGAAGCGGAGTCGATTTCTAGTTTGGGGTGTGTCGTATCGACGGAGGAACGCGATAGTCGGCGAGGGAAAACAATAATATGCGCCTACTGCAGTGGATATAAATATTTCGTATCGAATTTAAACGTTATGCGATGCCACGGAAAAGAATATTTGGAAGCTCCTGAGTGGTCTATAATATAATACGTAATGTAAACATTTTATGAGTTTCATCATCGCATTCCGCTGATTTTGAGATAATAATAATTTTCTCACGTACATTGAAAAGAAAAAACCGTCTCGATGACAAAACACTCGACTTGACAGGTGCATCAACAGCATTATTAAAGTCTAATGTGGGAAATTGAAGGTTTTTATTTCTAATGGTAAAACCATCCAGTATTTCGTTCCAAAATATACAATTTTAAGTACCCGTTTCTATAGTTTACACGTCTTTGTTGTATATAAATCCGTTTTCTTCATGGCGTGTTTTAGGTAACTTATCCAGGTCTTTATAGAGCATTTATATACGATATGCAGAGTAATAAATTGTATACTTGAGAATATTCTTAAAGTAGTGCTTTAGTCTCTAACTCGTATACGATTTTTCACATTTAAGCCCGAGGTCCGGTCTATTTTGACTCAATTGTTATTTGTTAATATTTTTTAATAAACGATACTCCCATCGTGCTGGCGAACCGTAAAAAAGAGGGCCCTTTAAAACGCGAGGTCTGAGGCAGACGCTCTCCACGCCTTCCGTCATATCCGACCCTGACAACTCGTGTATTTATCGAATTAATAATCAATACACATTTATCTATAATTACTTTATAAATATAAACTTTAATTTACATTTGTACGTAACGCTAAACGAAGTACGATTCTGAGGAGAGTATTATTAGTTGTATTTTTCGCGTATTACCGAAGTAATACACTAATCAAAAATTATACAAAAAATTGCTAGTTTTTCCCATTTATTAAGAATAAAACTACATGGAAAATTTAATAATCGATCTTATCAACGTCTCAACTATATCGAAAATTATTTAAAAAGGTTCCAATAAAGTTTTCGACTGGCATGAGACTTCTGATAGAAATGTTGTTTACAGACGTGAAAAAAAAAAATTGAAAAAACACCCGTCACAATAGTAAAACCAATACATTATTCGCTTCGTTCAGAATCTAAAATAAAAAAAAAATCACTCATCCGATGTCCGGCATATATCGTTAAGGTATATAATATATTTAACGGGCGATGTGGTTTTTAAATTGAATCGCCGCAATATAACAGTGCCGTAAGTATGTAAAGGGGACTGGGGGGAGGGGGTGGGAGGTCGTAACGTCCAGATACCGCCCAGCAAAGTACCCTAATAAACGTTTTCCCGACAAAAGCAAATTGTGCGTCCCGACGGTTTCTGTAACGGTGTATGACACGCGATTTGTCGTCGGCCCGCCGGAACGAACACTGATTTAGGTTTCCTGCGGCGGGTGAGGGAAAATATCTTTCGTTATATTATTATACGCTATATACATTTATACGCAACACAACCCCGTCAATTTGTACGATTTATTGCCCAATCGGATTTCAGAATATAAGGACGAGGAGATATAATAATATTAATAATAATGTATATCTATGCGGCCGCCGCCGCCACGCGACACGCAAATATATTATCTCATACCACGCGTTGACTGCGTCCAATTTGTTGAAAATTCACTGCCGTGGTACTATTATATACCACTAACCGTTAACTTGGTGAGTATACTTGCAATACACTGCGAAGCGTTTAAACGGCCCACTAAGTTTATTCGTATAGTAGAGGCGTGTGTAGGTGTGTTTTAATAGGACCGTCGTCGTCTGCGTTGAGAATGAATTATTTTCGCACATATACGGTTTTCGCAAAGAGCTGATTATAATTTCACAAATGATAAAATTAAAATTGACCGTTGACGTAGCCTTTCACAGAGAGAAACGTTCGGGTCGGCCACGATTGTTTCATATAATTATACGCCGTCGATTAGAATTAATAATTTTTGTACTTTGAGAGAAGCAAAAAAGCTAACATTTCGTGGGTGCACGTGAAAAAGATGTTTAATCAATGTTTCCGAACTTCTCAGCAGACCGAAAATAAACATTAACTGAAATCGCAATATCAACGTTTTAACGTTTTACCCATGATATAGGTACTGATTAGGATTGTACGCGTTTTTCTGTATTGTTTAGTATAATTTTCAGATTTTAATGTGCGATATTCGGCTGTTTTTCTATCAATTTAAAAAGTAAAATAAAAATTCACTTAACTTATCCCGCGTATTGATTTAAATCATCTGACAGTGACTTGACTTGGTTGACATCAGATTCGGGAAACATATTGTTTGGGTTAAGTTGACTACTAACTCTCCTAACACGGTGCATATAAAAAGTGTATAATAGTTTAAGTCGCTGCAGTATGTTATGCGACACGACTTAAAACGATTTTTACATGTTCATGCCTCAAAAGATGCGGCCGACGGTACTTTAATCGAACATTTTTTCGAAATTCCTAAAACGTTTCTCGAACGATTATATACTGTGACGAAGTAATACTGTTTATTTTAATACACCAATTTAATGTGTTCGTTCTGGTGAGTATACGGAAAACGTTTGCGATTTATTGAATTGCTATTTTTTTATTGTACGACCATTTTAGCGAACGAAATAATAATGATTGTAAACATCACGTTCGATTTAATGTTTATCGGAACTATTCGCAGTCCAAAATTATCAAACAAAATAGATTACGAAACGAAAAATTTTCATTTTCTCAATTCGATCATCCGTGTATAATAATTGTTTATCGATCGAACTCTGTTCCCGGAAGCAGTAATTTTAAATCGGTCGCCATTTGTAAATTATATTTGTATTAGGAATTATTATTCGCAGTAGACTTTAAATTTTCTGTTTTTTTTATTTTTTATGTCCCTTCATTTAATTGAAATATATATATATAATGATAATAATAATATGTATTTTATTTTTTCGCATCGTCGACAATTTCATGCATAGTTAGACGGTCGGAGCACCGGGCCGGATTGCATAATACGCGAATTCAATTTGCACGCGGGGGCGCAAGAGACGACGGAGGTGTACATACCTCGGTCGGTATATTATATATTCGACAGGAAAAGAAAAAAAGGGATTGGTTACGAGACCTGAGATAGGAAAAAAAAAAAATAAATAAAACAATGAACGACTATATACGAACGCGACTCGAACGGAGTCGAATCGCCACGGCCGTCGGCATATCACGGGGAAATTCCGAGGGAAACGTCACGCCGCCGTCCGGGATCCCAGGGCAAATCTTAATGACTTTGGCGTTCTCGACGTCTTTGGTTTCGGGACAAATTGAATTTCACCCCGACCCCGTCGGCCCCGCGCGCGTAAAACTGCTTTACCGTCCATAATCGAGTATTTAAATTAGACCGCGGTCGTCTGTTATTTGCTCTTTCCTTTTGTCCGACAGCGTTATCAATTATCATTATCATTATTATTATTATTATTATTATTATTATTATTGTCATTACCGTCCTTGGCGCAATTATATCGTCACTGCACAATAGCGTTCAGCGTGTATATGTCGCGTCCGCGCGTAAGTGATACGCGAAAATTAATCGATAATTTCCGTTTAACGTACAAAATAATAATATTGCGGCGCGAAAAGTGGAAGAAAAAACGACGGAGGAATAAAAAAGTCGGCCGTCCGTGTATAATAATACAATACAAAAAAGGCCATCGCGAACATTCGACTTTATCCCGTGCGATTCCGTCCGTTCTTTTTCAAGTGCGATCTGATTATATCAGCTGTATTATCATCACTTCTACTGTCATTTTTCGCTTTTTTCTACTACTGTATTGATTTTCGCTGTTATTTTTACGAAGTCTTAACGCTATAAATCATAGTTACATATTTATAAGCAGTGGCGTAGCCAGGGGAGCTGGGTGTTTTAACTCCATCCCCACTATTGGTAAAACATTGCGCCACTGTTTATATAAGCTATAATAAAATATATTTCAAATTACAGCAAATATAATTTAATAATTAATAAAGTACACCTTTATAGTATTTTATGTAAAGTTCGAAATTATATTTTGGAATTATTTTCGTATTATCAATGGATATTATAATTACTTACTCAAGCGAATATTTTAATCCGGTATAGTTTCTACTCGGTTTGGTAGATTTTCGGTTATTTTAAGTTTTGATAAAATATAATACCCGTGTCGTATTATAATATTTATTGTTATTATTATTATAATTGAAAATCGTTCAATTTTTAGCGACAACAATATATAGGTAACACAGTTTCTTATTTGTGTAAATTCAATGTATTCGAGTGTCACGAACTCACGAATCGATTTTAGTTTTTATTAATAACTACTTTATTTATCTTTTATCTTCTATCTGCATCTTTGGTTTCAGAGAAAAAATAAGCATTTTTGGATTTTTTCGTGTATATTCGTTTTCCTTTAGTTTTTGGTCCAAACGGCATACGTGTATGCGTATTCTAACACACGTGATATTATACTGAGAATTAAAAGACTATATTCAGTCACTGGGATGTACTTTTCGTCTGGCGAAAAATGGCACGAGTCAAATAATACGGGTTTTGAGCCATTTAGAACGATCATTTAGGTTATTAGATCGTTTAGCAATTATGGCATTTCGTAATAATTTTTAAATTAATTTGCTTGTGTTTAATCTATACAAAAGGGCCAATGTATGTACATATTCGGTTTGAGTCGTATATACTCAAAAACTACTCGACCGATTATTCGTAGAAAATCCCACGCATATTGAATGTATATCGACGAAACGCCATTTTCTAAATTTTTGTCGAGGTTGAACTCTCCGAAACTCTCGTTACATACGCTCGCGATTAATGCGAAAAACGTTCTTGGTCCTTTCCCCCCCCCCACCAGTACGAAATTTCGACTGCGTCACCGTAAGTATACAGTATATAGTTGTATACAATTATACACGCGTTGTAAGTGCGGTCTTGTCGAAAATCACGTACGAACACATTACTCGGTCAGCACTCCCCCCGTGCAGTTTTCGCAAATTTTTAATTTTTTCTTTTTTTTTCGCGCCAAACCATTTATCTCCCCGTCATCGCTCGTTCGGTCTGTCGAAAACGCGCTGCACCCGGCGCCCGCCGCGTTGTTTCCGGTGTCGAAAACAGACGGTTTGCAGAAAGTTTGGCTGCGCACGGAGCGCGCGTGTCCGAAAACAATAATAATAATGTCGTAAATTGCAAGACGCGGACTTCTCTCATTTCTTCTACCGTGGACACGCGCGCCGCGGTTCGGGTTACGTCCGCACACATCCGCACATATTACGCGCGTCGTATTATTTACGTACAAAACACCTATGTAATACAAACGGCACGAGTTGTCGAAAACGTGCTCCGTATAATATTATTACACGAATAATATTGCAGTTATTATACGTGAACGGAACGGCGGCGGTCGTATTTCAAAACGCGCGGCTGCAGCACACAGCGGCCCGGGCAGACGACGTCCGGTCGACGTCTCCCCGCCGCCGTCGGTTTTCCGTTCGGCCCGCGGCAACAATGACGCGGCAACAAAACCGCTCGCCCGGTCCGCGTTTACCGCGCGGCAATTCTCGTAAAGTTTTTCGCCGAACTTAGCGACAGCAGTCATAACGCGGGCCGACCGAGGGGACGGCAGTCCACTAGACGCGCAGGCGGGCAGACAGGCGGGCAGGCATGTGCGCGTTACGTAGTTTTCCGAACGGCGCGCGGTAAACGTATATAACAACACGGTGTTAGCGAGGAGTCAATCGGAACTTATTGGATTTTTGTCGAAGCGGCCGTGTGTGCGATGATATTGTAGCGCGGTGTACCGGGCGAGCGTGTATCGCACTGCAGCAGTCGGACGGCTGCGGACGCGGGTATAAAAGTACTTAACCCGCCGCACAAAACGTTACGCGACTCCCGCCCGAACCGTGTGAAATACGATTGCGACTATACACGGGTAAATGATATGTTCGGCGCGTCGTCGGACCTCGGCGTTTTACGGACGCAATAATAATACCGTAATAAATATTGTCCGAACGAACGAGTGGCGTTGACGGACGTGCGTGACGTACGCGCGACGAGCAGGAGCACTTTTGACCGTGTTACAACACCGCGGCCCGCGATAACTCGGAGAGGGGGGGACGCACGGCGAGGCTGTAGCGCCGGGTCGCGGGTTGAAGGGGGCCGCGCGACGTGTGTTTTCGTTGATCGGTCTTTTAAACGGATCTAAAGATTATTATTACAACGAATCTTTTGCTGATGACTCTTTTTATTTTTTTATTTCGCTTATTGCAGGGTTGGCAAATGCTTAGCCCCGGGCTCCCACGACCCCAAGTCCGGCCCTGTGTGTACATTTAGTTTTGTTACGACTGCTGTCTAAGTTATCGATCGTTTTTCAACGGAATATTTAACGATTATCTACAACGATAAGTCAACTCGACGCCGCCGGTAGTAGATCCGAAGCTTGGCGTCAGCTATAATATGTCGAGAGGTGACGTTTTGTCGCGAATTACGAGCACGACAAATTATGTCCACGTTGCGACGACAACACGAAAGATATTTGAAAATAATCTCAGAAATATTGTTTCTATATTGCCGCATAATCCGTGCCACGTGTCGTGGATTGCAATTCACCCTCTTATAGTATACGGCTGTTAACTTTATACCTTTAGTGCGAACCTCTTTAATCCATGGACGAGCGCAGAGTTCTCGATCAAAAGTTATAGCTTCTCTTATTAGGCACCTTTTATTTCATTTTTTATTCTAAAAAGTACAGTCAGCATACGAATTAAAATTAATTATTAAATTAGTCAAAAACGAGTGGGGTACCCCTAAACTTTAACAAAAAACGTAAATTCGTGTACTCAATACTTTTACAAATGCTTTCCTTTATTATATATTTAAAAAACGTATGCAATTCGTCCGTGTCCAATGTTGATGGTTTGAAGAAATCAATATTACTTCTTTAATATTATTGTTTTTTAAGTTTCTTGATCGACAAATTATAACAATAGAAGAGATCTCGGTATTTCTTGTAACATTGTGTTTCTAAATTTTGTCTTCAGTATTGTTAACTTAGAAAACAGTCTGTCATGGCTACAACTAGCGGCAGGTATAGTAGTAGCAAAACCTTTTTAAATTGTCGTGATCATAGTAATGTGCGGGAAAAATAGTATTAACGTTACCTCACAGGTATTTTAAATTGCTTAAATCGTGCAGCTCTCTCATAGTCCAGTTGTTCTGGATTGCGGAAACATCTTGCAATTTTGATTTCTAGTACTTAGCGTGAAACGATTATTGCGCATTACTAGAAATCTAATGCAGCGGTACACCGGTGCTCGTGCCACATCGGCATTGGTCAATTTACACCACTGCGGTGTACGTGGTTCCGGAAAAGGCAGATGCATGTCTAGGTTGCATCCGTGCACACGCTTATGCTATAATCTCAATCTAATCGCCTATCTAATCGTTTTGTATATACGACTTTTTAAAATATTTACCTATGCGACTTTGCGTAATGTTTCATAATGTACGTCGTATTACATAAACGACGGGCGTTTAAAATGGTGTGTAAACTATGCATGTATAAAGTTTCCGTTAAACGATACTGCAGGCGAATGATATTACTTATAGACGTTATTGTTTCGGTGAATCGATACAGTTAACGATATCTAGTAGATTCGTGTACACCGGTTTTTTTTTTCTTTTTTTTTACGTAATTCCGCGTGTTTTTTCAAACACTATCGCGACGAGTTAATCGATTGTGCAAATATACTTACTGAAATTGTTTATTATCATTGTGATATACTGCTGCTGCAGCAATGTTTTGTGTCAGCGGCGGCGCGAGCGTTTCGCCATGTCGGTCGTATTTCTTTTGTTCTTTCGGGTGACTCAATATATTTACATGTCGTTCGGATTGCCGAGAAAATACATATTATTATTATTATCGTTGGGTTTTGTTATTGTATAGGTATACGCAGTGTCGTGTGCGAGACGAAATCGTGTGTACGGTGCAGGCTGTTTATTCGACTCTGTGTTCGCAGACTGATAATGCTTATACACGACGATCGAAGGACTAGAAAGTGTTCGAATGTTATTAAAGAGATAGAGAAAGAGAGAGATACGGCTCTTATATTGTGTATACGGGGTGATCAACATAACCTAAAACGCTTGTTATATCGGAAAGTACATACTATTTTAGAAAATTTAAGAAACAAGCATTTCTCTAATGAGTAATAGAACACTTTACAATTACTAAAATGTTGGTGTCAGGACGTCGGAACTTCTAAAATGTTATACTACCGTTATTTTTTGTTACCCTTATTTCAGGGGGAGAAGTTAAAACCACTATTCACTTTTAGTTTTTAAATAGCACTCTATATTAAAAAAAAAAAAAAATACACAAACGGATGAAGTTTTAGTTAAAATACATTTCGGTGTTGGAATTTTTAACTTCCGTCAATCCATTGACGGGACATTCGATTTGTAAGTTTGTTGTTTAGTATAGTTATATAGGGGGAGATTAATGGAGCATCATTTGTTTGGTGGCGACATGTGTGTCATTTGAATAATACGTCTTTGGCTGTTTCAAGAAATAAAAAATTAAAAGTGGAATATCTCGTCGACACATTTTATCACGGAAATGTGTTTGAACTTAAAATTTGTCTAATCGCGGAAATTTCAATATGGATTGCTATTTGGAAATCGAAAGTGAGTTGCTTGTGAGTGGTTTCGCTCCTAAAATTAAGGGTGACGTAAATTACGGTAATACGATGTTCCAATGCCACCCGTTTTTTCCTCTAACGTTTTAAAAAAGCAAATTTCCAAAAAAAGTTAACGCTTTTCGAGACGGCGAGCGTCTTGTGCTATGTCGATCACTCCGTAGGTGACGCAAGAGCCGTCTCGTGAAATCCAAAAAAAGAAAATATCCTATTTTCCTTATAATATACCTATACTGCCGCTTCGATTGTGGTGATGTCGGTGGGTTTTCGTAAACGATAATAATATCGCGTCTATACGTACGCACGCAGTATAACGGTTTTTTTTTTTTGGGGGGAGGGTGGAAGTGTAGGCGAAATGGAAAGTAAACAAAAATAACAATAATAATATCATAACAATATCCCGGAGTATAACGAATCGGCGTTATAAAAATACTCGTCGGCTCAAATAATATTGATAATAATATCGTATAGGACTCAGTGGGTAAACGCCACGGGCCTATGACATTTAAGGGCCCCAAACCAGGGCTCAAGGCATTAACGGAAAGGCCTTTTTTTGTTTTTTGCTCATCGGCCATGATGCTATATCTCGCCATGGGTATGGAAAGTATTAGAAGTTATATAGTTACGTCACTGATAGGACTTAATACAATGCCTCTGTGATGGTACGACATATAGCCGTATGCGGGGACGGCGCACCGAATATTGCGGGCAAAACGCTCAAGGGTTAATGAAATACAAGAAATTATACTAGGTTCTAAATATTATACTCTATGAATTCGAATAACTTGTCTATTGCAATGTTATAATATTATGCTCACATGTATACAGTTATTTATGTATTTTATAACGGTGCGACTACGAAGATCGTTCGGAATTCATATGAGTTATTGTGCTAAAATTGTCGGAAATACGCGTGCGGTACAAGTATTATCGTAATGAAATCAGATAGGCGAATTGAAATAGCAGTCGTTTGCACCGGATGAACGTACACAGAAACATTTGGTCGTTTCGGTACCTATTTCTCTTCAAACAACGCCCAGCCCGATATTATATTATCATCTACATAATATTTGAAATCTCGGAGTCTCGATTACGGTATATATTTGGCTCGGGGATCTATCGGTGCGAGGCTTTGCACAAACGCAAGGCCTCGGACAAAATTCGTATCTCTAGAACCAGACTGTCAAAATTTAATAATTTTGAGTTATGACTACTCACTTTGGGTAGCAAACTATCAGCTCTATATGACTGAAGAACGCCATATTCAATATCATTTTATCACTAAAAAGATGTACCAGTATAGATTTATTTGATTCTTAGCTAATTTTCAAATCAACAGAGTCATATTTTACTTTATGACTTTTAAGATTTATACATTTAATTATTGAAGTCAAAATTCAAGACTACCCTATTATTTATATTTGTGGCTTTTTTATGCTACATAAAAAATAATTTTCTGGTGATAATATCTCTGATACGATTATGTTCAGTTCAATACTACCGTAATTCAGTTTATGGCTGTATAATGCAATACAGCCATATCTCAAAATACGGTGATACTCGATTGAGCACGATCTTTATCGGCCGACCACTTTTTTGACGGTCCGATTAAGCACGATAAAAAAAATAAATATTGCGTATAACGCTGTCAGATTTTCACTAGTATGTATGCTGTTTAGATTGCTAATAGGTGAATACTAATGCAGCTGAAAGTTTTCACAGAACATACAATTCCCAATTTTACAAGGCATATCCACATATACATTTGGTTATTATAGTGTTATAAGAAACTCGGGCTGAACGAAAATTCAATCTATAGCGAGTAATGGTCATAAAAAAATTAGTGTTATCGAAAACCAAAAAAATTAACTTCACTTTAAACGCTTATAAGGAGTACTCTGAATTTAAAAATGCTGACAATCTACTTAAATATTTATTAAATGTCGGAAATAAGTATTTAGGGAAAGAAATTTAAATTTTAAATTTTGTCATGTATGAGTGGTATTTTTCAACCATTTTTATTTAATTTTTTTTTTTTTATATCCATATTCGGTATTTAGGGGAACACATTTTAATTTTGATATATACTATACTAACTAACCCAGCAAACGCTGTCTTAATAGGTAATAATAATATGTAATGATATTTAATAATAATATGTAATTAAAAACTAATAAAAGATTTGTTTTATAAATATTTATGTTCAAATGTATTTTATTTTTTAACAACTCTACGGTACGAAGTGGCAACGTCGCACCTATTTCCAGCTTCAAAATAAACTTCAAATCGTTTTTTCTCAAAACTATACATTTTGAATTGTGGCAATTTTGATCTAGGAGTGCGGTTAATGTCCAGTAGTGTGCTCCCTATCCTTCCACCACCGCGCGCCGTCCGCGGATATATTGACAGGGGTGCGATCGGGGCAGGGATTTAGAGTTTAAAACCCCACCCTGAAATTTGAGATTTTTTTACGAATTTTACGTAAAATACGTACAGTCAGTTATCCGCAATGGCACGATTTCCCCATTTCCCCACTCCCCGATAACGAATTCTGGTTTCGCCACTGTCAAGCTATATAATAGGTATAAAGTATCGAGCACGCTCGTGTCAAATAAATCGCGGTGCCGACGACGCGACAATCACGTTTTCAGAGCGGAATATAATTTCCGAACGATAATATACAACTGTACTGTATTTCCCGTGGCAGCCGTTTGTTGTATCGTTGCAGTTATAAAATATACACCGAATATTATTACCGACTGTATATTCGGACGTGGCATATTCTATAATACACACACACACACACACACACACACACATATATATATACACCCACACACATATACACACACACACACATATACGAGTGGTGTATGACTGAACGAGTGTTATCGCAAAGCGTACAAAGTAATAATACGATTACTATATTGTACATAGGTATTTTCTCGTTTTTAATCCTCGCAGAAACCGAGGCAAAAGTCCCCGGCGCCCGTATATTGCGACCAATATATAATAAAATAATATGATGGTGAGATATCACGGCGTCTTATATACGTATATAATATTATCGGTGCGCTGTAAAAGGACCGGGGCCAAAGAGGTTCCTCCGGGCGCGTTCTGCAAGTCCCTTTTACCCGTTTCAAAGGCCCCCTCGGCACGTCGCCGTCCGTCATCGCAAATCGTATTACCGGTGACCGGGTATATACCGGCCGCTGCCGCCGCCGTGGCCGTCTTATATACACGCGTAATGTACTTAGGTTTGTGCTCGCGTCCCCGCGGACGACCATAAATAAAATCGCGCGTTTACAGCGCGATATATTACCGCCCCCGTTGTTTTCTTTTTTTCCCTTCTTGTCTCCCCTTCCCCACAGCGGCCGCCGTAGTCGTAAGAATCCACCTAACCGTTTTCCCCTACCCACGAGACCATAATAATATATATTGTATAAATATACCCGCGGGCCAATGACCATGATGATGTATTTCGGTTAGAGATATTGATTTTGCAGGTACATTTTTTTTCGGTAAATTTAGGTACTTGCGTAAAATTCTATTGCAATCTATATGCAACCCAATAAGAAAAACCGGACGTATGGCCACCCTGCAAATACATCAATGTAAATAATATGTCGACGTTTCACGGAAAGAGAACTCAGCTGGCAGTGATTTCTGGACTGATTATATGTAAAGGTACATTTACACGGTGACAGTAACACTCGAAAACCACCGTCGTGATAATCGCTGTCGTAGAACTGTCATCAGGTAAATCATTCGATAATAGTTTTTATGACAGTATGATAGTAGTTACTTCGAACTTTTATCGTGTAAACACTATTTATACAATTATTTTTAAAAATATTTTTAGTACCCTCTCCTCTAGAATTCTTTTTTATCTCTTGACCTTTACATTTCAAGGAGCTTTTGTTGCCAAAACCGCAGTACGCTGTCAATCTTCTTGAACCATACCTCTTCATCCATCCATTACCAAGATCCTCATCATCTAAACACCGAAACATCTTTTTCTGGTAGACTTTATCACCAGGCCTACTTCACTGATATAGTTTTAGCTCTGTTTTAAGGGTACTACATTATTATATTCTTATTATAATAAACTCTATATCCTTTGCTTTTATTGATAAAATGGTTTACTGCAGATGCCACATCGACTGTGTGTCATGCAATTCTTTATATCGTTTCTTATTCGTCAATTATTTGTTGTTTTATCATAAATAATGTCACAGATTGTTCTATGCAGCTTTGTTATCAGCTTCCTCTCTGTCTGGTTAGTCGGCGTTCACGTTAGACGGCCTTAAATATGGATCGGTTTTTTATCATAGCTATCTGTTATTTCAGTTCTCCTAGAAAGTAGTTCCTATAGGAACGGTTTTCCTACTATAGGATATAACCAAGTTGAACCCTTCGCACGCAGCGCTATTCCGACGGAGCAGTACTAGATGAAATAGGTGCGTAGGCGTACATTCGCGGGTTACCCAGTCGTATGAAAATATTATACTATTATTATTGTTATTATTATATTCTCGTGTACTATACGCTCGTATTGATTTTATTGGCTGTCAGTGGTCACATAACAAATGAAATGGTCTATAGGGGCCCCGTGATAATCATTTTTCATCGGTACACGTCAAAAACCACCGCCGCCGCCGCCACCGCCACCGAGTTCTTCCCCCTTCGCGTCTTGGGTAAAATATTATATACATATACAACAACACAGTGTACGTTTTCCCGGGTGAAACGCACGAATAATAAATAAGTAAACCTTGTCAGTTGTATTACGCGCCGCCGCCACCGCCCGACGATTGTTGTAAATAAAACAAATATCGAAAATATGAAAAATTATTGTTTTTTTATTTCTTTTATTTTTCCTATAACGCGACGACGGCGTTTTCGACTTTTTTTTTTCGTTACGTTTTTTTTCCTTCTTTTAACCGCCTGCGTATATATGCGTGTACGACGACAACGGGATTTTCTCGAATGTAAAGCCGAATCGAATTATTCGTCACGTTTCATCGTCACAAAAACACCGTGCGGCTTGTATAATATAATACACGAGTGCGTGCGCTTTCTATCGCTTTCTATAGGCGCGGGCGCGAGCGCGAAATGCCATTTTCTAATTGCCGAATTCGCATTACAAACCTCGCTCGACGACCGGCCTGGAAAAGTAATGTAAATCCACGCGAAACGAGCGCGGATACGATGAATCCGGTCTGTTTATCTACCTTTTCAAATACAGCGGTCTGGATGCTATACGTATATTATTATTATTACAATCGAAAGTTATAATATATGCATATATATATATATAATTTGTTTTGAAAATATTATTTATTTAGGTGGTTTTTTTTGATTATTTTTTAACGAGAATCCGTTTCGCACAATATATACGCATAAACCGAGTACAAATAATATAATAATATTATTCCGCCAAAAACCGCCCGGAAAACGTTTGGCAATATTTTCGTTTTGTTGCGAAAACAAACTCGGAATACGGCTACTGTACCCTCTCGGTTCTTTTTTTTTTTATTTGATTAAAAACCGAATACATGCCTATTATACATATGTATTATACACGACGACGCGATTGGAAATTATTATTCTTATTATTATTGTCTGTTTGAAGAAAAACGTCGTCAATTTCGCATTATTATTTAAACAGTGGGTTCAGGGGGGGGGGAGGGACAGGAGGGATTGCGAAAAACGGTCCGGGATCTATAATAATAATAATAATAATAACATTATGATGATGGTATTCATCGTTAAGCGAAAGAAACGCTCTCGTAGCAGTTGTCTTGCGTGAGGTTATAACGGCCGCGTCTTATCTGTATAATATAAACTATAAAATAAATCGTTAGTATCCTCTGCTATTATTCCGTATAATATAACGTTGTATACACACATTCAATCGTTTTGCGGTGCACGATATTCTTCGCGTTTTGCGGTTATTACCGCGCTCAATACAATATTGCGGTTTCGGGAGATTTGACTGTGCGGCCGTAATGCAAGAAGTGTATCATATATACGTAATATATTGTTATAGCCGACATCGTCGTCATCGTCTCGTATAATAAAAGTCCGCCGACGATCCCTTTGGCTCGCGACTTTATAATATTATTATTATTATTATTATTATTATTCCATATATCGATTTGGCACGGATATCCAAAAATAAACCGAATAATAGCTCGTCCGAACGGTTAATATTTTCCGAGCACCGACGTCGTTCTCATCTTTACATTCGACATCGGGTTATTTTCCCGGATACCGTTGTTATACTGCAGTCCTGCAGGTACCATTATAAAATACGTGTAACGCGTACACAGGGAACGAGTATACGATATTATACTCGAATCATTCGGGAAGTAATAAATAACGGAATACGGTCGAATTTAAGCAGACGCGTAGTTATAGCTGCGGGATAGCCACGAGCGACGAGAGCGTTTCATGACATACCGGCATTTCCCGAAAGCGTATGCGTGGAGTGTGGCTCTATATTATGTTGGCGAAACTTGAACATGGCGTTATCGAAAAGCGTGTACGATTAAATGGACAGAAAGAATAATAGACACTGAAAAAGCACTGAACTGCGGAATAATGGAAAAAACGAGAACTTTCACGTAGTATAAAAGTCAGAAGGGACAAAATGATAGCTTAATGAAACGCGTCGTGTAAGGTCATATCGAAAGAGGAAGCCCATAAAGGACGAAGTACGTGAAACAAATCACGATGGACATGGATACGGATAGTTGCAAGGAGTTAAAGGATTTAAGTAATAAAAGAGTGGTAAACTGTTAAAAACCAACGGAGGTTAGGTAAGGTCAAGGCAAATGAAGACGGGAAGAACATTGGTAACTTGTTCGGTGAAAACTTTTCCGATAGAAATCACAATAATTCATACGCACGTTTGCATTCTTCGTTATCATAATTATTACGACATAATGTATAGAAAAAAAAAAAAAAATGATCGTTCATCGTCATAATATAACCTTTAAAGTCTGAAATCTTTCATCACAGACCGTCACTTCCAATATCTCTTTTAGGCCTATTCGCGCATTTCCTCTACATACAAGCTTTTTTTTTCATAGTCACCACTGAATGTTACTGCCTTGCAGACTTTTTTCGTTGCCTGTGTTCGTTTTGCCTTTGTCCCTTCCCCTAGTAGCCGATTATTGGGTACTTTTGCCATTTCTCTCATATCTATAATTTTTCTTCTTCGCCAGTAATTCGATTCGTCGTTATTGTTCCGCATATTCATCCAATCATTTTATTCGGCGGACATTCGTGACGCGCTAACGTTTTCGGCGATGGCCGCGGCAGAATACGTGAAGTGTTTATAGATGACGCGATTTAACGCGCGACGGTCACGGGAGACGATGGGCGGCCGTAGCCAATAAAATACGTTAAGGACTTGTTTCTTTTTATACACATAATTTAATTTTTTTTTTGCCGTATTAATCGGTACCCAAGAGAGTACGTGCAGCGGTACGAACGACCAAAGTTTACGCGATCGAAAACTGCGTGTAAAAAAAAAAAAAAAAAAATAAACGTACGGAACGGCGACGGTAACGAGAGTTAGGGACAAGGGAGTCGAAACCGTTAGGTTTTTTTTTTTTAATATAATAATATAATATGAATATTGTGGCCGCCGCCTTTGGCCCCACGGCAGTCGACGGTATTTATGATTTATGTCGTACAACGCGCACGTTCGAATGCAAATCGAGCTAGTTTTCTTCGCCACCGCCGCCAGACGAACCCTCCTCCGGGAGAGGGGACTCTACGCGTTTCCGTGGTTCATGGGTTTATACGTCCGCAGTATAGTGTATACCTATAATACGTCCCCGTATACGTCTATACACACACCGTACTACCCGCCCCTCGAAACGCGTATAGTGCGCGCGTTATATTATTTAATAACTCGAAAAGTCGATTTCCGGGCCACGGGCCACAATAATTGCAGCTAGGGAGCTACCCTGGACTGTATACGTGTACACGGGTGCGTGCGGGACTTGACGATATTTCGGGATATATCGACTGGCTCTTACGCGCCAGTATATACCGGCACGCGATATAATAATAACGCACGGACGAGGGGAGACCGCGGACGTGGAGGAAAAAGTCGCCGCATTTATTATATATACATATTGTATATAAAATATAATATTGTATTATATATATATATCGCGAGTGTTTACAGTGGACCGCGTGTGATGCAGGTGGGAAAGGTGGGCGGAATTATTATACAGGGAACAAAGGGGAAGAAAGACGGAAAAACGGAGGGGAGAAAACGTATTTTCCGAAATAGCTCAAACAATAACTATGTTATATGAATTACGATCGCGCGGTGTAACGGTACACGCGGTATACCTCCTATATAACAATACGTATACGGCAAAAGTCTAATGGCTTTTGCTGGTTTTTCGTTCGCAACGGTTTTTATTATCATGATGCCCGTGCAAGGGCACCTCCTAATTCTTTTTTTTTTTCATATATATATAATACATTGTATTAATCGGACAATAACGCGCGGACGAAAATCACGGGTCCTATTCCGTCGCGGCTCGGCGGTTATTTCTCGTTTTTAAACTTTCGGCTATCGTTAGACTGCAGTGATGTTTATTTGTCGTGGATCGAATCGATTCGTTCGGTGCTCAGGGAAAAGTCATCGTGATCGTACGCTCATCGTGTCTCGATAAAACCCACACAGAATAGTTTAAAACGATCGATTTGTTGTATGCCAGGTTACAGCGATACTATCGGAAATTTAGGTGTTGTTCGACGATCAAATATTTTCAACATTCTATTTATACGTTCAGAGCCGATATATTCGTCATTTTTTTCTTATCAATCTGTGTATTGCTTATTAATCGATTATCGACTATAATCTATATGTTCGTTGTCGTAATTTGTTCAACGTATAATTCGTTTTATAACTAAGTATTCGGCGGATTTTACATTTTTATCTTTTAATGATATTATAATTTAATAAATTGCATATTTTTAACGAATATTGACGCGTGATTGCGTCCAACAGCATTCGACAAAATGTCTGAAAAGGGATATTTTCACCCTCGAATGTTAAAATATTATATTAAGAATCCCAATTCCCAAAGGGGACTTCAAGCGCTTTTTACATACGTTGTGTCATATGAATTAGTTTTCGATAATATGTCCTCAAAACTATGGGAAATTGTTTTCCATAATTGTGATGGTCTGATTACAATATATTAGGTGTAGCCAGTAGAAATTGATCGAATAACAATTCGGTGTTTAGAAGTTTGAGGAGTTTAAAACAGACGCGTGTCACATTACATCGTAATGATGATCTTTTGTGAGAGTTAGGATTTTAATTCATTTTACATTGTTTTTCAAATTTCGCCGCGTGATGCTGGTTTTTAATGAGACCAAGACATTTTGTTTAGAATTTTTTGATTTGAAAGTCTTTTTTTCCTTTCTTTTTTTTTTGAGTGCATTATTTTGAATTTGTTGGTGATCATAAAAGTATTTATTTTTTTCAGGACATTTTCGGGGTTTAACGGGACATTACATTCCCAGCTCTATAGTTATTATATTATATTATTATATTCGAATATATTTGAAAAACCAATGGACCGAATAACGCGCGAGAATGACTGACAGTTCGACGTCGTCGTCATTCTATAGTATTTATTATTGTCACCACGAGTAGTTGAAAAAAAGACGCGTGCGAGTAAGTCTTGGTTAGGGTGAAAAAAAAATTATGTTTCATTGTGTGCGTGTGTACCGTATGGTAATCACGGTGGTTTGATTAAAATGACGCATTGTTATGTTGTCGTTATTCGCGTATGTCATGATTCTTGTGTGTACACAGCCACTGTCAATCGTGAAAATATGGTTTACGAGTATTTTTTATTTTTTTCTATATATTATTATGGCGTATTGTATTTTGTTAAAGATGGTAAGAAAATAAAAAAAAATAATAATATATTCGTACACGTATTTATAATAATATTGAATTATTGAAATAAAGTTTATAATGGACTTTCATCTTTGAACCGGATTTTTATTTTAACTTTATATTATTTTATGCGTCGATGTAAAAGGGTGACCTATTTAATTAAAAAAAAAAAAGAAAAAAAAAAGTAAGTTTGCTTTTATATGCATATATTTTACACTCGCTTGCGAAACTTGCTAAATTGATTGAAATAAAATGGTGAGCATTTTCAAGACCGCCGACCGTAAGTTTATTCATAAATGTCGAGTTGCTCTCGGTATTATATTTAGGCACATAATAAACGAACATATATAAATAATAATTATGATAATATTATACGTAAATGTAAAAGTTTTCAACGCGAGATCGTATTTTAATTTACTAAAACTTGTCTATAATATTTCAACATTTTTTGATTTAATCGTCGTCCACGGAATTCGCGGTTATTAATCAGTGTTTTATCTTAATAAATCATTTAGATAGGTATATGTTTATCGTTTATTTTATCCAGATAAATGAGACATAAGTTATCTGTGGTGAATAATTTAATCGTCTCAGATAACTATATAAAAGTTAGATAAATAAACTATTAAACCACATCAACCGTCACGCTTAATATTTTTACATCTGGATGTGTACCAAATCTGGTATTCTTACTATTTTTAGTACATATAGCTTTAACAAAGGTCATGAACACATTTATCTTTGTCTTTATCTAGATAAAAATTTCTGATTAAAAATAAAATTGTTCTACATCTTTTATCTTCATCTAGATAATTATTTTAGCGCTTATCTCTTATCATTATCTAGATATTTTAAAATGTATACATCTTTATAGACCATTAGCGGTTTAAATTACTATTAATCTTTTAGTTAATCTTTTTGTTTTGTGAACATACGGAAAAATAGAAATCTTATACACGGGTGCCGGCCAAAAGTATTTGCCAATATTTTTTGTCAATTATGGAGAACACACGGAATATATAATAACAATATTGTTAATTACTTAATAATGACTGGCTCATCATCACCAATGTCTTCCTCGTTGGAAAATTGTCTATTCATAATATTATTTGCAATGACACTATTAGGGCGAAAAATACTGCACCATTTTCGAACATGTACTTAAATTATATAATAATAATTTTAAAAAACCTAAACTCGATGGTTATGGTTCGAAGCCGAGAAATACAAATTATCATTATTATATTAGTCCAAACATCGGAAAACCGACCGGCGCAATCAAATATGTTTACAGTTTCGTCGCAAAATACTTATATTGTGGTCGAAAAACGAAAATGCGTAGATCCATATCAGATAAATCGAATTTATTACTATCAGACTGAAACTCGGTGTACTTTATACATAATTCGAAAAATTGTATCCATAACTATATTCTAATATCTTTTTGCAGCAATTATACATATAGGCAGTGTTGAGAAATATCTTTGATACAAGTATCGAACATCTTACATACGTAATATCTAGATACCCGGGTATGATAATGAAGTATTTTCCCCATAGATGGTCGCTACATATTGTAGTTAATTATAGTTAATTGTATGCTAATTACGAATACTGAAAATGATTATTCGAAAATTGGGGAATTTCGTAAAATGTTTCAAATAAATAACGTATCGCGTTTTTTTTTCTTTTTAAGATACTGTATGAGTGAACTATTTAAATTAATATATTAGTATTTTAGTTATCGAGTATTATGTATAGGTAGTATTTGGCATTTAGATTCATCAAATTTAAATATCGAATATCTTGTATTGAAATATTCGTTATACATTACAGTATTTAGTATTTTGTGTTTATCTTGTCCGTCCCTGCAATATACGGGCGAGTACGTAAAATTATAAAAACGAGAATTCGAAATAAAATAATATAACGGTAGGTAGCATTTGGATTTGGTTTTATAAAATTGGAGAGAAAAAAAAAATTGAAACGTATTATCCGTACACGAGTTTAAAGTCGGTTCATCATATTGAAATTGAATGACTGTCAATGTATACGACTTAATATAGATTTATCGAAAGACATTAAATATTACGCTTTGTCTAAATACGTGCAACGATAGCTTTGAACAATATTTTATTTTTCGCTCCCGTTATAAATATAGTTGTACAACAGAACCGCCGCATTTAATACCTTACTGCTAAACATTTATCTTCGATAACGCGGGAGGATTGATTAAATTGACTCAGCACCTAAAGTTTTTATCCTGTCACGGTGAATAGGTTCGTTCGGGAAAATATTAATTTATCGAAAATAAATTACAAGATTACGACCAGAGGACATCGGCCACATCATCACATAATATAGAATCCAATTTTTACGCAGCGATAAATAAACAGCATAATAATAATAATGGAAAAAAAAAACCCAAATCGTTTTTCGTTCAATTATTTTTGAATAGTCGGTTTAAAATTCGTTTTTTTTTTTTTTAAATTTATTTAATCCAAATTCAACATTCTTAACCGAGTAAAAATGATAGGAAAAAAAATACAATCGTTATATATAATCTAAATTTTTTTTTTTCTAACCTTTGTCCTTTATTTATGTTTTATAGTAGACATTATAATATTATAACGAAACAAAGGACGATTATTATTATTACATGCGTGTATTAGTCAGAATTATATGTCTTTTTATTATCAGTTACAAAAAATATACCGTTTTAATTGAAACTTTGTTTAAAAATAAATTGTAATTATCAAAATAATTGATGGGAGAAAACATTTGATGTTTCGTGCAAATCTTAAACAATATTATTAAAACTAAAAATCAATTGAAGTAATTTCGTTACATTCGACATAATGTGAATGATAATCTTACACGAAAATACGAAACAATAATTTTTTTTTTGGATTCTGAGCGTTGTGAGAAATTAGTATGATGTGTGGTTTTTTACCTGTAAACGACTTTTCTACTAGATATCTTGCTCCAATCAAAAACTATATAGGAACTTTCTCGTAGCGTGTTTTGAACGCCGTGCAAACGGTCAAACATTAAACTCTTGAACGTTGATATTTTAAACCAGAAATTATTTGAAAACTAACATTTTGACAAAACAAATTTGTTAACATTTTGAAAACAGCAAAATTTTAAAATAAATCATAATCATTAATTTGAACAGACAATCGTCATAATTTTGAATTTGCCCCCGAGACTTTCAAAATCTTGAACGGCAAATATGTTATTTATTATTACGTCAATATTTTAAACGTTCACCTTAAATATTAAAACCTTGAAACCAGATGTGGTTGCCTATAGTTTCTCCTTAAAAGTCTACTTTTGAATACAATAAATGCTGTGGTTGTTCTTAAAATATTAATTATATAGGAACAACCATAACGGTTCCTTGTGTTTACGATTTTGCCGTTAAAGGTTTTGATATTAAAGATATTGAAGGTCTCGAACGAGATGATAAAAAAATGAAGTTCAAGCTTTTGCCATTTAATACAACGCTTATTCTAAATAGTGACTAACAATTATTTAAAACTATTGATTTTCATCATTTTGCTTGTTCAAAATGTAAACGTATTTTTTTTTGAAATTTTAGTTTTAAGGTAATTCTCGGTTACAAATTTTAACGTTCAAGGGTTTGATGTTCAAGATATTGAGGACTTCTTCATTTTTTTTTTCTAGTTGGTGTATTAAGGAAGAAATTTTTTGAATTTCGGTGTAGTTTCGTTAATAAATGAGAAAAACTGTACATTTGTTGAGTTATGATGTTTGATGATTTTCGGGTCGCAACTAGAAAGAAAAAAATACGACTAATATATTACAACAATCAGAATCGTATTTCGATAGCAATGGTTTATCGTTCCGTACAGATACATATATTTGTTGAGTTACATTATATTATAATATCTGTGGCCTGGTGGAAGAGGGCAAATGTCAAAGTTTGTGATTGTTGGGAAATGGGCTTTGAAATTATTATTTCCACAAGACTCTGTGTATTTTATTAAATGTAAAATGTTTGTGTAGTATTCAACTTGTACAAAAACTCAAACAATTTTTACGTAAAAAACAAAAAATCGTGTACTTTTTTTTTTGACTGAATTTTTTTTCCAAAAAATTGACATCGACCCTTCTTGTACCAAGCCATAGATACGATAATTCTGTAGAAATTCCCTATTCTGACTTTCAATCTAAAAACAGTGTCGCATCGTCCATCGGCATTGTTTCTCAGCCCGTTTCATAATTTTGCTTTTTCCGCAACAACGATACCTATGCCGAAATACGAGTGCCGTATTTATTATAACAAGCTGTACCCGTTCTACGTTCAATTAGACCCCATTTCTGTCCGATAAATTACGGTATACGATTTGAGTTTTCGCCGGCGCGTGTGTCCCCTGCAGTCCATATACGAGTCGTAAGTATGTATACATATAAATATATATTTTCTGATTCTGATTATTATTATTATTTCCTCGCTCCCGGAATTTCCATACGGGGCGACGTGCGAACGCGTTATTATTACATATACATTTGTTGAAAGTGGAAATCCAACCCTTTGTCGGGCCTCGGGGGGGTACTTTTGAAATAATGCAAATTGTTAAGGCAGAAGAGAATACCACACACACACACACACACACACACACACTCTTCTCCGTCCGTCCACGCCGCGCGACTGCAACGCGTATACGTTTATAAACGAATTATTAATTTTATTGTTTTTCATTTTCCGTTAGGATCGAACGGTTTTCTGATAATAAAAAAAAAAAAAAAAAAAACCTGAAATATAAGTGAAATACAATTATTTAAATAAGTCGCTTTCGATTCGGAATATCGTTCGAACGCGCGTAATAATATTTTAATAACTTTATTCATATAGTATATACCTACTATACTATTACGTATTATAATGTTATATAGTAGCTCGTATGATATATTATAGGTATCTCTCTGGAGGACGATTATTATATTAACATTTCGTGCGTATACATTTACACGTTTTCACATTGTTTAAACTCCGTGCATAATTACTATTTCATTTCAAATGTCACGTTAAATCCTATACATAACGTAGAAATAACATTTAACGAGTTGGTATACAATATCGGAGTACCTAAAGGTAATTTAGTAATTACTCGTATTACCGTTATCGCGATGTGTACTAAGTGTGGGGGTCCACAGCAAAGGCGGATATATAACTGACGTTCAACAACGGAGAAGGGACGAGGTTAGTTAAATTTTCAAAATCACCCCCTCCTTCTTCCCCGAAAAATGCCGAAAATGCCATACCGCTTAAATGCGAATAAAAATAAAATATTTATTCCGTATATGGTATAAGTAATAATCGCTCGCCGTTATCACAGTGCGCTATTATAAATCTCGAACAAAATTCAATTCGAGTTTACGTAGTTACGAACTGTTTTCTTATTTTACTTGTGTAAAAAATAGAAACAAAAACTGTTTAAACGGCTGCAAAAGAGGTAAGGCGATTCACCTACCGTCTCCCATACAAATGCCACCGGTCTGTAGACTTTTGTACACAGGGAACAAAGGTAATTTAAAAAAAAATTAATGAAGAATATTTTTAGTCGTCCGTACGTTTGCATACTTTTCATACGGAATTAAAAACCCGGGGGGCGGGAAATATTGCCCCGTCTTGTTCCCCTCTGCTAATTTTATTTTTAATTTTAATAAAACTTTGTCTCTGCTGAAATCGTAGTGTATACATACTCGAATTAAATTATTCTTGAAATACGGAGATTCGGTGACATATACAACGCATAATACGTTTTAAATTAGATTGTACGCGTATCACATTAAAAACTTTACGAGCAAAAATTGAAGTCTATATTATAATATATTACATTACAATTATTATATATGGAAATTAATTTCGTTTTCAATTCGAGACCGATTTAATTCGGATTGTAAATACGAACGTTAAAATATAAGTTTCAAATGGTATTTCGAATTTATGAAATGTATATTATAATATAAAATAGTTGCAGTGTGTACCGCCGTGTATGTACTCTCAATGTGACGCATGTTAAATAAGTTAATTTCGTTGATGCAATACAACATTACGGGGCGTATAATATTTTGGTTTTATTTTCGATCTTATACTCTTCGACAGGTCGAGTTGTACGTCGTCGCGTCTGCGGTTATTCGGTTTGATCGGGCTCCACTGAACGTAAGATGGTATGCCGGAAGAAAACCTATGTTAAAATTATCGTGCGTCCAAAATAAACGTAGGTTTTTAATATTTTCATATCAGTTATCCAGTACCTATTCTCTGTATTAATGAGCGTTTTTATTATTTTTTTTTTTTCTTGCTAAAAATCGATTTCCTCGTATTATTCGTATTAGGTAATTTTTAAACTCTAACGCGTGAGGTCACTTCGTAAGTACCTACCTATTGTTTATTATAACCTGTTACGCGCGCATTAATATTTAACGGTCGTAAATCGCGGGCAGGTATATTATGTTATTTTTCATTTTCTTCTCGCGCTTTCTATATTTTCCTCTTACAGACTATTAGGCCCAACCGCGTATATTACGGTGGCGCAACACACATTAATATTGTTATTGTGTTCGGCTGATCCGTCTGGTATCTGTATAAAGATAACATTAAGTGCGTATGCGTCTTATAATAACATACGCGTGAATGTAGAAAAGTGCGTGTTCGGTCGAACTGTCTTTGGAACGTTCGCCTCGACAGCTCCACGATCTCTTTATATTGAAATTGTAATGCGCATAAACACCGTCACCGACTCAACGGATAATAATAATAATAATAATATTATCTTCATCCCGTCGGAAGATTACAATAATGGTATTATTATATTGAACGAACGATTAATATTTATTACACGAGAAACGATTTTTGTTCGTTTGTCTTACTTAAAAACTAAATTCAATTTAGAACAATTCAAATCAAATTCGAACTTCAATCTCGTTCTGTGGAGAGGGGGTTAGAAAAATTAGAACAATTTTTTTCTTGATATTCAAACACGCAGGTATTTATAATAAAAATACAAATTTTTACAAAGTTCGTGGCAGTTAATATTGTTGTTATCATATTATTAATTCTAAATACTCATAATACAAATTCTAGTCTCCTGTTTTTATTATTTAATAATTCAACCAGCACTTCGGGGATAATTTACGTAATACTGTACAAAGCGGCGGAATTTTCGTGATAGATAAATTATCCGAGTTTTTCGTGCAGGCGCCTAACTTATACAGTATATACAGAGTGATCAATCTATCGTAAGACACTCATTATATCGGAGAGTATTAATTTTTTTGGACTTTGTTGTATAAAATATTTAAGAAAAAAAACAGCTCTACAGTATTTTACATTTACGTTAATGTTTTTATCATTCTTTTTTGCGGGGTACGCGGCGTTTTAATAACGCACAACTACTCCCTCCCGATCCAAACGTAAAGGCGGAATATCTCGTCAACGGATTGATGGAAATTAAAAATTTAAATACCAACTTTTATTAAAAACTAATACTCCATCCATTTATGGAATTTTTAATATAGATTGCCGTTTGACAATCAAAAGTAGGTATAGTGATTTCACTCCCAAAAATAAGGGCGACAAAAAATAACGCGTAAATGTAAAATTGTAAAGTCGCTTGTTTCTTAAATGTTCTATGAAACAAATTCCGGAAAAAATTAATACTTTCCGAGTTAATGATTTTCTCACGATAGATTGATCGTCCTGTATACCTATGCAGTACCGCGCTCGTCGAAAATGAGCAAAGACGATACACGCGACAATAATATAGGTGCGCGTATTTTGTCGCGCTGCCAAGTTGAAGAGCCAATTCCGTCATAGTCCAACGATTCCACGTATTATTATATGCAAATCAACCGATAGCTTTACTATAAGCCGCTGCTGCAGCTGCAGCAGTTGTTGTCGTTGTCGACACTTGTGCGATTATAATAAAATATACAACACCATCGCGAATTCAGGATACCGACTATATACATGCACGGCCATCTGGTTGATCCAATAATGGTTCAGTGATTCAATGTTTACACAATAATCAAACTCGTATAATGTATTATTATTGGGGCTGCGAATTTAATGCGTTGTAAAACCTTAAAATGTGCATTGAAAATATTTAAACACGCAACGGAACCTAACGACTCTGGGAAATTCACTGGGTACCGATATGTCCCCAATTAATTAATGTCCGCGATCAGCCTGATATTATCGAGTAGTGACAAATCTAACGTCGCATTTACATACTCGTAAATACAGCTCGCGTAATATATTAAAAAAAAATGTGTATTAAAATACCATGGTTAATATCCTTGTTTAAAGCAATGGTATAAAATATAAGTATGGCGTAAACACACTCTATAGAGAGCACGTGTAAATAAAAAAAAAAAAAAAAAAAAAAAAAAAAAACGTGATTCATGTAAAATATTGATAAAATAGCGTATACTTATTACACAATAAGTATTTACAGTATCTATCATGTCCCTATATATTAGAGACTGAAATTAAATTTATCAAGTGTCTAGATACTCTTTTCGAAGTATTTCGCCCATTTCTGGTTGTCGGCATTAAACGTGTATAATGTATAGACGTATTATAGAACCACGCAGGCAATATCGTAGAATTTTGGAAGGTAAAATCGACTATAATATACCTACGCTGCCGCTAAGTCGTTCGCAAGTTTATACACTGTTATTTACGGTTAGGCGCTTCTATATGCAAAGTCCTATTATAAGTTATAAACCGCGACCCGGGCTTACGCCTGAACAGGTTTTATCACGTACATTTAATGTTTAGCTATGTGTATGAAGTACCTGGGGTATTGGCGTTGTTTTCGGAAAATTGAATTTTTTCTCTTTAAATATTAGTCACTATATTTTTATTCGCTACTATACGGCAAAGATGCAGGGCAAACGGTCATGGACATCACTCATCACGGGTGAAACTCACGAAAATGTAATTTACTCACGCACCATCCAACAGCTTCTCCGAGCACTCGGAAATAAAAATACGGTTTTGGATGTTAAAATGAAGTTATAATTCCAGAGTTTTGGGGAGGTCAAATAATAAAAAAATGTGCATTGTTAGCTTGTGCCAAAGTATCTATGTGCATTTTATGTAAGTGCCGATGTATAAAATAGTGTTCGGGTATTAAAACGAGGTGACAAACTCCGAATTTCGAGTGAAAAATTACAACAAATTGTGTCTTATCATCTTATTATTTAAGAGGCGATGGAAATGTGGATTTGGAGAAGAATGATGAGGGTCAGTTGGATAAATGAGAAGCGATTTAGAAGTATTTAAGTATTAAGGGGAGAAAAGGTTCCTGTTAAAATAGTATAAATGAAAGGAGCGGAAAAATAATTAGTTTCTATTAAACATACATTCGAAGAGCGGGTGAATGGTCATAAGAAAGACTCAGGAAAGCATTTATCGAAGGAACGATGAGACAATCTGATTGCATCCGGTATGCCGATACAAAGAAATTGATTATGAACAGATCAGATTTGGATATTTAAAAAAAAAATCAATCAAATTTTCCGGTTGCAACCATGCGAAAATTTCTTCGTCGGAGCAATACAAAGCAAGTGAACCCACTCGGGTTACGCTTGTGCAGTGATTGCGACTAATTATACGAATATTCGTTTCCAACAAATCGTTGCCCGGCCCAAAATATATAATACGTAAATATAAAAGCGAAAAGAAGGGGAGGTGGAAAACTGGACCACCCCGACGCCATCCATTCACCCGGTAGCCAGCAGCAGTAGCAGAGTATAATGGCTTTCGGGCCCGTAAATCACGCGGTCGGGACGGCTGCTGCAGAAGGGAGGGCAGCCCCGGCGACAACAATTGCGTGTACACCCGGAAAAGGATACTCCCGGATACGCATATCCTATATACATAGGGGAAGGCATGGCGGGAGGTTCCGGGAGGGAGAGGACTATGGTTTAATTTTTATCACTGGTGTGCGTGCGTGAGTGCAGTGTTCGCGTGCGATGGTCACAGTGACCTGCTGGCCACTAGCTGCTGCTGTTGGCTAAAAAGCCACAACAACAACCGCCGTTGCCGTTGGTTTTTATACACGCACTTGGCCGAGATAAAAATGATAATAAATTGCCAAAAAGCAATTTGCAGCAAATCGAAACGGACATCGGTACCACGTCTTTTCACCCCTTTGGCCGTCCCTTTTTTATTTTATTTTGTTTTTTTTTTATCCGGTGGATTATCTTATACACACACGATACCGTAGAACGGTGACCGAAAGGTGGGAGGGTCGTGAGTTGGGGATTGTTGTCTGTATTATACGACGGTCAACAAATTTCCGAAAAGCGCCTAAAATACAATGTTTCAGTTTAGTATGCGTGTGTAAAACTCGACGAATACGTATAGTGTAATATAGAGAACAATAATTTACGTCGTTTTTTTTTTTTTTAATTTCGTTCAAAATTATAATAAGCAAAACACAATACGGGGGAAATTAAAGCAGTATACATATATTCAAACCGAATAAAGTAAAAAAATTGCTATCGGAGCTTTGTAAAAACTTCAACAAAAAAACATTCCTATAGTACTATTCAAATATATTTACACCGATATTCTTTTTTTAACAATTTTTTATTAACACGAAAATATTCACTTTTCAAATTTAAATTGTTACACATCAGGTATAATATAATGTTTTCGAATAAGGATAATATTATTTATTACAGTGGGTACCTATTTCTCTTTGTTATATGAATAAATAAAAAAACACCCATCTGTAGCAGAGCTTCGTCACAAGAGTCGAATTTCTCTCTACCCATTTCGTATTGCCTAGAGAAATAAATTTTGTAAAACAATAAATAGTAAGTACCCGAATAATATAATAAAACTAAAACTATACTACCAGTGGCGCCAAATCTATGTATTAGATGTGTTAGCTGTCACACCTAATTTAAGGGATGGGTATACCTTTTAGAACTGGTATAGTTTAGTATAAAATATTGTACGTTTTACAATTAATATAAGGAGCAGTAGACATAATATTAAAAATAACGCGAACTAGTCTATTCCTAGACTGCTGTAGCGTGTACTGTGTGATGGCATTAATAAAAACAGATAACTATTTAACTATAACTATAACTATTTAATTAATAGTTTTACTGTAAATAACCAATAGTACCTAATAAATTTCTAAAACTACAACAGCGGCTACAGCTAATTCACGGTGTTGTACGCAAGCTATACAGAGTGAAATCATGTACATGATAGTATTGTTATTATTTATCTATTTTTGATTAT